ATTAAGGGCCTAGAAAACACACACACACACGCACATACAAAAAAGAAAGGTAGTCAGATGCAATGCAGTCAGTCACCTTCTTGCCACCATGTCTTTCAATGCAATGAGACAAGAAACAATATAAATTTAACACTACTGCATGCTGCGTCGTACTCTGCAGCCAACAAGTGCACCAATTCAATCTGAACATGCAAGGGACTTGCACGAGTCAGCATAACAACACCCCACACTGCTAAAATGAGTTAAAAGAACTACTGTGACAATTGAACACACCTGCGCCGGCACATTGTAACGATACCTTATGCTCAAATACATGCCCGTCTTACTATCCAGTCAGCTGGGTGATCACGCACATAATGTAAGCATGCCATTAATGTTACTGAACAAGTGCAAAACGCACAAAAAAATATTAAAAAGCGTATCTGCAAAGTACCACTACTGGTATCAGTGGTTGCAATAACGATACACAACACGCAAAATTTTTTTTTCCAAGGTGGCGTGCAAAACACACAAAATGAGCATGATGCAGGTGAGCAATTGTTGCATTCTGTGATGCATGAGCGGCCTCAAACAACATACAAACATACTAGCACACAAAGATGTGCCTTATCATCCCTTTTTAGACTATTAGTAAGTGAGAGAGTTTTGCATCTCAAAGTCGAAGACATGACAGCAAAGGGCCCCGGGTTCCATTGAGTACTTCGGCCCTCTTGCATCATATTCCCATGAGCAAGTAAGAACAAACAGGAATTATAAACACAAACTCGTGCTCAGAGGCAAGACTCGGCAACCAGGCAACCGTGCTTTTGTGAAACCTTGGTACAGCAGTGCACGAGAACCTATTAGAGATCTACATTGTCACCAAGCTCATTTTTAGTAAAAGTACAGCAAGGTATATTGCAGCATTTACCTCCACTTGCTGTGAGTGCCTCACTTGGCAAACACAATTTTAAAACTAGTTTTCAGACCATTCGTTCATACAGGAGTGAGAAAAAAGTAGTTGCCCTAAAAATTCAACCAGCACTCATGGGTGGTTCGAAATTCATGGGAATGGTTTCACTAGAGATTCACAAAATTGCGTAAAATTTCCATCACCTAAGTTACAATGCAATGAAAAAGTAAAACGGTGTAGTATGTTTTAGTATCACGAGGTAAAGTAGCTGTAACAGCCCACTTATCTTTGGTTGAAGAAAAAGCTAGGACTGCATTCCAATACTATGAGCTTGCATATGTAAAGGCTGTCACAAATGAATATGCGTGTAACTGTATGCATCATAGCAGCAAGATTTTCTATGGTGACTTGTATGAACATTAAATGTACATTTTATCACCAAATGTCAGAAGCCACAACGACGACCTAAGATACTTCACAAGCAATGAAAGAAATACCTGCAAACATGTGAAATGGTAACAGTAATTGTTGGGGTTTTACGTCCCAAAACAATGATATGATGTTAGGAGAGCCGCTTTAGTGGAATGCTCCGGAAATTTTGACCACCTAAGGTTCTCAAGTGCCCATAAAATGTAAGCGAACGGGCCTCGAGCACTTTGCTTTCATTGAGATGAGGCGAGCCAGAAACGAGATTCAATCCTACAACTGCAAGTTTCAAGTCAGCAGTCAAGCACCATAATCACTAAACCACCGCGGTGGGTCATGTTAAGTTACCTACTGATTGCTGACATGTCAAATATGTTTAGCTAACCTAATGTGTGCAATTGCTGAAGTTTGTTTATTATAGACATGATCAGCAAATCAATTTGCTTGCTGTGAATTTATAATGCGATGTTTTCTCTGGCGGCCCTTGTTTTTCCAACCACTTAGTGGTTTAACATGGGGAAACTATAATTGCCAGTTAAGCTAGCTAGTTAAGTTAGCTTAACTGACAATTGTAGTTTCTCCATGTTAAACCACTAAGAGGTTGGAAAAACAAGGGCCGCCAGGGAAAGCATCGCATTATAAATTCACAGCAAGCAATGTGATTTGCTGATCATGTCTATAACAAACAAACTTCAGTAATTGCACACATCAGGTTAGCTAAACATAATCAACATGTCACCAATCAGTTGGTTAAGGAATGGCGCCCTCGGTAAAATTGTGAGGTTCAGCGTAACGGGTGACCGTGGATTAGTTTTTACTACCTGGTGCTATTTAACATCCACACAAGTCTAAGTACACCGGTGCTTTTGCGTTTTGTCTCAATCGAAATGAAGATGTTATAGCCAGAAATCAAACTCTAGCATCTCTGCTTCCGCGGGGCAACACCTAAGCTTCTAAGCGACCACGGCGGGTAATGAGCGCATTGCCAAGGGTAGGAGGGTGTCAACCGCAGGCTACATGTACACATAAATCAGCAGCATCCTCACTTATTACATGACAACATTGAATAGAGCAGCTGTATGGCATCACGAGGTCACATTTCTTATCATGCATTATGGATATTAAAAAAAAAAAAAAACATGGGTATCAAGGCACATGCTTGTAACACTGCTGTTAGCTGCAGCTATTCCATGCAGCTTTCCCACTATAGCTTCATAAAGAACTTGACAAAGTGCAGGCCTGGTCATGTTGGTGATGAATGTGACTATTTCAGCGCACTTGTTAACAAAACAGTGGACGGAATAACGACTGATAGCGCTGTGTCCATGTCACTTTTTTGTCCACTCTTTTCTTAACAAGTGCACTAAAGAAAAGTAAAATAAAGAAAATTTTCACGAAACTGAGAATCAGAAAACATTACAACAGTGAAATGGACATGTCGAGAGGTTTCATTTGAGTTTGCATTAACAACCACCTTACATGAGGACCATCCCAGCTCAGGCCTTAGGTAGATGAAAAAGCCAAAACCCTGATATCTGTCATGCTACTTAATACATTCATGCATGTGAGCTGCAACTGCCATATCATTCCAACACTTAGAATCTAATAGGTTTGTAAAAAACTCGAAATACTGCATGTAATTACATAATGAAATCAATCTTACACAATACTATATTAATGAGACCTAACAGACAATCATGACTGGCATGATTGTCTCTTAGGTCTGATTAATTCTGTGTCTAACAAAGAAAATCAGCCCTTAAATGTACACTTCTTTCCTTCTTACACAGTGATGACATATTTATAGAATAAAAGCAAGCGAACTGCCGGCACAAAGGAGTTTTACATGGCTGGTCCTGTCTTAAGTGAACTGTCATTGCTTCCTTCCAAGCTAGCTTTCCGCAGAAGTGCAGTGCAGCTTTACGACATTACAACCTGTACCCTGCAAAGCCATGCACAATAGGAAAATGAATGTACAACACCCTTGTTCCCCCGCCGATTTTGTACTTGTATTTCAGTAATGTTTGGTACAGGTTATGTGAATGAAAGCCACAGCACAATCAAATGGTAGCCGCATTTTCAAGCAACAAACCCCATGCTTTCACAGGCTGCAGTTTGCATAGCCTGAGAGCTTGTAGTGATGAAAAAGAAGCAATGAAGTTGATTGCAATTGGAGCGTTCAACAGTTACAGACAAACATGACCAAGTAATAACGAAGCAGCAATAATGGCATGAGAGCACTGAAAGCAACCGTGGGCAGCTGATTGTGTTTATAGTACATATTTTAAAATGCCCGAGCACACTACGAATGCAACTTCACTTGTGCTCCGACAAATAGGCCACGAAGCTTATTAACAAAACTTTTTAAAACGTTTTTTAGCATCTCTTCAAAACTAAACAGGCCAGTTTAGATTTTATCTTCTCAGTGCTCCTGAATTCGGTAAACAGTGATAAATGAGTTTATTCCACCCCGGTGCAAATCATTACTTCCTTATGTATATTTGCTGTGATAAGGGTAAAATATTGCCTGTAAATGTGATACTCCACTCAGACCTGCTTCATTTCAGAGCTGCCTTTGAACCACTATTTCATTGACTCAACCCCTTCCTCACATACCATATTTACTTGCGTAATGAACGCACTTCTTACATAAAAAAATTAAAGCAAAGTTGGGGGTGCATTTTTTATGCGGGACAAATATTATTAAAATTTTTTCAGGGGGAGAAAAAAATGCGGTAATGCAAAAAAGTTACCTCCCTTAGCCTTTTATAATTAACGTACGCGTACACTGTTTGGAAACAGCTTCATTGTTGCACTTTACTCTTCTTCGGTAGTTGATAGCGCTATCTACTGCAAGCTGTCCCTACTGCCGCCCACGCACCTCATGACAGCGTTTTGTGGCTATATTTTCTTGCAATCGTTTAACCACAACAGTGGTATCTGCTCTGATCTCGAGGGGTGCCCATTAGCATGCATTACGACGCTACAAGGCACTTTGCCAACGACCAGTGACGACATTGTTTACATTGTAGCAACTAATAAACATTGCAGCAAGCTACCCTCGAAGCATCAAAACAAACCGTCGATAACAAGATTAACGACAAAAATACGCCGCCTCACTTCAACATGAGAAGTTCCTTTATGCGCGGAGAACAAACAAAGCGAGAAACGGGGGTGCTACCATGGTGCGGAAATCATCAGGATCTCTTTTGGGTGACAAGTGATTTTTTCTGGTTTCCCAGAAACCTGTGAAGTGATAGCGACGAATGACTCTTTGCGACAGCTAATCCTGTTGTTGTCGCTCAAAAATCGCGTGCAAGTCCTTGGGGCTCAAAGTTTCGTATTTGCAGGAAATGATTGTCAGTCGGCACGGGCAGTTTCGTGACCTTTTCTCGCTGTGTGCTTATCAGCTGCGATGTCTCTACACTCACACCGTTCGTGAACCCCGCTGTGGCGCACAGATAAAAAAGACGGGAGACGTGCCATGAACAAATAGCAACAAAAATATGGCACGTGGCAACGGGTGAAGGGGGGGCAGGGGGAGGAGGGAAGGAGCCAGGTTGTCTGCATAATAATAATAAAAAAAAAAACCGGAATATATCCAATGGGTGAGGAGGCGCCACGTGTCGGTTAGCGAGACTGCAGCAGATGAATGTAAAGGGTGCGTTTGTATGCAAGTGTGTTCATTATGCGAGTAAATACAGTATTACTACTCACCACTGGACTTTTTGAAGTATAATAAGTTAAACAAATGAGATTAAATAGGCGTCCCATGTGCCGAAAGTTTCATGCTTTGCAATTGAGTGTGAACAAACGGTTTCCTTTCATGAAGCAACATAATCTAGAGTAAATGAAGTTGGGCTCCCAGCCCACTGCCAGTCGTTCCCGGTCTCGCTTGATGTGTCGTTAGGCGAAAGTGATGAAGGCACTGACGTGGAGATTCTGATAACTCCCTTGAGATTGCAGTGATTCATTCAGGTGCTTGATGACTCGGCAAAAGGCGCTGCTGCCGTGGCAGCCTTCACTGACTTGACGAGGCATGAAAAGCCTGCAAACTAAAGCCGAAACCAGGAAAAACATCAATAATTTTCCATCATTCCCTATGCTAGCGCTGCTGCAAGCATTTAGCACAGAAGAAACCAGTCTTGGCTATTGCCTTACTGATATGGCACATGCATAGTGAACAAAGGTGCAACAAGAAAACTTTATTATTTGCATTTATCAGCTTTCGTACCACTTGACTGTGCATTTCTTTTATGGAAGATAGTGAAGTTTGCTCAGATTTGGCCCAAAGTCTGTCATACATTAGCAATCAAACTGGCATTCATAATTATATGGTGCAGTGTCCTGTGACAATGAGTATCCCCTTGCCACTCTCTGTTCACTTTTCCGCATGACATTAGTGCACTGTAGTGAAAGCGACTTCTGCATTCCACATGCAAAAAGGAAACTTTAGAACCAGTGTCTTCAGTTATCATGATTTTCCATTCACAGTGCGGGAGAGGCTATTTCTTGCATGACTTACATATATATATATATATATTTCTTGCCTGTGCAATCTGGAGATTGCTCAAAATAAAGAAGTATACCAGGCAGATCAGGTGCATTGGCAGGTTGCATATCGATTTTTCGCCAGTGAGCTGGCCAGAAACCAATCATTTATCAGAATGCAGCCAGCTTGTTGATGCTGCAGGACGCAGTAGAACCACTTCATTCACGACTGCTTACGCAGCGTTTTGTGTGATTGTTGACCTTGCAATGAATTAACATATACAAAATGCCTACAATAACGCTTTCGCTATGATTGCAGATGGTGACAATGCAGTCCTGAAGGCTTGTGGCTAGCATGGTGCCTTGTGTGAGACATTAAGACAATTGGCGAGGCTGAAAGCGTTTCTGTCACTTCTGTAAGGCTCCCGCTGATGAAAACAGCTGCGCGGGCTCCACTGCTACATTTTGGTCGGGCAAATACACCTCCCTCACCACGTCACCACTTTTGCATTGCATAGTTGTGGCGTTCCGAGCTCAAAGTGCCCCGGAAGTCATGCGAATCACTCACGACCAAATACTGATTGAGCCAGAACCACGCGCAAGAAATTTTCGTTTGCATTTGTGGGTTTACGAAATAAGTTATACTAATTTATAAATATTTTTCTGAATAAATAAGGGCCAGTAAAGTGGTCTTTATTGCTTCAGCAGGTTCCATTGACCTAACTGGCTCAATCAAAAATCAATCAGCAACAAAGTATAGCTAAGCTATATGATGCGCTTAATGAAAATGTTGATCAGAAAAAGCCATGAACTGACAGTTTACTATATGCTCGACACTTACGGCAACTTTGGTACTGTCCTGAGATTCTGCCAGCATACCAATACCTCTGGAAAAACAAAAGGGGAAATCGTAGTTAAACAGAAAAGACAGAACCGCACTAAAGGCATAAAACGGTTACAGACTCTTGATGATTAAATTACAGAACATGATAGAGTCGCAAAGATTGCATCATTACCAAAAATATCAACACCTCACAGTAAATGTGTAAGAATAATTTTCTTAGTGCAGTGGTACATTGGGAAGATTCAGTATGTTCAAACAATCAAAGGCAAGAACTTCCAACACAGCACAGTGGATTACCATGTTTATTTTTCACACCCAAACAGTACAAGTTATCTTTCAATCTACTCACTTAATAATGTGCTCGTTCCTCCGCTGTTTTCTTGTCATGCAAACATGTACAGTGGCAGCAGATTGCAACACGACAATTTGTGTGAAAGTGATGCACATACTTAATTTTTCGTGGTCTTCAGTTTGTGTCGTATCGGCGTGATTTCAATTTGAACTCTAAAAGCTTACATCAAAGCCAACGTTACCTTCACAGCCAGATTAGTAGCAACACGACGAAGTTGTCTCGAGCATTTGCACATACCAGTCGTTACACCAAAAGTTTTGCTGATGAGTTTCGAACCATAAGCCCTGCACTGTACGTACACGAGCATTCACGCACAACAGGAAACTACGTAGAATGCCACTTACGGTGTGCTTCTGCCCGATTTTTCGAGCTGCACTTGTAACAGCGTTTTAGGAGAGATCTGAAATACAGATGAAAAAGTAGTTCACGTCAAATGCAAGTCTTCAGACACAAACAAACAAGCAGTACATTATGGGTCTTTACGGCATCAGTTTTGACATAGTTCAACTGAAAAAAACTGTCGTGTTCAAAGATTTATTTAAAGACCAACAGTGCCCAAAATTTCGCACTAAATTTTGTAAAACAACAGCTTCAATATGCAACAATGGCTGCTCACTTTCTTGTGGAGAACATCGTCAAAGTTGAGTTCTCGAAAGAATGGTTCCCACTTGAGCTGGTGAAGCGACTGCAGGCGCTTGTGAGGGAGCTTGCACAAAAGCTACAAGAAACGATAAGAAACCGTAAATAAGACTTTCGTATGGAAACAAATTAGCCATGCATGCTGTATTGGTTTTACAGTAAAAGCTCGTTTATCCGAATCTTGTTAACCTGGACACGTGGTGCGGCCCAGGCAAAACTGTGTATATTTCAATGGTGTCAAATTCTCATTAATTCGGAGGAATTTAGATGCGCACCTAGTTAACTCGGACGATTCCAGAGAGGGCTATCGGGGCTTCATGCTTTGGGTAACCGATTCAGGTTACTGAAAGCATGAAGTCCCGGAACCGAAGTTTTGAGAAACTGAAACCGAACGAACAGCTACAGAATATGATCATGATGATAGCCAATGAGGGGGGAAGTGGCCAGGTGGCGCTAGTCGCCTCCCGGTGAAAGCGCTTGGGCCACCGCTGCATCCAGTGCCTGGGAAATGCGCCGTACTGGACAGTTTGCGCAGCCGCCACTACCCCAGTTGCCCGCGACGCCTATGCTGCTGATTTCTTTGCGTAATGAATTCGCGCATAGCATGTGCAGCTCGGGTACATCAAAAGAGTTGACTGTTGGGCGAGTTGGCTCTTTGACATAGAAACCGTCATTACGTTCTCGGGCTGTGTTTGTGTGCGTTGATGATGGTGCGGTTGTTGCTGGTTTACTGACTGATGATGACATGTCATCGGAAGTGCTTGAAGAGGATCAGAATCACTGTTCCAATGAGGACATTTAAGATGAGCCAACGCGACACCGCACGGTGCAGGAGGCCACTGAAGCTCTCGCTGTCCTTGCGGAGTTCTGCATCAGTTCTCGTGACAGCGAGCGTGCACACCACCCCCACACGGGATTGAAGAAGATTGTTCTAGCATTAACTCCGATGACGAGACAGACTAAGTTTACGCAGCTTTTTATGAAATAAAGGTTTGTCTGTGCCGAAAACATTTTCTTTTTGTTTTGACTGTTCATTCGATAATTTAGAGTTCGGTTAACTCCAACATTTTCACCAGATCCGGGTTAACGAGCTTTTACTGAATCAATCTTCTATTTAACTAACCTCTAAGAATGCCATCCCTTGTTGTTGGTGATGGCTTAAATGCATAAGCAAATAGGCACATGCAAACACAGTTGTTGCTAGATTATTACACACTAATAGTTCAGACATGCTTCTTTGTTTCGAATATAGGCAGGACTATCACTATATGCGAGTGCTTCACACTGTGCCCACACTGTGGGTGGGAATCAAGTCTGAAAACTCATTCACAGCAGCATGTACTATCATGAGCAATATGAGCTCGAAGACGCAAGCGCCTGCCAAATGGTTGCAAAACCGAGATATCGTTATACGTGAATGGCACTGCCAAAACTGAAGGGAAATTTAGGGAAACTATGCTGTTTACTGTTGGCACTCCCGCTTTGCTAGCATTGCTGCAAAGCAGCAGCTGATTGTGTGCCATCGGCCGCAAGCAATTATAATGCAAAAAAAGATAATAATTGCACGAAAACAAAGTAAAAATACAGGAATATCAAAAGCCTCAGCCAGCACCACCCAGATATAACACAAGCATGGTCTGTGAATCACGACAGGCAACGTCACAGCCTACATCTCAGCTTTTGCATAGCCTGATCGGTCATTTCGTGGGGCTGGGCACATTGATCTGAATTCATATCACTGCTAGCGGCTACTGACACTCCCCCGCTTTGTAGCAACGATATCGAGGCGGGAGCATAAACAGCCAGCGGAAGCGCAGAGCCCCTTCACCTTTGTCTCCAAGAGCGGATGCCGCGAATTAGCCGATGTAGGGTTCAAGGCTATTTGACAGGCGCTCACGTGTTCGAGCTCATATTGCTCACTATAGTACAACTTTAGGCACTGCATTACCAATGTAACCAACCTGTTTGACAGTCAGCTCAAAATGGCAGGTGAGGAGCATTACACCCACCAAGAATTTGCAAAGCGACGAAAAGGCAGCTTTTTGTTGTGCCTACTACACCACAAAGCGCACAAAAGAAATACTTTTGATTACTGAAAAGTTTTAATTGAGGTAGAGGAAAAGCCTGAACATTTCCTTTTCGTTGCTGCAATGGCTATAAGACCTGTGCACACTGGTGAAATAAACGCCAGTGGCCAGAGCTTAATTCATGCTGCACTGAAGTTTAAGGCTTCGCGCACCACAGGCTTGTCATTGAAAATATGGAGTTTAGAGAAAGTCTCTACGCAAACAGACACGTGAAACCAACCTTTCGACATAGTTTCCGTGCATTGTCGGAGAATCCCTCAGGAAGGTCGTAATTGGCATTGGCCACCAACTGCTTCATCTGCACATGGTCCCCAGTGCCTTCAACTGGATACTGTAACAAAAAAAGAGAGTGAGAAAAAGAAAGGCCACAAGTGCAATGTATACCTTTATGTTCTGAATGGCAGAGAAAATTCATTTTTCTTTGATTTTTTAGGCATCCTTAACCTGCTTATTCTCTTGAATTCATCAAGTGCAGTTAGACTTTTGATTGATATGTGGGGTTTAACGTCCCAAAACCACTATATGATTATGAGAGACGCCGTAGTGGAGGGCTCCGGAAATTTAGACCACCTGGGGTTCTTTAACGTGCACCCAAATCTGAGCACACGGGCCTACAACATTTCCGCCTCCATCGGAAATGCAGCCGCCGCAGCCGGGATTCGAACCCGCGCCCTGCGGGTCAGCAGCCGAGTACCTTAGCCACTAGACCACCGCGGCGGGGCGACAGTTAGACTTTTGATGAGATACTCTGGCTTTTGTTATGGTACACAATTTGGTACACAAACCAAATTTAGATTTGGTTTGTGTACTCAGAACATATTCAGCTGGTTTATTCAAAGTTCTACACGCCAGCTCAGAGTACTTTGAGGTGATCCCAGATTCATTGTAATTGATAGCAACGCCAAAATTTCTGTTCCCAGAACACATTCACTTCATTATAAATTTGCACAAATTACTAAACAAAATAGCACTGTTCCAGTAAGCCAGGTGTTCAAACAATTTGTAAATAACTATTTATTTGACAATTCTTGTGATCTTGACCTATGTGCAAGCAAATATTTGCTTTGCTATGACCAATGCCAATAATTTATCACACTATTTAACACCTACAGTTCGATGTGAGTGCCACATAGTCAAATTAAAATCTTGTGCGCACCTAATGAGAGATGGAGAAAATATTTGTGTAGAAAGGGAGAGAGGTTTGCTGAAAGCCAGCAGTTACAATTTTGTTGTAGCACAAAAATCATCATAGAAACAAGGCACTGACAAATCAAATTTAGGATTTACTTGACAAAATTCATAAAAAAAACTCTAATACGAAGGACAAAAAAGTTTTAACACAATTACAGAGGGGCCTAATGTAGGATGTTTATGGACGTACCCTCCCCACCAGCAGCGCATACATCATGATGCCCAGAGACCACCAGTCCGCGGCATGAGAGTACGGTTGAGCTGCCAGAACTTCGGGTGCTGCAAAAAGTGAAGAGCAACCAAGCATGCAAAACCGAGCACAGCCTCTAAAAGTTCCAATTAGACAACCGTATACAAAAAACAGTGATTCAAATGAAAAGAGTTCTGATCTGGAGCACTTATCTATATGTACCTATATAACCAGAAAACAGAAGCAAAATAGCAGGTACTATGCACATTAGATTTTTTAGTAATACAAGTCTAAATTCATGAACAGACTTGCACGACACAAATATGCAGTTGTGTGAATATTCGAATGCTTTGAATATTTGAACGAATATTGTTGTTTTTACATTTGCTTTGATTCGAATTCCAATTGTTGGAAATTTCGCACGAATAGGTGGTGTTAGTCTGCCTGTAACCCCCCTGCAAGGGTAGTTTCTCTGCAGTGGAGAGGTGCTAAGCCATGAAGGCACTTAGGTGAATTTCAGGGCCTGTTCAAACACTACCCGCCCAGCCGCAACGCACGTGCCGGTACAGCTGCGGCTCCCAAGCAGGAGGAGGGGAGGGGGGGGGCAAATGAGCGAATAGGCAGTGCTCTTTCATCCTCCGCTTGGCTGCGGCAGGTGTCCGCATGCATTGCGGCTGGGCGCGTAGCGCATTAACAAACCCTTGCATGCGATTGTTTGTAAAGGTGGTTTCACAGCTGTAAAGTGGTGATATGCCGTGAAAGCACCTATCCAGGGGCCATCCACGCTGCCACGAAGCCCCACTGCAAAGTTAAATGAACGTATTAACCTCGCACCAAACCATCATTTTAAATGTAAATGCATTTCTTAGTCGGGCTATGTCAGGCACCCGGCGTCGTCCGCGGCGAGAGAGAGAGAGAGGTTAAGGTGTTCGCGGGCCAGCAGGTGTTATCTCTCCGCTCTCACTCCCTCTCTCCCATAGCAACAGCTGAGGGCGCGTGTGCTTACCCTCGCCCCTAGCAACTGGAGCATGTGGTGCAAGAGTGTAGGTCCAGTGCATCGTCGCTCCTTCACTCGCCGTTCGCTCTCTCTCTTCCCTGCACCCCACTTTCCCATCTGCTCGTTCCCCACTCTCGCCCGTTCGCTGGCTGGGCGTCTCTCAAGAACACCTGGAAATGTGTGCTCCAGACGCCGCTATGAAATGCCAACACAGAGCTGAGAACGCTGTTTGTTTTGTTTACTTCATAGTATTTTTTTAACTGTGCACGCTAGGTACTAGTGCTGGAAATGCATACCGCATTCCTCGTGACAGAAAAAGGCAACGTGTGGCGAACAGCGCTATTGGCTGCAGGGTGTAATAAAAAAAAAACATTATTCTTCTAATGCTGGGTTCTCGTGTACAAAACGTCGTCATGGACGCTATGCAATGCATTCACATGTCCTCACGATTACATTCGTGAAGGTGGGGACATTTTTTTCTAAACACCCAGGACGGCTTCTAGCTCTCCCATAGTAGAGTGACGAGTACTCCAAATTGCTATACACTATTTTTTTTTAAGTTTAAAAGCTTGTTATGCCCGCTTATTTGCTCCAAGTATATTAAATTTTAAATTGTAGCATACAGGTTATCACTTGCATTCTACCAAAAGTCAAATTCAGCTGCTATTCAAAGTTGTTCTTTCTTTCTTTGAATCAAGAATGGCATTAGTACAGACATGATATATATATATATATAATGTGCAGGTTATTTGGGTCAAGAGAAATATGTCCATTTTTCCTTTATATACATAAAATATATCACAAAATATTGGTTATAACGAAGTGAATGAGAAATAGTCTTGTAATAGATATAGTGTTAGGAATAAACCTTTATAAAATTTTTTTGGATATAACAAACTTACTTTTGCATAAGATACAGCTTTGCTATGATAAGGGTCAAGCGTACTTGAATTCAACTCAAAATTATTTGACCAAAATCACTATTTGCACAAGCCTCGTATTTGATAAAATATACTTCCTGATGTGTTTATTCGAAACTATAACGTTGCTATAAAACTAATATCATGCTCGGCATGTTCTGTGCTCACCTGATCTTTCCTTTAGCTCATGTGTTCCGTTTCTGCATATCTGCATATTATAAGGAGCACACTACATTCCCAGGGTGGGGCGATTGCCTGCAAATTTCACACAGCTAGATCCACCGGTAACCTATAACATTCTAAATCCTATACTGCATTCATACTCTTGTGCCTGTCCATTCCCACCTCTCACCTATATACTTTTTCATCCTGAAGTGGTGTTGTGTGAGCTGGCATATATTCATGGCGAGGCAGAGCACATGAAAAACTGGACACAGACAAGAAGACACGAGACAGGTGCTCATTCCCTCTGAAAAGCGTAGCGGGCTAGATAAGGTTCATATTGAGCGAAGCTCTCATCTTTTCTCCACAAATGTTCTTGCTGTCTCTCGGTAGGTGCACAAGAGATTGTAATTTGGCACTCATATAACACTGATATCTTACTGCGGATGTTAAATACTGCAACAAACCCACACATTCGAAAAAGTTCTCATGACACAAAGCTTGCAAAGGGTTTATCTCATTTACATTTTCAGCTCAGAATGATTCGAAATTAAGGAAGGCAGCGTACTGCACAAACATCTATTTTTAGCAGCCATATTTTCTGGGAATGTAGAATTTACTATATTTTAGTTAGTTTTTTCACATTATGCCAGCCTGTGTTCCAGATTTTAAAGGAGTACTGACACGATTTCGAGGTGCGGCAAAACGGACGTTTTTCGTTTCCTTGGAATGTAGTGTTAATGTTCTCTCCACACCAGAACCGGGAAACATGTATAAAATATTTTAATTTAATTTTAAAGTATTGATCTCCTGGTTCTTGCAAGGCATCTCCACTGTCAGTCACAATGCTTGATGTCTCAAGTCAGGTGCACAGAAAATTGCAATGTCATGTAAATGTGCGCATGTTGGGGTAACGACAAAAATAGAATGGAAAAAAGCGCGACCGGCGCACCTTCTCGACTGGCCGTCTAGCAGTGTGCCTGCGTGTGACCGACAGCAGACGATAGAGCTGCATTGGTACGTCATAATTTTCAGCGAATGTCTCAGTCCCCACGTCACTAGGGCATAAGTCAGCCTGACTTGCTACGTCACCGTGAAGCCGCTCTTTCAAAATCGAAACCAAAAGCGTGTTTAGAAAAAGCGATATTAAAAATATATTCAATGCGTTTCAAGGCACCAGAATACTCTTTCCTGTGTCCTCGATACCAGTACTTTTATTTACAGCAGAAATCAGAAAATTTTCGAAGTTCGTGTCAGTACTCCTTTAAGGAGGAACAGGCATGCCAAAGAATACACTGAGCAGAATCTCTATAAATTACATGTTCTGAAAGCTTCATTTTGATCAAAATCTACGAAGTAATGCACGCCGAAGGACAGCAACAATTTTACAGATAGAGAAAATGACAAAGCGAAATGATAGCTTCCTAACTGGCATATTTCTAAGGTTCATGCTCACCCATGAATTGCATTGTGCCGCACACTGTCTGTGCTCGAGCACAGTAACTGAGCCATCGGGCGAGGCCGAAGTCAATCAACTGGATGTGGCCTGGAGACAAAAAAAGGAGGGGGGGGGGGGTCAGTTTACGTGCACAATGGCATAACGCAGCAGCACTTGCTGAAAATTCAGAACTATTATTAGCGAGGTATTATATAACACACCAAAGATGACTCACCATCCTCGTCAAGCAGGACATTCTCCATCTGCAAATCAGACGTCATGTGAGCAACAATGGCAAACTTTTGTAAGTGGCTTAAAATAAATCGATACAAACGAACAATACTATTATCAAAATTCAAGTGGAACTGCACTAAAGGAACCTTTATGAATTGAAATAGAGTTCTTTTGAATTGTAAGAATATAGAGAATGGTTAAGGAGAAGGGCAAAAGTCGAAGTGCCCGACAAGGTCTTACTCCCTTACCAAGAATCATAGCATCCAAGAGACCGAATCACCACCATTTTACAATAAAAGGTGCAAAATCAGATAACATCTTTAACACATATGACCATGCAGATTAAATAAAATTATTAGCACTAACTCTATGCCTACGTTTTCTTTTGCTAAGCCTATATAAACCTATATATGCTGCAGTGTCTTAATATTGTTAGAGATGTCAAGGATAAAATTGAATGCATACTAAGCTAGTTTTTCTTGAAGTATAGAGCCCATTTGACAGCTGTTGGACTGACTAGACTTTACCAGTTTCAAGAAAATGCTGGCGATGTACTGCAATAATGCAACTTTTCTATTAAAAAGGGCCGCTTCTCTGCCTTCCTTTGCTCACTTTCGCTGCAAACCATATTTATGGAGAAATAATACATATTCACCTTGAGGTCTCTGTAAATGACACCAGCACAATGTAGAAAGTCTGCAAGAAAAAAAGAAAGACTGTTGTACAGATGCAAAGAATCTTGCTGAATTTATAAAAAGCTCTCAACTACTACAAAATGTTCATTCGACTTTATTATTGTGAAAAATTAAGAGGAGACCCGGACGTCTCACTGCATCAAAGGTCAACAGAACAACTGAGCGAGCTAGCACCCGTGGCTCTTGCTCCTGCCCGTTGCCCCTTTTTCCTCCTTTATTGATAACACACTCCTGCGGCCAGCAAAGTTGTGCACATTCTAAGAAAGCATTAAGTGAGTCTGCCAGAAAGTGTTAAACGGCAACGGAAGGGCTTCGCCAATGACAATAAAGCTAGGCGAAGTGGCGGCTTGTCTTGTAGGGGAAGTCGTCCATTCCCCGCTATGATGTTCATAGTACTTCGCAACCACAATGTGTGTCATCTTTAGTCTCTTGTCCCCTGAGCAGATGCGCTTTCTTCGCAGTTTGGCGCTGCTGGTTGCCTTGATACGATGTAAAACTTCATGCTGGTGGATTCCGCACTTCTCTCGTCGCTTCTTGTAGTCAGAGGTGTCTGACCTTAGTCTGCTTTCGTAGATAAAGAAGGTTTCCTGATAATCAGTGTGATCCTTGGAATGTTGCTGGCGTGTCATGTCGAGCTTCTGCAGCTGCTGCACAAATATGTCCTGCCTGACCACTTCGGGTGTCAGGTGGTCCTATGTGTGTGCCTGGCACCCACGTGCTTCCGAGCTGCATGAAGACTCCAAGGTTGACGACGATACTTTTTCCTCACTCGACGAGGACGATGATTATGTTGAAGCATCCTGGTTCCGTTATGCAGTGACCTCTCCAAGGAAGGAAACATCGGCCCCCTTCGAAGGCAGCGGAGATTTTTCAACGTTGTGAGGGTGCTAACACCCCTGTAAAGTTGTTTGCGACGCGTGGCGCATGTGTCTCGCACAGAAGCCGTATTTCGGGGGTGACAACTATTGAGCGATAGGTGGCATTGTGTTCGCGAGCGGTGATCACCACTACTATCACCATGGTCGCTAGAGCGGCAGCGCTCGCGGTGACCCCTGGAGGAAGGCAAGCCTTGGTGGTGGGTGAGAGAACGGAGCGAGTCTCTTCGGCAGGTGGCGTTTGGCGTGAACGGTTGCCCTCGCGGCGTGTACCGGTGCACAGCACCGTGGGCCGTCTGCCGAGGGCTCGAGCAGTGAGTCAAGCGTTGACGACGTCGCCTTTTGTGTGCTCTTGTGTTTGTTATGTTGCTACGTGCTGAGTAATATTGTGTAAGGATGTCTTAGCGGGTTGATCAGGATTGATGTTATAATAATTCGGCTGACGATATCGTCGATCAAAAGTAGCTAAATAAATGTGTGTATTGGTTGGTTTGTTCCGACCATGTCTGCTGTGTCCATTCACTCCAAGAGCGTGGCGCTCGCCATTTCAAGACCAATAGATTGGAATAACCTACCTGCATCATTAGTAAGCATCACCTACCCAACTCGATTTAAGAATGCACTAATAAACTCAGAATCCTGAACTGTACTAATCGCGTAAGTGTTATTGACTGTTTAGTGTATTCTTTGTGATTCTAGTTCAGTTGTTTTTTTAATAAAGTGTACTCCTTGCATGCAAAGCTTCATCATTATATTTATCTTAATGTTAAATGTGTTTACATAATCCTGTAGTTATTTTGTAGTTCATCTGTATTTTCTCCCCTCCCCTCTATAATGTACAAATGTACCCTGAGGGTTTTACAAATAAACAAACAAATAAATAAATAAACATGCTATATGGCCAGTAGCCGATTGTCAGCGTCTGTACCGGAGTCGCGAACGATGGCCCACATTGAGCTGACGTTTTCGGGTGCATGAATCCAAGTAATGGTTGCGTTTTTGAACACATCACTGCAGGAGTCTCCCGATGACTTGACAATCATGGTGTGTGTCCTCGCTTCCACTGGTTTCCTGCATAAGGCGCATAGCTCAAGCTGCGTGGTGTAGTGATTGTACATGTGGCGCAGGTCTCTGGCATAAGGCACCATTTTTGTTTGGCATCATCGTACCAGTCATGAGGTGCATGTACCCTGTTGAGTGCAGTTCGTAGCAGCGCTGCTGCTTGCCGTCCCGACTGCCGACTTGGTTGTGCTTGAGGGCAGAAGACTCAAGATTGTGCCACCAGGATCGGGCTCGAGCAGCATGTGCGGCGAGTAGTAGGGCTCCACATACTGTTGCTTCTGGGACAAATTCCGCAGGTACAGGGTGCCACGTGACAGGCAGTACATGCGTTCACACTCTTGATCTGGGAAGTAAGACTGCCTTGGTGAGCTGCAGCTCCTGCCATTGGAAACCGGGGCCTTGCAGTTGATGCACACGGTGCACCTGGGGTTTCTCTTGGACATCGAACTCTCCATGGCATACCTTTAGGACGAGTCTTTACACTTAAGTACCGTGGACCGCGTGGCCAGCGACAGGTTTTACAGCATGTACCCGAAACTCTTCAACTGGTGCGGATGGGTTCCAGGCAAGTTGTCGACAGACTCGTGCGTGACGAACTGCGCAGCCTGGGTTGGTGCGATGTGAGATATTAGTGTTGCAGTCGGAAGGCTGAGTGAAGGCAAGGTCGCGGCCATCTGCCACGACGAAGCGAGAGGAGTCGAGAGGCCGGTTGAAAGTGAGGTGGTGGCCTGCTGTGGCATCAATGGTAACAGCGTTGAGAAGCTGATCAAAGGCGAAATCGTGGCTTGTGTCATGAGGCCAGTCGAAAGCGAAGTAATAGGCCGCTGCAACGGTGAAGCGAGAGGAGTCGAGAGGCCGGTTGAAAGTGAAGTTGTGACCTGCTGTTGTGTCAATGGAAACGGGGTCAAGAAGCTGATCAAAGGCAAAGTGGCCCGTGTCGTGGGGCCAGTCGAAAGCGAAGGCACAGCCTGCTGCAACGACGAAGCGAGAGGAGTCGAAAGGCCGGTCGAAAGCGAAGTTGTGGCCTGCTGTTGTGTCAATGGAAACGGGGTCGAGAAGCTGATCAAAAGTGAAGTCGTGGCCCGTGTTGTGGGGCCAGTCGAAAGCGAAGTCATAGCTTAATCGTTATTAGCTTCAAATTCTCTTCGAACCTAAAATTTACTATCTGCCCAAGCCTTTTGATGACATCATAACTTCATCACGAGTTTTACTGCCTTGGGGCGGTATGATCGCTTGCCATATGAACGCGGAATTTTGGCTTCATAGTGCATATAGCACTTTCGCACTAATGACAGGGAGGTGGCACTTGCAGTAGAATGGTCATGAGCAAGTTGAGAAGTACCCGATGAACAACAGTGAGATGTTTAGACCTGTCTTAATAGAAGCAACACTTTCTTGCAAACACTGGAGCCTACGGGTGAGACTGGTTGCCAGCGTATTGTTAGTCTGTGGTAATAAACTTTTGAGAACAATCCACAAGCCACTACACGTAATGTTCCGCTCGAGTTCAGCCATTGAGAAACGGCGACAGCAATGACTCACCTAGGACTAGAGCCAGCTCGGCTATGAGCACTCGCACGAGGTCTTCCGAAAAGCCACCCAGGGCTCTCCATGCCAGCCGGAGCTCGCCGTGAGGAACATACTCTGTGACTGTTGACAAAACAAAAATGTCTCATCCTCTACAAAAAAATAAAATATGAAATACGAATAGTTTTGTGAATAGCATTCTCTGGGTGATGCTGCACCGACTAGTCTATTTCTCCATTTAGTTTTTGCTCAAGCGATTGTATCAGGCAGCCAATCAACTTGTACCTTGCAGTGAACATGAGCCAAATAATGAATACACATGCACATAACAAGTAAGTATGGCAACCAGTCAGATATACTGCTGAAATGTGCGTAGGTGAACAAAAGGGCGAAAAGGAATGAAATGATGCCTAAGCCAACTAACACGAGATCAAGTTCTCCAGGGAAGAACCCACCTATAAAAAGCTGCTTACGGGTCTGCCAGTGATGAGTGCAGGGAACCACAAACGGATGCCGACCCAGCACCGCCTGGTGTGGAGGCAAGAAACAACAAGTGCAACTGTCAGTGTAACAGCCGCGTGAATTTTGAAACTTGCCTCTCAAATTATATGCTCTACAGGATGCAAGATAGACCATTAAGATTTTAAGAAGTGGTGAATTGTATGTATGCATTCGAGTAGGGCTGACAGACATGCATCACCAGTACCTCCAACTTTCCGACTTGAGCTTACAAAAAAAAAATGGTTGCAAATCAAATTGTAAATGTGAGGTACATGTCCCGATCAGAGCTCACATTTGACAAACAGCCATGAAACATATCAATCTATGGTACATATCAAGTCTATGAAGCATATCAAATCTATGGTAAATTTAGCACACACTGCATAAGAAAAGAATGCTCAATTCAGCTAATGGCACACCTCAAGTTCATGTTGATAAACTTAATAAATCATCTGAACAATTAGAAAGGACAAAGAAGTAAAGGAACAATCACCTGTATGGTGACTTCATCTTTGCATTGCTGAATGGCTTTCTCTCTTACAACTTGAGCTTTCGATAGGACCTGGCAAAAAGAATTAGCCACACCGGAAGATGATAGCCTATGACATAATCACACTATAGCCGTAACAGGACTCGTATTCCTACAGTACACACCATTGCTACCCTGCCAAAGACATTACTGAATTATGGCCCTTCAATCCCTCACCCTGTAGGCTTCTAGGGGCCGGTTTTGAGAGTACATGTCATAGAAAACTGCAACAAGTGTTGTTGCCGTTTCTGCTTGTTATCACAACAATACAACAGTCCTTTATAATTCACATACTACAAGCGCACATTCAAGCATTCACTCACTCTGCTTCATGCAAGCAGACAAAGCAAGCAGGTAAGGCAAAACTATACACTATAAAATTAACTAAATGAGGTCACATCAAACTAAAAAGCTCCAAATAGCTTCTTTCATCACACCAAAATATCCCAATATTAGAGACTTGCCTTGAACATTTTTTAAAAATAATAATACTAAAGGAACTGAAAGGAGGCCGGTTTCTTTTTATATATTATTAGGTGAATACAACATAAACAATTGGAAGTATTATTCATGGTTTAAAATAGGCAATAGATATTTTTTACCATTCAATACCATCTACAACAGCAAGATACAAAAATCAATTTACTACACAGGCGCCAGTATAAAAAAAGAAGTCAAGCTCTAACCTCACTCACGTTCATGCTAACCCACTAAACAGCCTCCTTACCAAAGATGCCAGAAGAACACGCAAAGGATATTCACTTCACTTTAAGATATTCAGAAATGAGCACATTCCAAGGCGAATGGACGCACCTTCATGGCATAGCACTTGCCCGTAGCAGCCTCACGCACCAAATAAACTGAACCAAACTTGCTCCCAGACAGCTGCTTGACTTTCTGAAAGGGAAACAACATTCATATGTATGTTGTCACATAGTGATGATAACGAAGAACTGAGTAGCCAAAGAGAGTGAAAATTTAACTTCTTGTCAGGAGAACTTATACACAGCAAAATTTGAAACACTCTAAGCACAATGACAGTGGCAATTGCAGTTGGTGATTGTAAAAATCTGGTCTGCAGGTGAAATGTGTTGTTAGAGATGCGTCATTGTCCATTCCAGCATAATCACTGGCACTAATTTTAAAATGCACACCTATATTTATGCTAAACCTTTTCTTGTTGCACGACCACCATAGTTTTCGTATAAAGGTTTTTTTTTTTTTTTTGCCTGGTCACCTTTGAAAGGAAATCAACCGGCATCCTCAAGCTCAGCAGCTCAACATAATAGCCACAATAATAGGTAGCTCCAAATTGATTTTGATTAGCTGTGATCTTTTTCAAACAATCTAGGTTAAGTAATCAAACATTTCTGAGCTCCAATATGCTATAGCTATAAATGTAACTTGTGGTCTACAGCCACAGCAACAGTTCCAAACATACCTGAAAGTTAGCTTCATGCAACTTGCTACGAACAGGAAACTCGGGCAGAAAAAGGGCCTCAGCCAACGTCACGGGCCACGGTGTCTTGGCCAGGGGGTCGGCAGAGGCTGCTGGCACACCCGTTGGCACTGCGCTCCCTAGTGGCGGAAGATGAGGCTGCCAGCGCAGCTGACGCCGACGGCCCAGGCTGGTGGAAGCCCGAGACCATGACCGCTGGGCACTGGCCACCGACTGCACACTCTGGCTGCTTCCCCAGCTCAGCTGTGGAGAGTCAGACAAAAAAAAAAAAAAAAAAAAAAAAAAAAACAACTTGATAGAGTAGAAGAGACGACTGAAAGGGTTTTAGTTGTCCTCATAGAACAACTAAGGGGTACTCACCAAGTCTTTTTGGCTACCTCCTTTACAGCTCACTACATTGCTAGCTCTCTTACATGTAACCATAGCGCTTCCATCTGCAGTTTGCTACTCCTCCCCTCTGACACAAATGCTAAACCAAGTGACTTCCTCATATTTATGCTTATCCCACTAGAAGGCCTGTGGTCAAAAAGAACTGGCTTGTAAATGCAAAGCAACTATGTCATTACTCCCTCCATTTCCTCGCATTCCTCAGTACAGGCAACCTCTCCGTCAGGTTTTTACTCCATCAACCAATGCAGGGTGGACAAGAGGACAGTTAATGTCGCTGCCTTTCATCTCTTTTCATTCTCTCTTCACATAAATCAGAAAACCAGCTTTAGGCGTGTGTTTGGGAATGGCATCATGTATTCCACATTTTCTTTTGTACAGCCCCGACATTGCATCTGATTAGAACCTGCAGGTAAGGCTGTATCCCCATTTTTACTCCACAAATGTACATGCATTGTGTTCGAGATGATTTCGTGTTCAATTACACATGGCATTGGGGAGATAACAGATAGCCCCGGCTGAAAGCTGTGCTCGGAGGGCATGCACCAGTTCACAGCCATTGAACGCTCAGCTCCATTATTAAAAGAGATTTAAGACCGCAAACATTGTCAAAATGCTTTTGAAATCGTCACACAGCCATAAACAATGCCGAGTGATATGCATAAATTTTTGTTCTAACATTTAAGGACATTACTTCAGTAACGTTCACCTGACACTGTGGATGAAGCTAATGGTGACTATATTGAAAATAACAAATATAAGCTACAGTGTTTCTATTGACCGAGTTCTGGCCTTGCAGTGCTTGACTCTGCTCAGATGAGGTGAATGTGCAATGCATGTATGTATATGCAGTAATCAAACATCATTCTACGGCTTAAGCCCACTTCCATGCACTAGAGCCTATAAATAGCTATAGTAGGACGACTGTCAACTGGGCATGTTGGTAAAGGTTCGTGAAGAAAAAAGCGCAAAGTGCACGAAGACTCGGAAAGAAAACACTCCATTAAGTGCTCCGTCCCCGTCCAGTGCTTCCTTTCTGAGAATACAAGCCAATTGTGCTTTCATAATGGGCCTATAAATACGCTCACTGACACGCACTAACAGGTGTCAGGAAGTACAGTACAGCATGAGCAGTTCATGCACTAGCGCACTTAATGAGCTCACTGTGTTGTCAAGATATTGTACACAGTAGCTCAATATTGACACAACTAGACTATTTTTTGCACCATTGACGTATCGTTAAGGCTAAACATTAGAATTCAATCAACCAAAGGAACAAGCAGGATTTCGAACAGGCTACTCAACAATTGACCACATTCATACTATCAATCAGGTAATAGAGAAATGCTCAGAGTATAACCAACCACTATACACAGCCTTCATAGATTACGAGAAGGCGTTTGATTCAGTAGAAATATCAGCCGTCATGCAGACACTGCGGAATCAGGGCGTAGATGAAGTATATACAAACATTCTGGAAGAAATCTACAGGGGATCAACTGCAACAATAGTGCTTCATAAAGAAAGCAACAGAATACCAATCAAGAAGGGTGTAAGGCAGGGGGACACAATCTCCCCAATGCTATTTACCGCGTGCTTACAGGAGGTTTTCAGAAGCCTAGATTGGGAACAGTTAGGGATAAGAGTTAATGGAGAATACCTTAGTAACCTGCGCTTAGCCAATGACATTGCATTGCTGAGTAACTCAGGGGACGAATTGCAACTCATGATTACGGAGTTACACAAGGAGAGCAAAAAGGTGGGTCTTAAAATTAATCTGCAGAAAACGAAAGTAATGTACAACAACCTCGAAAGGAGCAGCGCTTCGAGATAGGTAATAGTGCACTTGAAGTTGTAAAAGACTATGTCTACTTAGGGCAGGTAATAACCGCAGAGTCTAACCACGAGATTGAAGTAACTAGAAGAATAAGAATGGGGTGGAGCACATTCGGCAAGCACTCTCAAATTATGACAGGTAGATTGCCATTATCCCTTAAGAGGAAGGTATATAACAGCTGTATCTTGGCGGTACTTAGCTACGGAGCAGAAACCTGGAGACTCACAAAGAAGGTTCAGCTTAAATTGAGGACGACGCAGCGAGCAATGGAAAGAAAAATAGTAGGTGTAAACCTTAAGAGACAGAAGAGAGCAGAGTGGATAGGGGACAAACGGGGATAAGGTAATCATAGGTGAAATAAGGAGAGTGAAATGGACATGGGCCGGCATGTAGCGCGTATACAGGATAACCGTCGGGTCAGTAAGGGTAACTAACTGGATTCCCAGAGAGGAAAGCGGGTTAGCGGAGAGCAAAAGGTTAGGTGTGCAGATGAGATTGGAAAGTTTGCGGGTATAAATTGGCAGCAGCAAGCCCAGGACTGGGGTTAACCTGGCGGAACATGGGAGAGGCCTTTGGCCTGCAGTGGACGTAGTCCAGGCGGATGATGAAGATATGAGGAGACTAACCATTTAACCGTTAACGATTTCTAGCTAGCTGGTGTGTAAATTATCTTTTATCTATTTTTATAATATAATAAGGCACATTTCTTGCAAATGTACATTAGGAGAAAGAGGAAGAAAAGAAATGAAAGGCAGGAAAGTCAACCAGATGCACAATGTACAACAAAATGTCTAGAACACTAATGATGCCACCTTCACAAGCAAATCATAAGACGTGAGTAATGGGCACTGATATACGTAATGCTGTGAGCTGCAGTGTTTCGATTTATCCTGGGAATTTGCATATTATGCATACATCTGCTTTGGGCGAATGCATGCCGAAGTTGTGATGGTGAGCCTGCTTGATAAAGTACTGCTTAATTTACAATAATACGATAACGGAGAGTTTTAGAACAGTGCAATGCAAGGCTGTGCATTGAGGATCTGTCATACGCTAAACTCTAGCGGAATTTTGTTAAATGTAAAACACTAAAGCTATGCTCGCAAGCTTTGCATATGGCATTGCAAAGTTCTTTATTGTTTGGGCAATTTTAAAAAGTTCCAAGAATGCAACTGTCAAAGCTTGTGTGTACACTTAAGTAGAAAACAGCATGCAAACCTTGCGATGGTGAAACTAGTTGACAAAATATGTGCACCTTAACTGTCACTTTTAGTACTGCAATGCACAGATATTTCTTAAAAGCTAAGAGTAAAAGTGCCAGGGCTTGTGCGTACAGGTACATACTCTTCGTTTATTGCATGCTGATTTTAAACCCTTGTAATGCCTAGCAAATCATACATGCTACATTATGGTAGCTAGCATATCATATATACTTCTCTATCAATGAGCATGAGTGAGAAAATAATTTGATCAGCACTAACGGGTCATTCCAGACAACCGGCAATACGCAACTGTCAAAGTCTGCACAGACACATTATGCACTACGCATCGTCTGTCTTGGACGATTGTACGACAAACGTTATGATGATGAGCAGTCTGGCTGTCGTTGGCCCTAAAAATTTGCTGGTAATTTCTGAAAGTTCCCAGAGTGCAAGTGTCAAAGCTTCGTCAAAGACAGGCGGTATCTAAGAAGAGTGACACACCAGTGGGGCATTGTTTTTTTTAGTTCCCCGAGTGCATTTGCTACGGTGATGGCAAAATACAGCGTGAAGAAGAAGAAGGGTACACTCAGCTCTTGCGCGTAACACGGACTCGCGGATCGGGTTACTACGATTGACGGACGCAGCGTGCAAGAACGAACGTGCGGTGTTACCTTTCGGAGCCAGCCCATCGCACGCTGCGCCTCGCGTGGTCCTTCGGCGGCAGAGACCCCGTCTATTGTTATCCGGAGGTCCCGGGGACTTCGCTCATGCGATAACCTTGAAGCTCCCGGCAATTATGAGGGGACCCGAGCGCGCGGAGTTTCTCTTTTTCCCCGTACCACATCGACGCGATGCGAAAGCGCGCTGCCACGGGAGCAAAAAGCGCGCCTTTAAAAGACCCACTTTTTTTCACGCGCTGCGCCAGTTGGGCAGACAAGCGTAGAGCACAAAAGGAATTCTCGCGCGCCTGAAAGGCGTGTGCGCGCGACTCGCGCCAGAAGGACCGCCGCGAACATTCCGATGCACGCACCCGTAACAAGACGGCTCGCGCGGCATGCACACATAGGCGCACGTCGCCACTTCCTGCATACGGGAAGGCGCAGAGGGGTTCGGGGGCGCGCTTGTTCACCTGAGACTGCGCCGAGCTCCATCTCCGACACGGCTGCGGCTGGTGGTACTCCTCGGAGCTCGGTTTCGGCTGGCTGTTGCCCATGTAACGAGAGTTCCTTGCATGAAATTCGAGTTCATCGCGGCGAGGAAAACCGCCAGCCCTTCGTCCGGCGACGAGCAACGATGTTGGCGTTTGAGGACATGCCGTTGTTGCCGCGGTAACCGTGATGTGATCGCCCCGGCGAATTCACCTGATGCTGCGCTGTTTCTGCCATAGGATAAAAAAAAATAAAAAATGCGCTGTGAGTTTACTACGTCTCCTACTAGTGTGACGTAAGTAACTCTCAGAAACCGAAACCAAAGCACGCATATCTCACCAAATTACTTAAATGATTGAAATAGTTTATGTCTTGGGGGCACTAATAAATAAGTACCGTTTAAACAAGTTTGTTAATGGTTATCTTCCTAAAGTTTTATACAACTATTGTATGAAACTCTGTAGTTATCTCTAAGTTTAAGTATTTAATCTCAAAGGCTATGTTTTTGTGTGTTACAAACGCAAAATGTAGTCATACTGTTTATTTATTTAATTATAAAGTAAACGAACTTGTGTTTTGATTAAAATATTTTGATTTTTTTTTTGTTGAATTGTTTCGTTACGGCGGCTGAAATTTTTGTACATTATCACCATCAGTTTAACAAGCCAGCGAAAGTCAACGCACCGCCAGTCTCTCGACTCGAATCCGCTCGATCGAAAGGACACCGAGGGCATCATCATGGCGAGCCTAACCCTCCGGCAAGCTTTTCGCAACTTCTCGAAATCGGCTGCTCGGTTTTCCCAGCACGCGGATACACATGACCACGCAGGTCAGTATGGCGCTGTTAATTCGTTAATCCGCTCGTAGCTTGCGGTGTTTCGACCGTGAGGGGTGGAGACAGATAGGACGTCGGTGTGGCTTCTTGAACGCCGGGGCACTGTCTTCTTTCTGTTCAGTGCATTAATGCGCCTGATCTTTAAATTACATGTCATCTGGGGCACATGTGGTTGCTCATGGTACCCTTTGTCTGCGCAGCTGGTGAGCTTCTGTGGAAGAGGCTGAGTTTGTTCGTGGCCTTCCCGGCCATTGCGCTGTGCGGAATCAACGTCTACTTCGCTGAAATTGAGCACTCGAAGCATCACCACAGGCCGGAGTACCGCCCCTACGAGTACATCCACATCCGTACCAAGGTCGGATATCTTGCTGCACCACTCGCTTATTCCTAGTTCTTGTGCCGAGTCTTCATTGTCCCGGGAATGCTTGCTTTCACGTGGACTGAAAATATGCGCTATTCTATAACCAGTCATATCTCAACAACCCAGGTGGTCGAAATTTCTTTAGCCCTTTACTATGGCGTCCCAGTATATGGAGATTTTGGGATATTAAACTCATTAAACATTTATAGATATAGGTGCAGGATAAAGGACCTCAGGTGGTCAAAATTAATCCGAAGTCTCCCATTGCGTTGTGGCCCGTATGCTTCTTAATCGTGGTTTTGGCACCCGAGACCCCCGTGGTTTCACGTGCCAAAACCACGACTAAGTAGCATGATGGGAGGCTATTGGCAACGCGGTTTCACCTTCATCTTCACGTGCAGGCAATTTTCGGATTATATTTATCACTAGAAATATATGTGCAGTATTCAATTCTGTTTAAAATTGACATTAAAGATTCGCTCACACCTCTTTCAACTAAGTAACGTTATTAGCTGCCACCGACAAGAGTAATTTCATCTCCCTTCCTAGAAGAGGCACAAGGTCGTGCCGTGGGCTTATACAGACGATCTACAGTATAATTGTTTTTTTTTTAAAGAAAAATTAATGATTTTATTTATTTGAAAAAGATAATACATAGAAATAATATACAGCAAGACTGAGTGTCACTGCCTATATTCTCAGTTTTTCGATTATACGACACCAGGATTATACGACCGTTTTGTTTCGTCTCCTGAAAGTCGTATAATCGGGGTTCCAGTGCATACTACACTCAAACCTCAATATAACAAACATGGATATAACAAAATATCGGTTACAATGAAGTAAATGAAAAATAGTGCTGCAATTGACATAGTGTTGGGAATAAGCCTTTATAACAAATTTATATTAGGGAGCCCGGCTTGGGCACAAAATTTTAGACGCAACAACTTGTTATTATAGGTTTCAAACCCACCACAAAATGACCACCACGGTGGTGTTGTGGTTACGGCGCTAAGCTGCCGACTTAAAGGTCGTGGGTTTGACTTTTGCTGCGCCAGTTGCATTTTGATGGAAGCGAAATGTTAGAAGCACATGTACTGCTTGATGTCAGCACACGTTAGAGAACACCAGTTTGTCGAAATTTCCGGGGCCCTCCTCTGCGGCGTGCCTCATAGTCTTATCGTGGTTTTCGGACGTTAAACCCCAGAATTACAAACCCAATATAAACGAGGCAATTACTACATGTCAACTTCTGTCATTGAAAACTAAGTGCTCCGAAATATGAGAGGGTGATGTTACAACAGAAGATTGTTTGACAAAACAGATTAGCGTTCATATTTATTTTAATAAATATTAGGGTCTCACCCACACGAAGAAAATGTGGATGTGATGTTTCACATCCACATTTATTATTTATTACACTTATTTTCACGCCATCTTTCGAGCTTGGGGCCTCGTGCGAAGACAATATTTTTTCCTTACAGCCAATGTCACGGCAACTAACATTTTGGGTTTCATTATGAAAAGAATATCACTGAAACGAAGTGTGACCAACTAAAGTTCGTATTTAGTTAGCTATTACAATTTGCTATATCACTGTTCATAGTAGTGAGGTTCAACTGTACTACATATATTGCTGTATATACCTTCTTGCCTTCAGTTTTTATGTTGCAAACATGGTGGTTTACATCAAACGGCAGACTTTCACAACAGCTTGCATTATTCAGGATATGCATACTAAATGTTTAGCTGAGGACCTGCCAATGACCCTATTTTTTAATATATATTTAGCATACCTAATCTGCTACCTACACAATGCTGCATTTTCTGTTGCCTTGCATTCAGTGTAATAAACTTCAATATTTTCAGCATAGTCAACGAATCGATATTTTAACAGCATATAGTGGCACTGTACTTTCGTGCCCATTTTCCTCGAAGCGTGGCTTTTATTTAAATGCTTGTACGTTTTTTTTTGTAGAAATATCCCTGGGGAGATGGAAACCGTGGCATCTTCTTCAACCCCAAGAAGAACTGGGTTCCAGGAGGCTATGTGGAGTAAACACCTGAGCAGGCCCTCTGCTGACCTGATTGTTCGTTGGGAAAAATCTGACCGGGCAGCGATTCTAAGAGAAGCACAATAAAGCTAGTTATGCCCGCTTGAAATGAAGCATCTTGACTTGTTGCAAAAGCGTGCTGGCAGTGACGTGCTGCTGAGCCCAGGATTCTAAGTTTGATCTCTACCAAGGCCGTTACATTTCAGTGGAGGTCAAATGCGAGAGTACTTGGTGTGCTTAGATTTAGGCGTGCATTAAAGAACCCCAGATGGTATAAAAATAATCCCCCCAATAGCTGGTTTATGTATTGTTGCTTTTCACATTAGGACACAATTGTGACAGAAGTGAAAACACTTGCCTGTGTAATTCTTTCGCTTATTCGTTGCACATAGCATTTAACCATGATGCAAGCAAGTGACCGACCCATCAAGATAGCTATGGCGCTCGACTTAGAACCTGAAGGTCATGCGATAAAAACCCTGCTGTGGTTGTCGTGGAGGCAGAATTCTAGAGGTCTGTGTGCTTAGGTTTAGGCTCTTTTTAAAGAACCCCTGGCGGTCGAAATTTCTCAGTCCTTCCACTACGGTGGCCCTCATAATCGTATCGTGGTTTCAAGATGTTAAATCCCAATTAAGTAACTGCATGAAAGTTGCAGGATTGTTGGCCCCATTTCCAAATGTGTGAATTTGCGAACTTGCCGACTGGTAAGGGCAGCTTGGTGTTTTTTATCCTACTGAGAGCACAAGGTCGCACCCTTTTTTTTTTCTCATTGGCAGCAGCCTGCTAGAAGCAAGATTAAAGAGGCCTAGTATAAATCTCTGACATTTCAACCTATGATGAGTAGCAAGTGTTTTATGAGAGTGCGACATATGAGACCAGGATACGACTCCTAACTGCAGATGTTCGTAAAATCAAGGCCCATCACGTCGGCCGGCATCATGGTAAAAAAATTCACCCTAAGCACTTCATGCAATTGGTTAACCAGCAAAGCCAAAATGTGTGGCTTTGGTGTTTATCATGAGATAGGATCTATCCAAGTGTAGCTTTTGATTTCTCTATCGTCGCATTTAAAAGACGTCTGCTTTAAACTTGGCATTTGGTGATGTCGGCACTTAGAAGATTGTATAGGTAGCAATTAATGCTGCAGTAGGTATCGTCCTTATGCTGGCTAAACTTGAACAGCCAGTGCAAGCACACGAACTCTGGGGGCAACTTATGCTAGCATTGCTTTATTGCTATTCCTGTGCACTCACAACAGATCACCTCATTTTGACACCTCATAGACATATGCGGCATTGCTGTGAAAAGTAGAGAAACGGTGACCACGACAATACAGCTTTCCTAATGAAAGCCTTGTTCTTATCAGGGAAGTCGGGATGTCTTGTTATTCTTTTTTGGTCAGCCGCCACGTTTGTATAGAGGTTATAGTGCTCGACTACTCACCTAAAGAATGCACAATCGAATCCCGACTGCGGTAGTGACGTTTCCACGAAGGAAAAGTGCCAGAGATATTTGTACTTGAATATCACTGTAATAAACTTTTAGTAATATAATGAAGTATAGTGCCAGTTCTATCTTCTTGGCTGTATCAAAGTTTAACTGTAGTTCAAGGACCCCCAACAGCTCAGGCAGCTTAACTGTTATACGAGTAACAGTGGTTCCACTCATGAAGCGAGATTTCGTGCAATTTTTGGAGCAGCTAGATATTAATTTTGGAGCACCCCAAGTATGTGTTCTAGAAAAACCACATGCACATTGTTAAAGGCTTTCAAGAGATTTTGTACACTCAAAAAGACGAGCATAATTCCAAATAGTACTGGCATGGTCTGAAGCAGTACTGCTGTGCCTCTAAATGCAAAAACAAAGATATCTAAATTTGTATTTTCTACCATAAAATAAGAACAACCAACTAGTTCACAAAGCCTAGACTTTTGTTGTTTAATTGGAAAAGGTGCCGAGACTTTGGCTTCTACATCTCCTGAGGTATTTTGCATTCACTGCTGCTAGCTTGGCCATGTTTTTACAGCTTGGACACAATAAAAATAAAGAATACTTTTGTCTATAGAATTCCTGGTGCATATAATAACATGCTTTTTTCTAGGAAGCTAAGGAATTTAATGATGTTCTGTTGCAGTGAATATAATGAGGTTCTCAGTTTGATAGTGAACCTGCATTTTGCAACAATCTTAATTTGCAGAGAAAAGTTTCCTTTCCAGTTTTTTTTCTTGCATGAGAGTAACCTTAAGGTAAGTCTAAGTGACACACGGGACCGCACAACACCTCTTTGTCATGCTTGAAACACGCAACCAGTGGCACAATGCAGGTCTCCACACGGAATATCCCGACATTCAAGTACTAGATATATCATAAGGTGCTTCAGTGTCAATGAAGGAACGCTGAAAACGAGGCACCATAAGATGGCCTCCAAGATTAGCCAATTTCAGAAGCCATTCGCAACCAGGGAAGAAGGAGAGCGCCACCCGGCACAATCTTGTTAGAGTCCTCTTGGTCTGCCTCAACATGTCAGGCGAAATGGTCTTTGCCCGCAACGCCAGCGCAGCCTTGTTGACTTCCGTCACGTCGCCCCTTTCTTCCATTCACAATTCGAATAGTTCGCCCACTCACTATTCAGGTTTTCGCTCAAGTCCCCTCCCCACCCCCTCCTCGTTCAAAAGAAGTAATCATAGCTGGACACGCTATAGTGTGGTGTTCAGCACACTGGCGACTACAAATAATATTCATGCAGGACACGCACTCTCAAACGAGAAAAATTTGTATCTAACCGCTACACAAATATACGACGTGCGCGGGATCGACTGACCCGTAAATTGAAACACAAAGTTAGAATACATTGCCTTGTAGACACTAAGTGTGCTGCCTCTGAACCTTTTTTTTTTCCTCCACAGCTGTACACGACGGACTGCCAGCACTGTACGGCAAGCACAAAGGTCGTGCTGTTCGAAAGCATCTCAAGTAGCAAATGTGAATTTCGGTAATGTTGAGCGCAATTTATTGAACCTCTACGTCAAGCATGTCTTGATACTGTCGCCAATTTTGGTCATGACCTGCGAGATTGGACTGCATATACCGTCTCGGAGGCAACATTTTGGCGCATTTAGGTGCAAAGTCATGCTTTCTTATCAGGATGGTGCAGAAAATCTCGTTTGGCACAAGAGTGGGAGCACTGCAGTAACAAATGTGTAACCTTTCATGCAATACAGAACAGAACTACATGATTTCACACACAGATGCTATTGGTATGTTTTTTCAATGTGTTAAAGAGCACATAGTGAATACTGCCAGCTGATATAGTAAGAGCAAGATGAATTCAGGCTGTCAGTATTGCAAGTCTATAATTGTATGACACTATGCAAGTGTTCTCAATACGGTGATGTCCTCTGGAAAAGTTCTAGTGAAAAAATCTTCTAGGTTTCAGTGATGCTGCAGTGATTGCACATTAACACGCACACTTCACGCATGTTCTCACGCGTCGTGATACACACAATGCACAAGTGCACAGTGACATTTATTTTCCTGAAACATTTATACAAAGATACTGTCTCAAAATTATATTCTATAGTCAGGTACATGCTAACAGTATTTTTGTGTACATTTATTATTTTCTAATTTCTTGTACACAGAAGCCAAAGCAAAATTAAAGGCATCACTTTCTGCACACATTAATGTAGCCTGACCATTCTTTTTTCGTTGCCTTAAAGTTTAAAGCAATCCGAACTGCGTAAAAAGTTCCCTGCCCAGCCAATAGTGCGATTTTGAATATTGGAGATGTGTGCCTCTCAATGCAATTTCTACAAAAGCTAGCTTTGCTATCCAGAAATGCATTTTATATTGCCAGCTTTATTCACAATAGTAATAAACACCAATTCAACAGCAAGAAAAAAAAAACACATAAGAACTTCCATATATTATGGCTTTAGATATAAACAATTCTCTACTTCTACACAATGGCAGCTTATTCTGAATAGCCTGGAGTTACGACATGTAGTGCTAGATACCTATTAACGAAATTTTGTTCAAGTCATAGAACTTGAGAAACAACATTCAACACTTGTGTCATGCAAGGTTGTCTTTAGCTGTTGCCTTACAATTTTGCTGCCGAAGTATATGAAACTATGTACTACAGTTATAATGACCACCAGGTAATTGCACTCAGCAATTTTTACAAATATTTGTCAGCAAAACGACTGGTAACAGGTCAACAAACAAAAGCAACAATCACAACTGACAACGACGACTTCAGCGTCAACAGCATGGACGGCTGCTCTGCAACACCAAACTTGAAGGCATTTTAAAGTGGAATGCAGACACACAACCATGCAGATGCACCTCTGTCCAAGTCCTCAAGTGATCACTTGTTTGAGATCAATAACATTCCATGGCCACACAATGCATGCTGGCTGTACTAACGGCAAGACGAAATTGACACAGAGGCCTTAAAAGTACCACCTATGCCAGGTTCTGCCCTATCAACCAACCTTTTTTTCACTAGACACTCGCCGGAGGGAGGGCCAGTAGTGTTAGTGTTTATCAAGAGCTTAGGACTAAAATGCATTCCAAGGACATGCACAAAAGAAAGACGAGGTGTTTCGCGCTGATCCAAGAAAAGGTCTGCACATAAAAACTTAGTCCTTGGAGCTGATGCCACAGGCGATGAAACTTGTAAAAATATTTAGGCACCATAAAAACCAGTGTCGCGAGGGCATTCTTGATTGTGATCAGGGCCGATACGATCGGATTTCTTAATCACCATCACCGACAATCACTGCCACATGGTTAAAAAAAGCAATCTGTATCGAGTTCGGCACAGACGTCAGTCGACTGGCAATTTAGGAGCAAGATTATATGCACAGGTTGTGATTGCCTCGCTCCCAATCAGGCCTGACCGTAATTAAAAGTGACTATGTGGCAGCATATGACCTTGACTCAACCTAATCCAGATCGGTTGTGATTGCAATCGAAAGTGCTCATGTTACACCAGTATAAGTTCCGAAGTTGATACACTGCTCGATGCCATCTGGCAATACAGGATGCTATACATTCACTGCCAATGGAATCTACTGGCGCTAGCTGAAATTCACACGGTTACATATATGTACGAACACTCAACAAAATGGAGGAAAGGATGGCTGCCGCCACAGCACAATTGGCAGTGCACATGACAGATAATGTGAACATTGTGGGTTCGTTAAGTTTTTTCCTTTTGTTTTCTTTCATTTGCCTTTGTCATATAATTAATACAACTGAATGAAAAAAATGCAAGTAATGCCCATTGTACTTTGATTGCTTGTCTTAATTACTGCTTGCCTCATATTTTCACCATTCTTGCAAAAATATATAACAATGTTGTTGAAATTTTGGGTGCCAGAAAAAAAACAAAAGGTGTCTTGAAACTGTCATTTAATGCTCCTTGTGTTAATGTGTACTGTTGTAAGACACGTCTTGGATAGGTTCAAAACAAATCGTAAGATAATGGTTTCATTGTTGCATTCCCAAGAAGAATGACAGCAGTACTTGCAAGAGCTGTGGTGTAATACAGCAGCATTATGTGCAATTTATTGATTTCACAGCTCTGTTTCTCTTTTACTCTGCCTCAACAGAGAACCAGTTATGCAACCAAGAACAATGTTACGGTGTAGCCAGTTGGAAACATAAATGTTACACTACGTTGAATACCCTTAGAGCCTCATGATGACAGGTGCCATAAACGAAGATTACAGAAAAACAAGTTATTGAAAAATAAGACTAGGACTACAAAATGTAGACATACATTCGACATGTGAGCAATCACAAGCCTGCGATGAAATGCTTTGAAAAACGAATCTGCATGACTCAGTATGCCTTCGGTAAACACCATTCATGCCAGCTTCTTTTTTGTAAGAGTTGCTGTCTCCTGCACGAGTTTGCAGACGTGCAAACTAAACGCACGCAGAAAGGTAAACGTATTGATAATTGTTTCACGGAAACTGGAAACCCAATTTTCCACATTATGTTATGCATGTCTCCCACTGGCACAAAGGTATGAGGACATTTTTTCAACTGTAACACTTGAAACAATTGATCAAGAATTAAAATAAAGTACACTAAGATTTTCCAAAAAATTAAAGATAGTACATACTGTTTTGTCGCTCGAAATGAAGAGTGTTCCATGACAAAAATACTCTTTTCATTCTGTAAGAACAGTAAGCTGACAGGTACCAACAAGAACGTTGCTACGCTGTTTGAAAAATTGCCCCGCCGGACGGCCTAGTGTCTAATGTACTTGGCTGCTGACCCACAGGTAGCGGGATCTAATCCTAGCTGCGGCGGCTGCATTTTCGATGGAGGCGAAAATTCTGTAGGCCCATGTGCGCAGATCTGGGCGCGCATTAAAGAACCCCAAGTGGTCGAAATTTCCGGATCCCTCCACTACGGCGTCTCTCATAATCATATGATGGTTTTGGGACTTGTTAAACCCCACATATCAATCAATGATATTTGGAAATGATGGGAATAGTTTGTGTGACAATGGCCAGAACTTTGGAATTCGTAACATATTGTTTGTTCGAAGTGGATGTGGATGCGGGTGGGGCTGAACGAGAGAGCAGGTCTGAAATGATCGGCCCCAGTATTTGCAATCCCAAAGTTCCTACTTTTCCTGAAGTGAACAACACTAAAACAATTTTTAATGTTTGTAACATCGTTATAACAATCGTAAAAAGGCCCTCTAAAGAGTTGAAATTTTGCAACAAATCTGTATGTGCCTGCAAGCATGCAAGAATTTAGCTGCATCATCAGATCTTTGTTTGGTCCGCATACTCTTCACTACAGTTTCCGTTTTTTTAGCATGCCACCCAGAGTCGTTCATACAGTTGTGGCGCATCCACCGGAAAGACACTGGTATAGCAACATTCAACAAGCACAGGCACGACATAGGCCGACAACAATGCGACAATCACAACGGTAACAACATCAGTGGCCACAATGACGACGAACGACAGGAGGCATTGCCCGTGACACTTTGGCGTAGAGCGATGCCGTCGCCTTCACAATGCAAGTTCTCACTTCAGGAGCCGCCGCATCGTGGAAAGAGAAGAGCTGCGGTAGCCACCACCAAAATGGTTCCTGTAAAACGTGCAGCTACAGATCAAAATCACTCCAACGTTTCAGTGATAAAAATACATTTTAATAAAAGTGGCTTTTTCAAACAAACTACAAAGTAGCCCATTGACAGTACAATCTTGGAGAATAGTTACAGTAAACTGTTTTTTTTTGTGTGTGTGCGTGTGCGTGTCCGATTTCTTGCCTCAACATTTCTTATAACAGTGTTCTTGTGGTGGATCACCACACAACTTTTCATTGGACATAAAAACAGTGTTCTTAAAGGCTAGTGAAGTAAGGATGTTGTCTTTCAATCAATCAACATTGCTATGGCAACACTAATCACAAAGAGCATTGTATACAGAAAGGACGCTACAGTAATAAGTGACTGTGTGAAGTGTTCGTAAATGAAGAGAAAAGACAGTGAAACTTCGATTATACGTCCCCCTATTTTGCGATGACTAGCATTTTAGAACGAATTGGTTTGGTCTCGGTTAAATCCACACAGAAATAATGTATTAAAATCTTTGTTTATGCAATGCAGTTTTCGGGCAACCCCGCATCTTACGACGACGTTAAGACTCCGTCCGAAAGGAAAAACCACCTTTACGCGAATCAAACGTTGACCAAATATTCACGAGTGCAAAATATGAACTTGCGTATCCCTAGGTTGACGATTGGAGAAGTAGAGAGTGAGACAGGATGTCCTTCTTAGAATGAAAAATTTATTCTTCTGAAAGTTCATGCGCTTCTACACACGCCGGTATGACGTGTGTATGTACCCGGAGCTGTTACCGAGTCAAACTCTATCCACACAAAGTAGCTCCAGCTGGCTGAAAAGCTAATATTTTCATGTTTTCTGTCCATGAAAACAATTCCTGGTTGACATACAGCTGATCTCCTGCCTTTGTCGCACTCGCAGCCAGAGGTTTACGGACGCATAAGGGCATGACGCACCTGTTTTCACTGTGTAAAATTACCTTCACTTGACGTCGATTCATAACAAAAGCGGGAGATCACTAGTTGCACTTCACAAGGCCACAAATTACAACGTGCACAGATCAGTCGCGCACGAAGGCATTCTACGCACACTCGTGGTTCGTCGCCATTATGTGATAGTGATGACACTGTGTTTGAATCTTCTGATGGGAGGCTATTGGCAACGCGGTTTCACCTTCATCTTCACGTGCAGGCAATTTTCGGATTATATTTATCACTAGAAATATATGTGCAGTATTCAATTCTGTTTAAAATTGACATTAAAGATTCGCTCACACCTCTTTCAACTAAGTAACGTTATTAGCTGCCACCGACAAGAGTAATTTCATCTCCCTTCCTAGAAGAGGCACAAGGTCGTGCCGTGGGCTTATACAGACGATCTACAGTATAATTGTTTTTTTTTTAAAGAAAAATTAATGATTTTATTTATTTGAAAAGATAATACATAGAAATAATATACAGCAAGACTGAGTGTCACTGCCTATATTCTCAGTTTTTCGATTATACGACACCCGGATTATACGACCGTTTTGTTTCGTCTCCTGAAAGTCGTATAATCGGGGTTCCAGTGCATACTACACTCAAACCTCAATATAACAAACATGGATATAACAAAATATCGGTTACAATGAAGTAAATGAAAAATAGTGCTGCAATTGACATAGTGTTGGGAATAAGCCTTTATAACAAATTTTCGCACACTCTAATGGACCTATTCGTATAAGATGCAACTTTGTTATAATGACGTCTGAGTGTGCAACGAATCACCACACACATGGCTAAAGGCTAATCAAAGAAAGCAAACCCTCTTATTAACTAGTCCCCAACAGAATTTTACACTTGCTTGTCAAACTACAATAGCTTTGCTTTATGTACATTCAAACACCTACCACATTATTTTTTAGTTTCATGCTGCAGTTGTTGACAACACTTAGGATTAGGTTTGCAACCGACTAAAGTGGCTCAGATGAGCATATGTGTGGCAACGAGTAACGCTGCTTGCACCATGGTCACTGAATGTGACATATGTAGAAAACAAAGACTACAGGTTAGTTTGCACTATCTTAATACAAGACTACATGTGCTGCAAGTATCACAGCATCAGTGTGATAATGAATGCTTTTATTTCATAACGATTCATTGAGCCCATAACTTTGTGCTTTGCAGAATAATTCCAAGGCCACATTGAGCATGTGCTCAAGAATCTCGGGTTGTCTAAATTATGTTGAAGACCTCCAGCTGTCTCAAACCAAGGCAGCTTTTAAAAACTAATCACTGATGCCAAATTTGTAGGCTTGTGCAAAGAGTGAATTTTAGGTTTGAAGCGAATTGTGTTTTGGTTTGAATATTTTCGAAACGAATTTGAGTAGTATATATCATATATTATAAATCGATCGATTGATATGTGGGGTTTAACATCGCAAAACCACCATATGATTATGAGAGACGCCGTAGTGGAGGGCTCGGAAATTTCGACCACCTGGGGTTCTTTAGCGTGCACCCAAATCCGAGCACACGGATGTATTATAAATTAAAATGAGCATATTTGTCATGACCTAACTAGCCCGTACAATATTTTTAATTTTTAAATTGAAACAAGGCATGCGCAAATGTCATTCCTTGTGGTTCAGAGGAAGTGGAAGTAAGAAGAAATAGTAGCAGGACTTGAGTTTCGGCAGAATGCAAGTGATAACTTGTAAAATACATGACGTTCTAAAATTTACCATATCTAGAGCATATAAGCAAGTACAACAAGCTTCTAAACTTAAAATATGGTGAACTATTAGATGACTACATGTTCATTTAATTTTTAATTTTCAAGTAGCACTTCGCAGCAGTGCGGATTTTCCCTGGACAAGTGTATTCACAGTACGGCACTCTTTTACTGCAATGGAACCACCTTTACAAAAAGTTACATGCGCATTAACGTTGGCTTCGAGATCTTGGAGAGGCACCCTCTTGCATGTGAAATCAATTTGAAGATTCCACTTTGAAGTGCGCTACAGCCGCCGCAGCTCCTGTATGCAGATCGTCTGCTCCACACGAAAACTTCGTCGAACTAACAGCCTTGCGATGGTCAATGAACACCTTCAACAGCTGTTTTCGAGTGCGTTTATAATCTTGTTTTAGTTGCGGCCCAATTGACAGGGCCAGAAAATCCGTCAGATGGAAGACGAGTGCACCGAAGTTACCGACCACATTGCAGGTAAGAAAGTGTAATTATGTGTGTGTGTGTGTCCTCGCTCGTTAACACACTTTCCGCCGTACGGCACTATCTTTTCAGGTGTTTTTTCTTTCTATACTATTAGTAACCGTGCCTTATTTCAGCATTTACAAGAGTAGATAAAGCTTCTGAAACATCGCGGTGTCTCATCGAGGGCGATGCCTGGTATCACGCAGACCACGTTGTTGAATGCGCGGTCGAGGCTGTCAACAGAGATCGCATCCCCATCGTGGCTCTCGTCCTCCAAACAAGTAGATTTGCCAGCCTGCCACACAACCTTTTCGTCGTGATGGACTGCGGCAAAGTCTATGCGTGTAACATAACATGTGTGAAGCAAGTTGAGGCAATGTCTTCGTGTAACCTAACATAGAAGTTATGTTCACTGCGGGCCTGCAATTGCTGTCAAGCTCATATCACATTTTGCATGGCGCTAATGTTTCTAAATTAAAAACCTAGTCACCAATCTGAACTAGTTTGAATATTTAAAGTAGTGACAGTTCTTAGCTTAATAATGAAATATTTAAGTGCAGTGCTACAAATGTCTATTATTCCTGTAAACAAAAAGAGACTATAAATACTTTACAGCTCCAAAAATTTGTATTGCTGTTACAACATAAGACTGCAGGTGGAGTATAAATTCATATTTCATGCACGAGCCTAGGAAGACCAATAAAATAGTAATATAATGTAGTTAACATAATCTATATGTGCCTTTTAACATTTTACCTTGCGCAGCACTCCTCGCAGAGACAAGCAGTGGCCCTCAGTTATATCAAACAAAGCGCTGCGCTTTCAAAAATAGTTAAAAGCAGAGACCCACGGTTGTCCTAACAGCGGTGGTAGCCATCACATATCAGATAACCAACTGAACTGCTTCTTCGTCGAGCTTTATCCCGCACGGTTGTTTCTATACGGCACCAGACTTCAAAACGAAAGCGAGTGAATGCCCAGATAGATGTCAACAAGCGCCGTTCTCAGTGCCCCCATCAGTCACACACCAGGCCAATACACCCATTTGTTCATTTCAAATACCTCCAAATTCCTAATATTTTGAATTCGAATGCACACTGCATTATTAGTTCGAATTATTCGCACAAGTCTGCAAATCTGGAACTACTGTTCAACATCTCCCCCCACCCACCCTTCAGTACGTGTTGTTAACGCATGGGATGCTGTCACCTACCAGTGGTTGAGGTAGTGGAAGAGATGGTAGAAGTCGAGCCTCTTCTCAAAGCCCGCCGCCTTGGGTATAACCTTGAAGTACGCCGAGTAGAATTTGCCGTCAAAGCCTCCAAACAGCTTCGCTATGGACAGCTCAAACTCCGCGTGCCCGTAATACGATGCTGGATCAAATATAACTGCAAAGAAATGACATAAACACTTTTATTTTATTTTTTACTTTGCTTTCATGCATGCTTGAGGAACAGACACTGTGAATGAAGCATGCTGTGGATAAGATCACTGATGTCTACAGATTATCACACAGCTAAAAACAACATGAATCTAAACAATTAAGGTGAAATAGGGACACCTCCCAAATGTTTTCAAAGGTGAGTAAACTTTGACACCTTCATGGAATGCACACCACTTGCACATGTATGTGCAGACACATAAAGAGAAACTAAACAATCCATTTTAGGGACTTGCAGACAACCTTGGCAAATTCTGCAATACAGTTAAAAAAAGTGGTGCAGCTACACAAGTGTCAAGTGAAAGTTAAGCTGTTTTTTACATAAAACTACTAGCCAGCCTCAATATTACATTGCTTAGTTTCATGTGAAGCAAGCCAGAAACAACTCAAATACGAAGATGCAAGTTACCCATTGTTGCGAAAGACGGACCGATCCCACCGCTGCCACCACTGTTGCGTAGCGTATGTTTATCAGCTCGCGACTGCTTCTGCGCAGAGCCGATAAGACGAGCGGACGAGACGACGGTGAGTTAAACAAGGTTTATGTACAGCATATATACAGAGGCGTTACAATTTCGGCACTGGGGCCGACAGAGACTCGAAGAGCCGAGCTCTCCTCTCTAACACATAGGTCAGCCTTTCGCCTAAGACCGCTGACTCACACACATGTCGGCACTCCGACACGGGGACGCCTCTCACATAGGACCGCCGATCGCGACGCGCCGCAGGGCTTCTTTTATTTACACCGGGTCCAACCAAAATGTCCAATCAGAAGCACCGCTGGTCGTCAGGGCAGATTCCGCCAATGGGGGTCGCCGCGCCATGCGTCAGACCACCAGACACGCGGACGCCGGCTCGCTGTCACGCGCGCAGCTGACTCACTGCACGTGGGCCAGAGGGGCGCCGCGCGTGTTCACGCCGTCGAGGTGATCGCGCCAGGCCGACTGCGGGCTGGCCTTGACCCAGATTGCCTTTTTCAGAGGCACGGTCGTTTGACGAGGACTCGCTGGCATAACAGCACCCCCGCCGCCAGACAATGCACCGGAAAGACGAGCTGCTTCCACGGGGCTCGGATGTCAGGTGCGCTCGTTCGCCAGGTCCCTCCAGGTTCGCCTCCAGGGCCATGGGGAGAATACAGCTCCAGACTGTTCCGGGAACACATACCATTTTTGACGACGGATCCCAGCTCCACTGGCTTGTCGCCACAACTTGCTGACCAGCTTCACTCGTCTCTTCTGACCATCTTCGGTTTCAGCACTTGTCGATTGTTCTGCAACTTGCTAAGAACGGTTCGACAACAGACAACACACGACACAAGCAAGTGCCCTCGGTCACCCGACAGAACACCAGACAAAGTATAGTACAACATATACCTATCTACGTGTTTATCAGAATTTTGTTCCCTCTACATCAAGAGGCACATGTGGGACAAAAGACCCTTAAAATGACAACTCAATTTTTTCCCCACGTACAACAACGTAACGGATTAGAATACCACATAAAGTTGGCCCCTTGAGATCACTCTGAACGAGAGCGCTCAGCCCAGGTCGTGATGAGGTCAAAATTTTGCCCCGAATCGCCAGCCAGAAACCGAAAGGTTGAGAAGTTACTAGCTGGAACGCGCTGCTCAATGCACCTGCATTAGCGTTTACCTTTCCTTTATTTTTTTTTTTTTTTTGATAGCGAACGTCAAAGTTGCGCTGTGGAGCAACATGCTCCACTTCAGTAATCGGCCACTTTTAGGCGACGATACCTATGCGGCACCAAGAGCGGCTCACACTTTCGACGTTGCACAGGGGAACAACGATACGGCTTGTTACTGATTGACTCCTCACCGCTTAGCTCGATATCGTGTTCGATCACCGTCGTGTCTCCGGGACGGTCCGACAACACATACCCAAACTCGGAAACAATCTTTCTCAGGTCCTCTTTCTCAGGTCCTCCTTCACTTACGCTTGGCTCTAGGTTTATCTGCTCCCGGATTACTTTCGATCCCCCTTCAATTACCTCACTAGAACTCAAAATTTCTGCTTCCTCTTCCTTTGAAGCATTCAACAACAGATTTACGACCGCTTGATGTTGAACGTATGGTTTCATCAAGTTGTAAATTTTGTCCGGCCGCCTTCCTAATTTCACTTCATAATTTGTATCGCAAGGCTTCGATAATACTTTGGCGGGCCCTTCCCAATCAACCTCAAGCTTGTTCCTTTTGGACGGCTGCAGCAGCATTACCTGATTATCAACTTCAAAAGTACTCTTCTTCACCGATTCCTCGTAGTGCTCCTTCGACAGCACTTTTGTCGCGTTTTTCTGGCTTTCCACTAGCGCTTCAATCTGGCTTTCCACTAGCGTTTCAACCTGGCTTTCCACTAGCGCTTCAATCTGGCTTTCCACTAGCGTTTCAACCTGGCTTTCCACTAGCGCTTCAATCGAGAGGTCCTCACGCTGCTCTCGAATGAGCGTCTCTCGATCAACTCTCGGCAGCTCGCTCCAACTTTCCGCTACAGGCGAGAGCGTTGCAGCCCCCTCGCTCTGATTCAATGGCGCCATGTCGTCTCCCCCAACGCATACCGCGCCGGCCGCTTCCGCGACGGGCCGCTCGCGTGACTGCTCACATGACTCATGCGGAAAATTTTCTTTCTGGGGTTCCGTCGACCCGCCGACAAGGTCACTTGAGAGTTCACTGCATTGAACCAGATCAAGCTGCCGCGATAACTTCCGCGCTTGCGATCGCGTGAGGGCCATACACGCAAAGCCGGGGAAGAACGATTTGCCCTGCTCTTTGAGAAGCTGCTCCGAGTTGTTGGAGAAAAGATAAGGAAAACGATCGTTCAGCGCGGCAGACACAGCCGCTTCGGTGCGAAGCTTACCGAACGGGCCTTCAATGACAACCGTGGCGATTGGTAAGCGAACACTCTGCTCCTCGGCGACTTGCCTGATCCACGCGCATTCTCCTGTGAAGTCATCCGGAGACACCAATGAAGGATGGACAACGTCCATGGTTGCCGCTGAGTCTCTAAGTGCTCGGCACGTTTTCTCATTGACCCTAATTTCTTGGAGATACGGCTCCAACAACCGAATGTTTTTTTCTGATTCTCGGATCGTTGCGAAGGCAAACTTTTCCTGACAGTTTCTAGCGATGTGCCCTTCCTTTTTACAGTTGTAGCAGATTAGCGGCTTCCGTTTGTTTTCCGATTCAAATGCCTGTGTGGTAGAAACCTCACTCGATTTCTCCGCTTCTGTTTGCCCTTCCCCTACACTGTCCTTCGTAAGAGACGGGTCCTTCTTGAAATTACGGTGCGGAGCGGGTTTCCGTTGATCAGGTTTCCTTGAAAAGCCCTCTTTCCTTTCATCCTTTTCAACGCGCACTGCCCTGCTATGCAACTTTCGGCGAGTATAATACTCCTCAGCTAACTCAGCTGCCTTGTTTAACTGTACGTCCCCAAGTCTGTCCTGCAGCCAAAGTTTGACATCCTCCTCGATGCAGCGGTAGAATTGCTCCAATGCAACGCATTCCACCACTTTATCGCGGTCGTCATACACACCTTCGCCCTTGAGCCACTCAATTAAATCGGCTTTAAGACGAAACGCGAAGTCAACGTGTGACTCATTCCCCTTTTCAGCATACCGGAACCTTTGCCTGAAAGCCTCGGGTGACAACTTATAACGTCTCAAGAGCACTTCCTTAACCTCGTCATAGCTCTCAAACGCTTCCCTCGACAAGCAAGTTATCGCGTCGGACACTTCGCCGGGAAGAAGAGCTAGTAGGTTCCGCGCCCAAAGAGACCGCTCCAAAGCGTTTCGCTCACAGACGTGTTCGAACTTGACGAGATACTTCGCCATGTCCTCGCCTACTACGAACGGTGGCAGTTGGTCCCGAATTCTAAAACCGCTGACCTGAATCGTCGGAGAAGCTACGCTAGGCGCCTGCGAACACTGTAGGATTGCCAATTCTAATCGTTTCAACTCTAGGCGCTCTTGTCTCTCGGCCTCCTCGCGACGTTCGCGCCTTTCAGCTTCTTCGCGAGCTTCGCGCCTTTGAGCTTCTTCGCGAGCTTTGCGCCTTTCAGCCTCTTCACGCTCGCGAGCTTCTCGCCTTTCTTCACGTTCGCGAGCTTCTCGCCTTTCAGCTTCTTCACGTTCGCGAGCTTCTCGCCTTTCAGCCTCCTCGCGGCGTGCTTTGATATTCACCCAGGCCTCATCGACTTCCTCCTCCGACACTCCCTCATCCTTCATGATCTCAAGGATCGCTTGCTTTCGTTTCGCACGGCCCAAAGTAATGCCGAGTTCTTCACAAATTTCGATGAGTTCCTTCACTTTAAGGTTCTCCATCGTTCACACTAGCCTCTTGCTGTTTGCCCCTGTTAACAATTTACTTGCCGTACCCACTATAAGTCAACTAGCAAGACGCGCAAGCAACTTTTCACTCTCCCGTGTTTACCCCCTCCGCATTAACTTTGGTTTCAAAGCACTTCGACTTTGCTTGAAACGATCAAAGCTCACTCTAATGCTTCACACAGCCCTTCTCTAAACTACTACAACCTGAGCTAGAGTAGTCTGGTGAACTGAGGGGAAAACATCAGGCACTCACCGCATCGATGTCGCTGACGCCGGCCGATCCCGCAGCTGCCAACCACTGTTGCGAAAGACGGACCGATCCCACCGCTGCCACCACTGTTGCGTAGCGTATGTTTATCAGCTCGCGACTGCTTCTGCGCAGAGCCGATAAGACGAGCGGACGAGACGACGGTGAGTTAAACAAGGTTTATGTACAGCATATATACAGAGGCGTTACAATTTCGGCACTGGGGCCGACAGAGACTCGAAGAGCCGAGCTCTCCTCTCTAACACATAGGTCAGCCTTTCGCCTAAGACCGCTGACTCACACACATGTCGGCACTCCGACACGGGGACGCCTCTCACATAGGACCGCCGATCGCGACGCGCCGCAGGGCTTCTTTTATTTACACCGGGTCCAACCAAAATGTCCAATCAGAAGCGCCGCTGGTCGTCAGGGCAGATTCCGCCAATGGGGGTCGCCGCGCCATGCGTCAGACCACCAGACACGCGGACGCCGGCTCGCTGTCACGCGCGCAGCTGACTCACTGCACGTGGGCCAGAGGGGCGCCGCGCGTGTTCACGCCGTCGAGGTGATCGCGCCAGGCCGACTGCGGGCTGGCCTTGACCCAGATTGCCTTTTTCAGAGGCACGGTCGTTTGACGAGGACTCGCTGGCATAACACCATACTGCACGCAAAATTCCTAAACATTCCTTGTACTAAATAGTGTCCTGCCAGAGTTGCATGATTTCTGAAATAATCAAGTCATGATTGCTGGGTCACACAGAAAGTCCACATTCTGCTGCACAAATGTAGCTGCTGTCAAGGTGTGATAGGGAACACCTTATTTGTACAACAAAACTCGAATGACCTAGCTTCTGGAATGAAGTAAAGAGCTTTAGATGTTAAAGTTATCTATCACGTGATTAGTGCATGAAAAAACTAATGCAAACAGCATCACATATATTTAATAATCTATCAACAGTGAAGTACAATGTTAAAACAAGCCTACATTGTATTCAAGAGAGTTTACAATGGTAAGGTACAGCTCCAGAAGGCAGTGGCATATCAACCTTAAAGGTGGCAGCGTCCAAGCCTGTATCGGTGGCTGCATGCTATAGAGTGATGCCTCATTCTGTACAGCCAGTGACTCCACTATTGAAGAACATCGTGCCCATGAGAGCAACTCCTATTTCTTTAGTTGAAAAGCCTATTGGCAACCCTGCTTCGGTCATCTAAGTTGTATTCGGCCATGAAAAGACAATTGTTGTTTCCCAAAATACACTCAAACCTGAATATAATGAACCCAGATATAATAAAATATTGGTTATAACAAAATCAATGAAGAGTAGTCTTGCAACAAATGTAGTGTAACGAATATACCTTTATTACGAGTTTTCAGGTATCACGAATTTATTTTTGTGTAAGATGCAACTTTGTTATAATAAGGTTTAAATGTAATGAGGTTGAATGTATGTGATTGGACACCAACTAGCCCCACAACAAGCCGTTCTGCTAGGCTCCCAGTAAATAGAAGTATCTCAAACAGAACAACTGCCTTTAGCAAGACTGGTCTCCTACTTGTAATTTACAGCCTTATTCATCAAATTAAACATGGTCCCTACAGGTTCCATTTAATGAGAGCCTGCTGCATATGCGCATTTTATAAGTGCCAGTACATCTGCATCCTTCCTGAATAGACATTGTGAAAGGCAGCGAGAGAGAAGGCATCCTATCAAGGGTGCGAAGCAGTTAACTGGGATAACAGAAGCTTACTCGGTCCGTCCTCGTACTCAGCCACATTTCCGCCCCAGAGGTCACCGTGAATGAGGGCAGGCTCAATTTCCAGGCCCTCAAAGAAGGACGGCACCTTGTGAACCAGCAGAGACCACAGTTCCGGAGCCTCGCGGTCGTGGTACTTTTCCTGGGCCATTCTCACTTGGGCGTCAATACGCTGCCGGCAAAAGAATTCCTGCGCAGGACCAACAGAGGGAAGCAACAGCCATGTCTATGGAACGCTAAGCAAAAGCGTGATGCCTAAAAGAGGGTGTGTTAGAAGCCCATGTAAAAAACTGGCTAATACTGGATATACAGTAGAACCTCGTTACTTTGGAGTAAATGGGGCCGCGAGGAATCTTCGAATTAAGCGAGCTTTATGAATTAGCAGAACTTACGAAAAGTGGGATGCAAGGCACTTGGAATCATTCGAGGTAATCAGGACGGGTCGTTTGCTGTGCCAGATGGTTTGCGACTTCGAGGGTTATGTTTTCCCACAACACTTAATTTTGCCCCAAATATGGAGGAACGGCTGACCTCATTGCTGCTGCTGCAAAAAAAAATTAAAATGCTGTTGTTACCAAACTAAAATTTGCACCTGCGAAAACCAAGACATGCCTTACTGTAACACAGTAGTGACACGCGGGCAGCATGTCGCCTGCTCCTCGATGCGAGAGTGCCTCATGATGTGACCATTCACCCATTCTTTCTGGTAAGGTAAATCGTTAAATAATGGTCTGTGTGACGGAATTCGTGATATTTTTCGACTGGAAAGCATGATCATTCAAGCTTTCAAACTTAGATTTCAAAGTAGGCATTGCAGGCAAGAACTTCGCCAGCAGTGCAAGTGCGCAAAGTGCAGGAGTCACCGGCAATCAGAGGTTCGCATACATTGCGAATTCTGCCAAACCATCCTTTATTAAATTTCTTTACAATCACCATAGCAATGCGTGAATTATGACACACTGATGTAGCGAGAAACATATGCTGCCAGCGCATCATCGCTGTGTTGCAGTGAAGCACGTCTTGTTTTCCACAGGGATACGTTTCAGTTGACCACGATTTTTTTTTTTTTTTTTGTGGGGGGGACTGGAAATAACGAAGCTTGCGTGCTTATCCCTTTCAGACGCCACCTTTGAAAAACTGTCTGTAAATGTGTCAAATCACTACAACGTCACTTCAAGGCACTGAGTATTTTATTACAAGAATAATAGGATAAATATAGCATTTATGTGTGTTATAGAGACTCATATTAATTAAGTTGTAATTAATTATCTCTTTACCCTGACATCATTGGTGCTTACTTTTGGCATTAACAGAATAAAATCTCAGGCTAGGAATGTAGTGCAAAATTCATTTTTGGTTGTGTCCACTTTTAGCAAAGAAACATTCTGCTTTTCACATTGGTAAGGAAGCGGCATGTCACACGGCTTGTCAAACATGTAGTGTCTTCAGAAAGGTGATCATATGTATCAGTACACTGAAAAATGAGGTTAAATAAGGACAAATTTATTATGCAGGAGGTTCAATTCATCCAAAGTAATATATATCTTCCTCAACCTTAGCATCTACTTGCTGCAAATAGCGAAAACGAGTGATGCACACAATTGTGTACATAGCTACTCAAAGGATTAAGCTGCCACTCATCAGTATCACTACGTTTCATTATCTTGTGGCTCTTGAGGGCCGTCGTTTCCACAGATTTGTGGCGAAACTAAGATCAGGAGTCGGCATGTACATGGCAACCGAGGTTTTTCGAATTAACCTAGACTGGTGCTGACCGCCGCTTCAAATTATCTACTCAGACTTGCATTGCAAGATACGGGGCTGTGAAAATATTTTGAATTTAGTGGAATTTTGCAATAATTGAGTTCGAATTAGTGAGGTTTTACTGTACATGATAACTTTTATGCTTAAAGAGACACTGAGGAAAAAGACGATTTTTCTAATACTAGAAATTATCTTTTGTACAATACCAAAATCACCACACTTGCTACAAGAAGACGCCCAAGAAAATGTGCAAAAAGAAAATGTGGGTGGCAACAGTACCTTCAAATTCCTGCATAAATCGTCCCAATGTCGTAAATTTTGACGGCATGTAGGCATACGTAATTCTCAATTAGTAAAAATAGAAGTACATTGTTCCCTAAGCTGACCAGAGACTTAACACACAAAGTTTCAATGAATTTTGTAGAGCCTATACCACGAAAAATCTTATAAATTCACTTTGAAATTTGTAATTTCATGTGCACATATTTCAGTGCAAAACATAAAAATGAAACCCGAATTTCCTCTGTAGCAATATGCCTATGATAGTGAAATTCACTACATTAGTGCTCTCAGAATGCACTTAATCAAGGTAAACTGATTCATTGTTCCACCTTATTACTCTAAATTTAAAGGGGCCCTGAAACACTTCTTTTATGTAACCATGGAATAAATTAACTGGAAGAGCTATTGCCTCACGAATTCAGCGCCGCAAAATTTTAAGAATCCGTTCAGTGCGAGTGGAGTTACAAAGGTTTGTCGCATGCTGCAATTGCATTCTCCTCTCTTCTCTCGTCCTGACAAAAGAGCTGCAAGCTAAGCAGGGAGGGATGGCAGGGCCACAGAAAAGCGTTATGCGCGCCTCGTGACCTTGAGCACTTTTTCTTCAAATGCACGGCTTTTTCAGTGTGATCGTGCACGCGTGGACAAGTCCCGGCCTCCCGTGGCAATCTCTGTAACGAACGAGCACACCATGTTCAAATCAGCCAATGGCTGATAGATGGGCTTGCTACGTGTGCTTTTTGGGCATATTTTGTGATTTGTCAAGAGAAGAGAAAGTAATTTATAGCTGACTTTGATAATTTATTGTGAATTCCAGGCCGCGTGCTGCACTATAATGTTTGGCTCGTGTTGTCGGGAGACTCTACTATCAATCGGCAGTGTCTTCTGGACATGATCAAAAACGTTTTGCCGAGCCCCTTTAAGAAGTGTAAAATCCACAATTTTGGGTGATAGGTACGATTCTCTCTATGATGACTCATTAGGACAGATATTTGTAAATAACTAATTAAATACAATTAGCTTGCAATCAATTATAATTTGTGATTGATTACATTTATTTGATTACTCTTCTTGCACATTAACAATTGCTGCAATTTAATTCTTTTTCTGCGACAGATGGCATGTGACCAGTTATTATATTCATAAGACAAGCTGTTCCAACAGAAGGTTCAACACATATCACATGTATTTAGTGTGAGCTATGTTAGTCAAGTGACATTCTTGAACTGAAGTAACCTCACATATGCACATGTTTTGACAACCAAGCCTCAGCACTAGGCATTTGTTGCCACATTCTAATGGCAAGTCGCAAGGCCAGTATTGTTGTTATCGCACTCTCACTCCTCTGTGGTCATTCGACAGGACATGGCATTTGTTCCAACAAATGATCCAACCGTGCCTTGGAATTTGCAACGTTAATGAAATTTTCTTACATAGTGGATGGAGCTGGTGCATAGGCAACGAGCATGCTATCCTTAACAATACATACAAAAAGTGCACACATGCACTTTTTATGATAAACCACTATAACACAGCTTGCACAAAGTCCAACAAGGCCCAGTCACAGCTGCGCAGCTGGGCACCTAGCTAGTCCTGGCTTGGCTGGGCTTTTGCCATATCTCTCCTCTTTTTCTCACCCCTTGCTTTACTATAGTATAAATGACTATGCTTGTTTTCATTTTTTATCTTTGTTTTTAGTTCACATCTCTCTCTTTCTCTATATGTCCATTCGTTTCTTTGTCTTTCTATATTTCTCTGTCTTTGTTTCTTTTCTTTCTCTCTTTTTTTCCTCTTTTTATTTGTATTTCCCCCTTCTCTCTCTTTGAACTCATTCTCCTCTCCTGCTCAACCTCAATTTCCTTTGCCTCTCCCTTTCTATAGAATACTAATCAAGGCTATGCTATTCACTGCTAGTAAATAATGCATGCGTTATCTATAACCATCTGTCAATAAAACTTTACCCGTAACACTCACACAAAGCAGTTAATCGCAATTCCATGTGTTGGGAACTCTTTGTCTTACAAAAGTCTTAACAGTTATTCCTATGCTCTTTTGTTGACCCTCTTTGTTTTCAACAAACTTTTTGTTGACATGCAACTGAACTACATGTGCGATTTTTGTAAGGGCTGCTGTTTTAGGTTTTCTCCTTCTCAGAATGTATGCCATGTTCCAATACTATTGGCAGGTGCAAAAACATACAAAATGAAGACAACACACACAAGTGGCAACTTCTCTATATATGTGTTGCATTTGACACTTTGTATGTATTGTCATTCTTATAAACATACTATTTCTTGGTTTGTGCCCACAATGTTCAACGAACCTCAACCAAGGGATTTATAGATGCGGTGAGCCATGGAGAATAATATATTAGGTGAAACATTAAGAGACAAGAAATGAGCAGAGTGGGTCAGGGAACACGCATGGGTTAATGACATCTCATATGAAATGTCATTATGGGCAGGGCATGTAGCGACAAACCAATGTAACGGCTGATCATGAAGAATAACATACAGGATTCCGAGAGAAAGCAAGTGAAGCACAAGGAAGACAGAACTAGGCGGGCAGATAGAGTGGAAAAGTTTACAGAAATAACGTGGCTGCATCTATCACACGATCGTGTTAACTAGAGAAACATGGGACAGGCTGCTGTACTGCAGTAGCATAGCCAGGTCAATGATGACAGCCAAGTAGTCCAAGAAAATGCTATTAAATGTTCAAACATAGCGTCAAGGATATTCTGCGCAGTACGTAGCTTACCACCCAGTCATCATGCCAGCTATTATCCAGTGGCAGGTACCCACAGCAGGTGGTGACGTCAAAGCCAAACTGGTCCACGTAGCCAGACTCATTCCGGGAGCCGTGTACCGAGCTTCCCTCGTCCCGTTTGCGGCTGTTGTGCAAATGCATGCTGCAAGATAGGGTTTGACAGGTGACAGCGCGTCAATTAGTCACGCGTCGCCACACGCCCGGCCCTGAGGTTGGGCACCTTGCCAGCTGCTTGCCCAGGAGCTCCGAGTGGCGGCTCAATTGGCGCATCCGCACGCTCTCCATAACCAGGGCCGCACCGCCGGAAGGGTTGTCAACCACCTACACGAGGGGGCATTTGTCAGTGCCACTGGAGGCCCCAACAATTAAGCTGCAGTTAGTCAAGCAACCCTACTCTTTCTTTTTCCCAACAGTCACACAAATGCTGCTTGCACACACACAAAAAAAAAATGAGAGCCAACACAAGTGACACGTAGGTGCCAGTCTGGCCTCACTGTCATAAATTGTTGAAAAGGGGGGTGTGAAACTTGGCAAAGGAAAAAGATAAAATAAGCCCAGTTTGCACTGTTGTAGTTTACTTCTCTTGAAATACTAATCATGCAGTGACAGTATTTAATTGAGGGTGCTATTTGTTTTATAGAAACAAGAGAGGAAACGTATCACAATTATGATTATGGTGATACAAGATAGTTTTTATATAGTGCGGCTTGCGACCTTGAATCTCAGAATGCCTTTAGATGCAAAACTATCCTTAACTCTGTTGCCGACATTTATAAACGCCAGAACACTTCTTCTAATGACTATTTGCAGCTAGATATCATACATGCTCACAAGCAAAAGGTTCCTTTATGTTTGCATGCAGACGTGCAATTTCAGGAGAGAAATAAAAAAAATGGCAAGAACGTGTACTGCTACACATCTGAGCAAACTATTACACTATGTGCATCACTGAATTTATAGCTTGCAGATCATACACTCGTCTTCACATTGAGCAAAACGAAAATGTTTTTTGCGAAGGCCGTTAATATCTACGAATGTCACCTTGACTTTCGCTAGAAAGACAGTTAGTGCACAGAATGAATTCTTCGCCGATCGAGTCCAGAATCTGCGGTGAAATGTACTAACACAAGTGCCACTTAAATGTCGCAGGTTTCCGCGAATCACACAACAGCATTTAGTTGTATATATCCGACACTCCCTACTGAGTTCCTGGGAGACGCTTCGAAATATATCGCGACAGTTAATATACTTACGACGTACGGCTTCGGTACTTTCACGGTCTCCGTCTCCAGGATAGCCTTCAAGGCCGCGTACTCGCCATCGAACATCGTCCGTGCCTGCACAAAGAAGCGTACAGTAAGTCCGTAAATTATCTGTGCGCTTCCCGAACGCGTCCCGAATCATCTCGCTCAAGACAAGAAAAACCCGCAACTTACCTGTGGCTTGGAGTTTCTCTTAATAAACACTTCACCATCGTCGGTCTCGAACGCTTCGCCTTCGTTGATGCAGCCACTGCCTCCGCGGCCAGTAGCGCGGAGTTTCTTCGTTTTTAGCGCTTCTTTGATCCTCGCCTCCATCGTAGCCGGCCTAGAACGACACGAATGGACGACATGGGCTAGGCGAGCCGCACTAAATATAGCGCGCGAACAACAAGTCTCTCTCCCGTGCAATCTCGCGCATCACGTCGCCGAATCTGAATGCGAACGGGCACCACTGTGTCGCGATGTCAACAACCGCGACCGAGCGATAAAAAGCGCGGCCGGCGCGGGCGACCGAGAAAAAAACCAGCGACTCGCGCAAGTGTGTACGCGAGATCAACACCCAGTTGCGAAGTTGCACTGCGACAGGTGAACAATCAAACGAGGCGCAGCTAATACACGTTACCACGGATGTCGTCGGCTGCTTCTTTCTCTGAAGACCGCGGAGACGAATGGAGCTCCTGCTGCTCGGTAGAGTGGCTTCCCAGCACGTCACTCCTGCACGAAGTACTGCGAACGACAGCCTACTCTTCGTAGTACCTGTAGCGGTGATCCAATTATCGAGGAGCACTTAGACAACATATCAAAACGACTATGAGTTGCCAACACGTCTTTGGCGCCACAGCGTCGCGATCTCTTGTAGGCGTGTTGTCCGCCTTGCTGCGGTGTGTCCATCCGCCGCATACCACCGCGTCGCAGGGGTGATGTGCGGTGCGGTGTGCGCGCGTACGACGGGCCGGCGCGCGGCGTTCTGTTTCGGAAAGTCTCTGGTGTGTAGGTCACGAAAATAAGCCGCCGTGAAAAGCGGGGAAACAACGGTACGTCGCCCATGTCCTGCTGAATGCGCCCCGCTTATTATGCGCGGGAATCGTTCGCGGCAGACGCTGCGCCTTTCATCAGGCGGGTCAATTTTTAGAAGGACGAGACTTAAGGCATTTCGTCATGTGTACACGCACAAGAAGTTAACATGTAGCGGACTGGAACTATTAAACATGCTTTTAAAGAAGCGCTGTCCAGCAATGAAGGAGACGCTTAAAGAGGCAGAGACGTTAAGGGGCACCGGCGATAAAATGAGTACCTGTAGGGAGCTCAAATGTATCTAGTGCAACGATTAGAAACTTAGAGAACACTCGAGCTCCGCCTTCATGTTTGTTTTCGTAAAGATGCAATACAAAAGGAAAATTAAAATAAGCTGGAATTAAGTTATTGTGCACAAACTCATTTTACAAATGCTGGCATCTTATGGAGTGCGAAATTTCAGTTTTGTAAAGACAGGAACAAGGAAGCAAACTTCATCCATTGTGCTTAATTGCTCCTTGTATACAAGCTTTCAAAGCTGCTGTCCTTTTCATAGCAGCAAAACCTTTTGTAGCTTTATACTGGTATCATACAAGGTGCAATTCTGATAGTAATTAAGCTCAAATAAAATCAAAACTTTCAGCAGTGATTTGCTCACTTTTGTGCATTGCATAATTGAGCCGATCACGATAACAATATGAGATGTAGATCAGGTCTGACCACGATCAAAAGTGGCTGTGTGACATCGGTATTAAAACTTGTAAGCATATCCAGCTCTACATGGTATTAAAGCAAACATGTATAATAATTATACACCAGCACACTGAAAGCTTTGATGCAAGTAGTGGCTCCTTTATTGCACAGTGTTAGGACGAAATACGAGTTGAGTCGATTCTCATCCGGTTAAAAAATAATTTTGATATTCATCAGAATTTCGTTATTTGCACACACATCAGCAAAAAAAGATAAGTTTACCTTGTGATGTATTCATTTCCTATGGAAGGCTTTAACCGTACATGTTACACGGAGGTAGTAGATGTCGTTTCAATGCAATTCAGTCATTATGGTGAGCAACATGGTGCTTTAATAACTGTAAATATGGAAGTTTTCATAGCCCTTGCTACAGCTATATATTTACATTGAAGATATCACAACTTCTGTGTGCATATGAACCTCCAGACACGAGGTTTCAGAGAAATGGGTTGCTGAACAAATGTACATTTCAAAAGCAAAAGCCAATTGCACTCAGACACCCTAGAAAAAATGAAGTCAAGTGAGAGTTAAAATTTTTCAGCGAGATGTCGGCATCGCGAATTTCTCACACATATCATAACAGCTGAACATCTATATAGACAGAAGAACCTTCGCTAAAATGATACATCCAACAGGTATAGTGCACAACCATACACTACGCTTTGGCAAAGAATGGCATACACATATTTAGTCATTTTGTCTTACTAATAAAATCACATAACCTTTCTCTTTCAAATAGCAAGTACATTAAACCTAGGACACTCCCCTGTTAATATTCTTCATAAGTACTGCAGAGATACAGGCATTCTGTGAACAGTATTAAGATTGTGAAAACACAAAGGCTTGAAAGGGCTTTCTTTTCTTTTTTCAGATAAACACAGCCGAACTGCACACAACAGCAACATGTTTTCTTTGAACTGCCAAGGGCTGTCTAGAACAGAGCTGTATCACTCTTCCTTTAAAAAAAATAGAAAAAAGGACTGATTAGACAAACCCTGTTTGCGTGGGCCCACACTTTTTCTTTGTCAGGTGTACTTGATGAAAGGAATGAGCCAATGACAGAGAGCTTTCTTTCTGTCTTGTTTTTTCATTTAGGGACAGCACCGAAAGCACCACATGGAAAGCTTTGCAGTGCCTAACATCAGTTATGCTGACAACCTAACTTTAAAGGGCCCATAAACCACCCAGAGGTCGAAATTCAGTTGTGGTAGGGAAATTGTGCAAGAGTGTACGACGAACGTGGAGTCGCGAGAATTTTTCGAAATGGTGCAGTAATAATGGTGCAGTAAATGCATTTGAATATCGAAACCATGGCGACCACACCTTTCGCTCTCTCCTGCACTTCCCTCCGCTGGTATTCCCTCCCACCCCACTTTGCCCTCTCGCCGAGCGCCCCTCCCATGGCCTTCCAATTCTCGCGTCGCATACGTCATCGCTGACGCGCTGCTTGAAACACCATCTACTTTCGGTTGCCGCGACTCTAGTCATCGACTCCATCAGTTGCGCTGCTTGTTGGGGAACCGCGGCTGCTGTAATCGTGCCGGTACGGACCCTGCGTTGCGCGCAGGCCTTCAAAGGTTCGCCAACATGATGGACCCATATGAGGACACAGTCGTGCCCCGCACGTGTTGCATGCACGCGGGGAACACGTGCAACAAGCAGTGCGAGCAGCTGCCTTGCAGACTGACCGTAAGTCGTAGGCTCTTGCTCGACGAACCACAGCATATTTGGCATATTTGACTCGGTGCGTCAGATGTGGAACGGCGAAAGTCCCGGAAGGAGGAGGGATTGTTTTTTGGAATTCGCGGCGCGCCGGCAGCTCGTAGCGCTGTCATGTGTAGAATCGTTGATCGCAACAGCATTCTGCACACGATGCGCATGTTTACTTGAAATGCTTGAAAAATATTGGAGGTGGTTTACGGGCCCTTTTAGGGGTACATTAAAGATGATGATTAGGCAGCATTCGATGATTGCTCTGAAATAACAAACGATACATATAAATCTAGCTGAGAGTACACAGTGCATAGGATGACGAGAGATGTGGGGTACCATTACACCACACAAAAACCAGCTTACACTGACAAACATCATTCAGGACAACAGTCAACTGTGGTCAATGCTTTGTCACCTAAACAAGCTATGTGCTGCACTCAAAAAGAAATGAGAATAGTTACGGCCCACATTTAGTTAATTTTTCTACAGAGGAAACGAAAAGTGATGCTGTCCTCCGAGACTGTTCTGATGACAGTTTTGCAGCTAACATCTCTCTCTATGTGATACATCATGAGCTCCTACACTTGGATCAATTATCTCAGAGGCAATGGCATATGGGAAGGTCAGTGAATTGACCTGATAATCTGTGCGTTTCAAGTTTCTGTTCTGTTTGAGATGTGTTAAAGCTTAGAAATGGTGCAGCCTCAGTTTTGCTGTACCATATAAAGAAATTACAATGCCCAGCCCTCTAGATACATCTAAATGATAAATTAACATGAAAATTGTCTAGCCCAATGAACTACTATATGAACACCAAGAGACTATCTTTCAGTACAAATAATAGCCTTAGTCACAAGATGCACATTTTGTAATACACGTAACAGTGTGCAAAACTAAAAATGGCAAGTATTCAGTGCAACTAGAGCAATCTGTAGCTCTCGAGCTAAAGAATGTTTGCGGAATAGGCACAAAGGCATTTATCGACTCAGCATTTTATGAACCAAGGCAAAGGACATTAATGTCCCATTACATACACTCAAACCTCGATATAACGAATTCAAATATAATGAATTATTGGTTATAACAAAGTAAGCGACCACTAGCTTTGCCATAAGTACAGTGTTACAAATAATCGTTTATAACGAATTTACAGATATGACAAAGTACTTTTCATGGCAGATGCTGACTTTGTTATAATGAGGTTTGAGTGTATTTGTGTGAAGGAAAAAAGCTGTTGAGAACACTGCAAGGATTTAGGTGTAATCTTCAAGTGGCACATGACAAAGTAACCATGTTGCTTGAATATGCCTATCATGAGAAAAGCCATTGACAGTGTCTCAAGTTCATTTTTACGCACCGCAATGTAGTAGTAAAACCTCTGGCAGGTGTATAGTTCCACAGTGAAAATGTCATGGTATATACACAATGAACGAAAGCTGGCTGTAGTCACGGCAGCACACCCTACAATGCAAGTCTGTTCTTCACTTTTACGGCAAAATCACTGCACACAGACTGGTGTGACAGAATGACACAGCACTTAATTGGCATGTAATCATTAATGTGCTGATCTGTTCTTGACACAGCATCAGGAGGCTGTTGGCTCATGTCCCCATTGATACTGAAGCCGCTACAGACACGTCAGCAAGGCACAACAAGTCCAGCTTCTTGTGCCACCTCAAAAAAAGTCCGCAGCTGCTTTGCGCTTGACGGGAAGCTTCAAGAGGTTGTCTGTAAGTGAAGAGCTGTCGCTGCCAGTGAGGTAGGGCTCTCGTCTACACGCGTCCTTTCGGGAGGCGGGCGAAGGCACAAGGGGTGATGGGGTGGCCCCGCATGCAACTGGTGTGCCGGGAGTGGCGGTCTTTGGTGTGTAGCTGGCCCTCAGTGCCCTGTCTATGCCCTTGGAGATGCCCAGCTTGGCTGATGCCAAGTGACGTGCTGGCGGGCGACATTGTGCCAAGGGATGCCAAGGGGCGACTTGGGGGAAGGGCTCAGCCTTGGGCTGCAGTGCAGAAAAATAATCGTAAATAAAAAAATATCTAAGATATTATGAGCCAAAATCACTAGACAGTATATGATATCGACTTGTGCAGTAATTCACTGAATTGAAATTAATTTCGATCATCTAGCTTTATTTTTTAATGAGCCAATGAAAGAAAACACATCTAAGTACTCCATCTAACTCACTGAAATACTTGGCTGCAATTGCCGTTTCCTTGGTACTTCTTCCGTCGCTACTAAGGGGGCAGACCGGTCTTTGGGACCAAAAAATTACAAGAAAGTGATTTTTTTTAAAATTAACATATTTGGTTTCTGCAAGTATTTTGTGATCACTCTGCAAATTTTCACACACCAAGAAGTGGCAATTTTTTATGTAATGTCATTCTAACTGTCCAGATTCTTGGTGCTGTTAACATGCAGAACCTGCAAAAAAATAGGGAACCAACTTTGAGGCCTCTTTATAATTTGCCGGAACCTGTGTTAGAAGCTCTGCTATGAATTTATGAGCACCTTTATGAGGATCGCAAAACATGCGCACCATGACTATTGTTTCTGAAGAAGCTGTGTGTTTTCAGTTTTTTCCATTTTTCTCAAAAAAGTAAATTTACGACTGTTCAATTTTGAGGCCTCAATATCTCTGCACCTAGGGCAGGTACAACAATAATTCTTTTTTCAATGGAAACCTGTATGTGTGCAGAGTGCAAGTATGGGAGCAGAATTTAGAGAACAAGCATTTTTATTTAATTACTCATCAAAATTGTAACACGATTCCAACTGCTTTTGAAAATAGATAGTTCATTTTGCTGTAAAATAACCAAGAAAAGCCTAAAAACAAAAAACGCTTGCATTATTTCAATATATAGTCATTAGTCTACGTTGGGATATCTTAAATATCACTTTTAATTAAGCACTTTTTTTTCTATGACGGCCTAGAACCTATAGATGGTGAACTTAAGTTATCTCAGGAACAAGATGAGTTATAGGAAAACTAATTAAATATCCGAATTCAACAGAAAAAACTGCATAATCCTGTGCAGTTTGATCAAGAACACTGAAGAAATAAACAAAAAAATGTCTAAGACCAGTCTGCCCCCTTAACTGATCACAGGTTGTCCGTCCTGCGCAATATACAAGGCTGGGCCACATCAATTTCTTTAGCTATGCTTGCTTCTTCTCTGACCAATAATGCTGTCCTTGGTATCTTGAAGTTACTGCTGTCTTCTGATTTCTGAATACTATGCCTGCCAGTTTCAATATTCGTGCAGAAAATGAAGTCCTATAAGAGCAATGGCAGTGAATCGCCTTACCTCAACAGAGAGGAGCGCGCACGATCGAGAGCCGCATTCTTTCGGGCTGCACTTCGGCGAGCCGCGCCGTCTGCCAGAGAATGGGCTAGCCTCTCCCTAGAACGGGGCTCTGGTATCCGGAACTGGGGCCCTCCAGGATTGCGTGGCAGTGGCGTGTCACTCCCGTCCAGTAGGAACGGTGTGCCTTCAATCTCACCCCAGGTCAGCAGTGGAGTTTCATTAACACCTGCACATGAAACCAAATGCCAGAAGAGCCTGAAGTTATGCCTAATCAAAGCTATCTTTGTATGGCCTAACCGCCAGGACTTTCAGGTATACACTAAAGCTTCATTATAACAAAGTTGCATCTGACACGAAAATATGGTCTTTACATCCACAAATTTGTTATAATGGTTTATTCTAACACTATATCTATTGCAAGACCATTTTTAAATTACTTCATTATGACCGATATGTCATCATACCCAGCTTCGTTCTATCGAGGCTTGAGTGTATGTCACCACATGACAGTACTACATACGGCGGTAAAGGAACACTCAAGGAAGACATTAAAATGCTTGAAAAATGTTCATTTGTGATGGTTTCTTCGTGACTTAAGCAGGAACAGTGCAATGATACAGGAATTAAGAAAAGAACAGACAGCATAACCCTGACTTCACAATAAAATGTTTGAGAATGTGGAACCAATAGTGAGACCTCAATCATTAGAAACTACGGCTACAGTCAAACCCCTTTATAAGAGACTCTGATATAAGAGACTCTGATATAAGAGACAGATGGGTATAAGAGACACCAGTAAGCCTACAGTAAAGTATGGGTTGATAAGAAAATGCATGCACGTACCCCGCTTATAAGAGACATATATATAAAAGACAGGAATTGCTGCCTAGAGCATGTCTCTCATAAAGGGGTTTAACTGTATAGCAAACCAACAACCAGGGAAGCAAGGAAGGCATACAGAAAGTTTTTTTTATTCTTTAAATTAGATAAACAGGGCAAAAGAACTTGCCACTTGAGAAGCCACAATCATAAAACACTACTGGTAGCACATCACACAGGCAATGCAAAGGTTGTAAGTTCAGCTCACATGGCAAGCAACTACTCTGTTGTTTTCTTCACCTATTTTCATGTTTATTGAAAGATCCCATCCCCAACCCTAGCTACTCTCCCATGTTTATAATACTGAGCTGGTAGATTTCAAGATAACTTAAAAGAGCATTTGGTGAGAGATTGTTCAGGCAGGCACAAGTGTTAGTTGTACTAAAGGTGTTGCGATCGGCAAGCCACCCTTTGCCGTGGGCGCCAAGACAGAAGAAAGGCAGCCGTCTGACTTTGTGGTGATAAGGAGGAGTGCGAAGATACCCAGCTGTTTCTCATGTACTGGGAGGTGCGCGGTTGCAGTCACTCAACGCAGCCCTACTGTCTCCGGTGCCGGCGCAGAAATGCGACACGTGGCACCTTTGTGCACCAGGAAGAAAGGCCGCGACCCCGAGTTTCCATAGAAGACGGACCTCGGACGATCACGCTGTGCGACTCTGGCTGATAGGCCGCCGACACTCAAATCGGCGCCAGCTGCCCAGGCACATGCCATCGCAGTTGCCTGGCCTGCGACCACCATTAGACAGTATGGGTGCTCGGCCAGAGTGGTGACACGGCAGACTCACCATACCCCACTTGCTGGAGGTATGATTCACCGGATGAGACAGCGTCGCCAAAACAATACATGCGTTTAGGCTATGTGCATGTTGGGGGTAGTGACAGCAAATTACGTCGTACCCTGTTTCCCCATAGGCATGGCGTCTAGAGACTGCGAAAGGAGTAAAAGCAGCAGGCAAATGCCCTAGGAGTGCATTCCTGTTACACACTCTCATTTTGTAAAAATGTAATTATAAACATCTCATACTCTTTCTTCATCAGCTCTTCAGTCCGGTTCTTTACAACAGCAGCTCTTAAAGAAGGCGAGGTTTGCGACTGCCTGCCCAGACACCAGGAAACCAGGGCAGTCAGCAAGGCCTTTCCCTCAACAACTGGATGGCAGGGGTGGCATACTGCTAACAATCGGGACCTCAACAATGGTAAGCTAAGGACTTAGGAGTATGCTCTGCTGAACCTTGGAATGTGCTGACCATGTAGCACATGCACATGCATGCACCACAGCACCAAGGCAATGTAATCGAAGCAGCCTACTTTTTCCACATTCACAAAGTATGTTGGCCATGGAATACTGCAAATTCATATCGCACCGAAATTGGTGCGAACTGTTAGCATACTACCAGCATTTTACTATACATCACACTTGCCCACCTGAGATGCTGTAACAGATATAGTTGGCAGTAGAACATGTTTATTGCGTGCAGTTGCAGGTATATAAAGTTTGTGCTTCTTGCTTTGCTTGATCTCACCAATTTATGGCAATTAATAAGAATAATGGCATACTTCATCAAAATTTTCATTCCCAACATTTTCCAGAATATAATATTACCTCACAACCACAACAAAATTGATTCAGATCAGTCTAGCAATTGTATAATAAAAGCATTTCCGTACATTACAAGTGCACTCTCTGATAGTAAAATTGGCCTCAGTTGAACCTCCCACTTGAATGCGAACAGTCTTTTCAAGCAGTTCAGGGAGCACAAATAATGCAATCTTGAAACGGCTTTGTAGAACCAAAAGGTGCATTTTCAATATTGAATGTTCAGTGTGTGTGGGTGTGTGTGTGTGCAAGTCTGGCCGCTAAACTGAATGTTTAGTAAAAACCACTGGACATTTTAGTGTTTAGAAGAAAACATTATAGTTAACACTGATGTAGGACTAAAAAAAATCTGCTCTAAAATTGACTTACACTGCTCCAAAACACATCTTTGCGTGTATTTTGGAGCACACCAAAAATTTGTCCAGGTCCGGGGATCAATCCGGAAACCAAGGCCTTTTCAGGGAGGTCAATCTACCAGTTGAACTAACCAGGAAGCTAGCACTCGGCAGTGCAAAGGTGAATTTATCTACAACTCGAAGCATACAGAAACACATTGCAAATGAATTCGGTGGAATACCGCAAGTTGGCCGAAGGTAAATTGACAACCACCTCTTTGCAACACGAAGCCACTCCTGGGCAAAGGCCCTGAAGGCTACCCTTCTGCATCAGCAAAACCTGTCACTGTTTTGCTTCTGCAATAGACACTCACCTGGTGCAGGCGATGGTGTGGCCACAAAACCGTAGCCACCAACTGTGGGCGAACCTGTACCTGGCTGGAGTTCCCGGCCGTCCACACCCAGCTTCCCTTCGAGGGCCTTGGCCTGGGCATTGGCTGCCTGAGCAAGAGCTTCCTTGTTAGCGCTCTCGTCGAAGGGTGACCGCTCGAGGCGTGTGTGGCAGTGCATGATGGTTCGGCCAGGGCCGCGCTCCCGCTTCTCGTCCTCCGTCAGTGCCACTCCTGTTTTGCATTAGGACAGGACAATCATAAGCATTCCCTGCACTTCTATTCCGGCCTACACCCTGTCCTTCAGCGACATTTTTACAGCGAAGCTAATTACCCCTCTACCACCAGCATTGGCTGTGTTCCAATACATAAGAGCACGCTAAAGAGTGGCAAGGGAAGCAACTTGGCTCTCCATTGCAGCAAGCAGTGGGCATCAGCTCACTGCACATCTGAGCTTGAGAAGACGCGAGTACTGAAAAGATATGAAATGAAACAAGGGTGGGAAATATTTGACACGCATGTCGTCGACAAATTGGGGAGCAGATGCATCAGTAAGTCGTCTCTTTAACTGTTTTCTTGTGAAATAGACTATCTCAACGATTAGCGCAGTAGGCGGCTTTATCTGGTATTATCTTGTTTTACTATGTGGCAGTGTTATTAGTAACACGTGGTTCCTTGGCTTTATATGTGCAAGCGACGCAAAATAAAGCTCAGTTGCAAATGCGCCTCTTTCTTGTCAACTTCACTTCTTTCTTATAATTTTGTATGTGGCACTACACCCCGAAATCTTGCAAAGCTCACAAGTGCATGGAAAACCATCTGCTTGTGCGCACATAAACATACAAGCAAAATTTTAGCTATCTGAGGACTTCACTGAGCCGCCATCTTGCTTGGACAGCTAAGTTGCCTGCATCATTTTTGGCTCCGATGTCGTCATCTCGAAGCTCTATGTTTAGCCGGCTACATGAACATTGGAATGGGATGTAAGATGGCCTCCGTCGACTTGGCTGACTATTTAGCCGTCTATGAAGAGTATTGGAACAAACCCATCGAAGTAGCAGCAGTAGTCATGCAGTTCACATGACTGCAGGGGGTAGTGAATAAAAAAAATAAATAAAAATTAATAATTATAAAGCTTAAATGATCTTGATGATGCTAGAAATTAGACCAAGCTGTCTCAGTTATGCAAGTGTACCCTCACGTACACTTGCATGCTTACAGGATCAATGTCGTACGATTTTCACGAAGTGGAATTTTTTATTCAGTTTTCACATTACCGATTACTAAACTTGCGCGAATATTTGAATGCTTTGAATATTCGAACGAATGTTAAAGTATTCACATTTCCTTTGACTTAAATTTAAATTATTTAAAATTTCGAATTATTCAAAATGAACAGACAAATTATCAATTTACAAGTAACCCCCTGTAAAGATGGTTTCACTGCAGTGAAGGCATGCTAAACCGTGAAAACACTTACTCAAGTGTCCTGTAAACATAGTTTCATTGCAACAAAGAGGTGCTAAGCAGTGAAAACACCTATCAAAAAAAGAAATCCACACTGTCGCAACGCCACACTTGAAAGTCCAATGATTACTACACTACCCTCACATTGATTCATCATTTTTTAAGTTTGAAAGCTTGTTATACCAGCTTATAAGCTGTAAGTATAGCAAATTTTAAAAAATGACATGTTTTACAGGTCATCACTTGCACTATACCTAAGATCAAATCCTGCGACTATTCAAAGTTGTTTTCACTTCCTTTGAACAGAAAAAAAAAATTCCGCCATATCCACGAAGTGAATGATGATGAGTGGGCGAAGCTCCGGAGGTAAACCTGGTAAACCATGAATCCTCTGTACATTTTGCCCACTCGATTTTATTACATCGCTCCCCCTAGCTTATGTCGCCGCACTAAATCGAACGATTGCCTTCAACCAATGACACGCGCCATATGTGACATCATTCCTATTTTATAAGATCTCGCGTCTTTCATCAACTACAAGTACCGCTTTCTAGTTTATAACATCTTGCATCTTTTCATCATCAGCTACAAGTACCACCATCTAGTAAACACTACAAGAACTAAACGAGAGGTGGCTACATACAGGAGACGGTACCGCCATCTAGTGAACACTGCAAGAACTAAACTAGAGGTGGCTACATACAGGGGACGGTACCGCCATCTAGTGAACACTGCAAAAACTAAACTAGAGGTGGCTACATACAGGCTACAGGGACGCACAGCCCACGCCCTAAGGAGCTTCGCCCCTAAAACAGCATTTGCACAGGCATTATTTCAATTCTTAAAGAATATTGTGCAAATTAATTAGGTCATTACATATGCCCGCCTTTTTTATATTATTCGAATCCCGGTTGTCAACAGTAGGGTAATTACCGTATTTGTAGGGTATTTTTGGATTTTTTCGGTCAGCCTAGAGTAGTAGGGCAGTGATGTAGGTTAATTTCAACATTTTGTTCATCATTGAACAGTGACAAATGTCAAAGATCCCTGCAAAATATTCAAAGGTTACATTCGTGGAGAGATACGAATTTAGAATTGTCTTAATTCCAATGTTGTCCGCACAAAAGATGAGGGATAATACGTCAAACATCCTTGTGCTAGGTTTTTTTTTTTTGTTTTCAGGGGTCCATTTTTTCCCTCTTTGTCATCTCCCGTCCGTTCGTTGCGTGGAGGGGCTTTTCAAATTTGTGACGGTGGTCGGCTCATGATGTCATTGTGACACGAAATATTGCCAGGATTTCCCATGACATCATGAAGTCATTGTGATGCCTGTGTGTCCATCCGTCCCGGAATGATGGACGGGCAGAGGCACGGACGAAAGCACGATCAGAGAGAGTTTCTAGGGCACCATAATTTTTCATAAAAAGGAAAATTTTTCACGTGCCAGGACAGCTGTCGGACCGCGCTGTTGTCATTATCGCCTAGTCAACGCCGGGGCATCGCATTGATCGCATCGGCTAACTAGGTCTTTCGTTGTGATGAGCAGACTGCTTCAACCACGCTCTGGCTAGAAGTCTGGTTGAAGTTAGAACAGCGCGACAAGACGCTGGCGGAAAAGAACGCTCACATAGAACAGTGCTGTTCGTGTGTTTGCGTGCTCTGCTCTGTCCACATCCAGTTGCGTTGTTCAAACAGAATAAATCAACTATCCCGCCAACACCCTGTGGGTTGATTCCGCATGTGTGCCCACAGCTGATTTTGAGTGTTGTGGTGGCGACGTTTGATAATGGCAACCCACAACCCCTACCAAATGCTTGACCTGGCAACGAAAGTCAAAAGTTTGAAAGTAGCTCCGCTAAGCAAGACATTGCACGAAAAAAACGGCGTTAAGCCTAACTCGCTAACGAATTTCATCAAGTGCTGCGAAGTCTGGAAATGGCGAGCGTGCGCGCCACGCCACGCTCTTGGAGTGAACGGACACAGAAGACGCGGTCGGTACAAACTAAATACAACATACATACATTTATTTAACGAATTTACAATGACGATATCGACTGCCGAATGATACATAACTCGTTATGTAATACGCTAGGACATTGTTACACAATAACACGACAAACATACAACATGAGAGCACACTAACAGGCGGCGTCGCCAACACTTCACTCACCACGTGGGCCCACCGCAGGCGGCCCGCGGTGCCGACCACGGCAGACCCACCGCGAAGACAACCGTTCACGGCAGCCGCCACGCGCAGAACCACTCTTGCCCGCCACCAAGGCCTGCCTTCCACAGGGGTCACCGCCGGCGCTACCACTCTACCAACAGTAGTACTCAAAGCGAACACAACGCCATCTATCGCCCGGTGGTGGTCACTACCGAAATACGGCCTTGGGGGCGAGACACATGCGCCATGCGGCGCAAACAACTTTACAGGGGGTGTCAGCACCCCCACAGTGCAAACAGGTAAACTCGACAACAGTAATTTTGGAACCGTTCTTAGTGACATCAGTTTTGAAAAAATTTGTTGCCATGGACAGCGACGTCTATACATACGGTCCACTAACAAACAAATAAATTGTGCAGATGGTTCGGCTAGTAGATGACAACATATAATCAAAATAGGAATGTTGCTGTGGGTCTTGTTTTTGCTGAAGAAGCACTTCGACATGTGTAGTGCTTGGAAAACTTGCTAGCCGCAGCCAGATTCGGCTAGAGATGACAGACTATTTTCTTAGAGGACTGTCAGGTTCGAAGCAACAAAAGTGCAGTTTTTGTGCATTTTGCTTAATTAGAAGTTCATTTAATTCGAAGTTTATTGTGGTTTCCATGCACTTCGTAATAACGGGAGTTGACTGTACTAAATGCATTTCTTTCCCTTGGGTATGAGGCCAATTAAGAAAATAATATTTAGTTATTGAAATAAGAACAAGTGGAAGTTAAGCGCAACCTTTGAACTCGTAAGGCCAAGTGCTCCGATGTTGCAAGTCATATGGAGTCGGCCTGTACATAATGGCACCTGGTAATGGGACCTTTGAGAATAATATGCAAGAATGCAACCAACAACTGACCTGGTGGTATGTACATGAGCGAGTTCTTGTTGGTGTAACGCCAAGTGATGGGAGCCTTGCTCCTATCGCTCGCGCCTTCTTGCTCGGTAGTGGATGAAGGACCTTCCAGTGCCAGCTTTGGTGCCGGTCCCTCTAGCATGGCATCCAGTGGTGCCCCCTGCGCCTTCTCGTCGTGATACATCCAGGCATGCTTCTCACGATGCCGCCGCTCGGCCTCGGTGGCCATCACTTCGAAAGAGGCATTGTCCTCACTGGTGTGTTTGTGCAGGAATGCATCCAGCGAAAGCTGGCTGTTATGCGACGAGACCCCTTGACTGTCCGGCTCAAGTCCTGTCATGAAAGGTAGTACATAACACAGGAGATCAAGCAAAACATTAGAGGTTTACGTTTCGGAAAACACTTCAAATATGGCAGGGAAGGAACGGCTAATAAAAAATTCATCTACACATGTTCTCCCTGCATTTAAGATTTCTTTCATTAGGTGGGGGCAACCAAAAAAATTACTTATGAGAGAATTGGTAAACTGTTCTTGCAATATAGCAAACAAGTATATCTCAGTTCAACTGAAGGCTTCCTTCGCAAGGCTGCAAGAAAAAAAAAATGAGGAACAGGTGATGTTGTAGCCACTAAGTTTCTGCACTTGCTCATTGCAATGCCACACATTTTGATGTTGTGTGCTTGGGCCCAGTGAATTTAATTCGTAAATAAAAATTGTGTACATTATATTCTAAAAAAGCCAAAGGCATAACTTATATACGGGAATGTTAACAAGAGAAATTTGAGGCATCACATTAACTTTGCGGTACAAATCTGAAAGAGAGAGAGAAAAACAAAATATTGGCCTTTTATTTTTGTAATCTACACTTTAATATAAAATCAATGATCATAAGGTTACGAAAGAATACTTGTCAGTCTGATTTAATCGAGCCATTCTTCGTTACCCTTTTCATTAACACCTTACGGTGAAATACCTCTTAAATAGCTGCACTTATCAGGCAGCAGTATCTATTTAGGGACATTCACAAACTGCGTGCAGTGGATGCCGCTCATACCTGACGTGCTCTTATTGTCAGCAGCACCACCAGACTCCGAAGGGGCCGGTGTGACGCTGGGTTCCAGAGACGGAGTCTCGAATGTCGATGGTGTTTGAACTGGAAAAAAAAAGACAGGTGTTTGAGGCAAGAAAAAATATGCAATGAACAAACAACAAAGGAAATGCGAAGACGCTTATTAACACGCACACAGAATTATACTCAATGTATATATTTAGAATTCTATATTGATATTCTTGACAATGGCATATATTAGGTTATGATATTGAAGTTATAGGTGAGAGAGAGATAAATAGAGAAGACAGGCAGGGAGTTATAGGAGAACAGGTAATGCTGGCACGGTAGAATGCTGTAGCCGCGCGCGTAACAAATCAGCTTTTACGATTGCAAGCCAGCATGTAATCAAACTGACTATAGTGACTTACTTGAACGGAGTACGCTTCGGGCGCTACCGCGATGCTGGTACTTTTCCTGCAGCTCCCTTAGCTTTGTAATGTTGTTAGCTTCGAGGGCGTCGAGGTACTCATTCTGCGCTCTCAGCTTCGGCACATCGGGAAAAAAGTCTCGCTCGATGATCTTCCCGATCTCCTGTGAAGTAGAGTCAAATTTGTTACGTAAACATGTGGTACCGCCGGACACGCAGCTCAAAAATTTCACGGTTCATTTACCGTCCATTTATTTATTTATTTATTGTACCCTCAGGGCATTACAGCATTGCAGAGGGGAGCGGGCACTGACGAACAATGTTAAAGAAAAGAATACATAGACAAGACACTAGAACATTATAAAACACTGGAAAGCAACTATTATCAACTGCAACTATGTTATACAGCCAGTAGATTATACAAGAAAACTAACAACAAAATCAAACGTTTACATTTCCAACACCAAGTATGTTATCGAGCGATGTTTTAAAACTGCAAGGCGAGGTGATGGATGCAACTGATTGTGGGAGGCGGTTCCAATCCTTTCAAGTTTTAGGCAGGAATGAGTGGGAATATGTTGATGTCTTGAAGCGAGGAACAGCAACTTTCTGCGCATGGTCAGTACGAGTTGAAATGTATGACGGTGGGGTTATTAAAAGTGAACGCAGAAGGGAATTGTTGTAAATTTTGTGGAAGAGTACGAGACGGGATAACTTACGGTGTGTAGCGAGTAAAGGAATGTTAATAATTGATTTCATGTTTGTTACGCTAGCGGTACGGCGATAATCTGATAATATAAATCTAACAGCGCGATTCTGAATGCTCGTTACGACTGATAGAGCCAAGAAATGATCACATTCCTCCCGCCCCCCCCCCCAAAAAAAATAATAAAAGAAGGCTACGACACATTTATTGATCTGCCTTTCATTTCAATACAACATCAAACGCGCTTTCTTCGTCTTTCGTAAACACGGACAAGACATGCTATCCACGCACATGTGGCACTTTCACAGCGAAGATGACCAGTTCAGCAGGCATAACGAAATGAAGGAGAAACGCTAGCACTATGGAACATGACTTAGCAAGCGCAATTACTCACAGTAGTGTACACATCTTCATCCAAGACTTTCACAGTACGCGTTTTCGTTGGTTCGGAGGCCGATCGCACCACTGTCAGAGTCTTGCAGGGCTTTGACACTTCGACATCCAACGAGCTTTTGGACTTCGGCGACACTTCGCACATGATTGACATCGAGCGGCAACAAGGCATGGGCACTATACACGGAGATCTACAGATTTACCTCTTCCAACGATACGCAACGATTGCGCTACGCCATCTTTGGTCAAATTGATGTCGATGCTAGCAGACGTTTGCCGAATTGGTCGAGTTTGCCCGTGGAACCCATAAGGTAAAGCACTTTAATAGACAGTTATATAAACATCAACAGATGTATATTGAACAACTTGGTTATTGTTTTTTATTAGTTTTAGTTTTTTGATTAGGATTCTTGACGTAGCGTGTAGCATCATCAATCGAAACTGCGGTGGCTGACTGGTTGTTTCCCGGAACTTGTAACTGGAAACGAAACCACTTTGCACAACTTTGCGGGTATTAAACTGTGATCGAACTTTACGTGTATCGATCGCACGTGTTTCATCATTGTGACTTGAGACCATCGTACTTAGTATTATGAAGATCGACTGGACGAAATGTCATCACCCGATACGAACTCCCTGCTCAACCTTCTACAGATATCGGACAGTGGCAAGTGTTGTTTCGCAAATAAGTTTATTTTCGCTTATTTCATGTAAGTGACCAATTGATTTTTACCTGACAGCGTTCCCAACGGGCAGCTTCGCTCATAGCGCCGGCTTAGAAGCGGCGTACCAGCGTGGGTTTTTGAGTACGTCGGGTAAGTTATCACTCCTTTCTTAAGTATTTAGGGAGAGGTATATGCGGCTCCGGCTACGCTCCCCCTTTCTTACGCGATATCTGTTATCGTAATGATGTCGTCAGCGTTCACAAAACTATGCAAGTAAACCACGGTGAAGTAAACGCATAGACTAGCGTTCACATACTCAGTCACTGCTGCAAATTGAAATTTTTCACACAGCGAGGAATTCACACAGCAACATAATGTTCAGACGTAATATGAGTTTTCAGTAATTAATATAGGCACCTACAAATTGTCATTTAATTACTGCACTTGAACTCCAACAGTTATGTTCGCAGACACTAATGCTGAGAATACAATTAAGAAACATGTAATCAGCTAGGAGTAGTGGTTACAAATAATAATTCGTGCGATATATATGTATAAACACCAATTTTTGCCTGATTTAGTATCCTTGAAATATGTTTCATCGAAATTGTATCAGTCCACGCACAGTGATGTATTGAAATTTTTCTGTCGGCCGCGGGACAAAAAGTATTGCTCATGATACTGGCCACCAATTCAAGTACATAGATTTCCCAAAATTTCCTTATGGGGTACGTGCATAATAATTTTAGGCAGTGTAAAATTGCCTTATATCTCTTCAACCTCTTCACACGAGCGTGTAGCACTGTTAGCTTTTTTCAATCTATACACGAATATCTCAGTATAGCCTTTAGCCAAAAGCTATGGCTTACTGTTTCCACAGATCTGCACATATTTTTGTTGAGGCAGTAGTGTTCATTTCGAAAGAAGCCTTTTCTCAGCTTCACTTTCATAATGCTACTTTGTTTCAGAGAAGGTTGAGAAGTTCTTGCTCGCAAGCACTGAGAATGTAGGCAAGTACACAATGCACCATAATTGTTGCTTTTCAACGATGCCTCTGCAGCATCCATCTTTGAGCAGTTATCGTTGGCTGTCTTGCTGTGTTTTGCAGGTTCCTTCAGTATACCATTCGTGAGGGAAGCGCTGCGGTCGTGGACCGACCTCGAAGCGATTCGTGCTCTGGATCGCCTCCTGAATGCCTCGTTAAGCAATCACATCGCCAACAGGGCGAGTACACAACAGGTTTAGTAAGGGCCAACTTGTATCTGGCATTTATTGTTTCATAAATTAGGCATACCACAGTGCGGGATGTTCACTCTGAGAATGAAATGATCATGCACCTCATTGTACACACGTGCCTGTTCTTGTCTGTCCCAGGGACGGTCTTTGATCCAGACTGCTTGCGCAACCTACAAGGATGTAAAACTCATCGAAGTTCAGAGTTGGATCTACGATGGCAAGTTGATGGGCCATCAGGTAACATACACATTGAACCACATCGATTGTGTGCATACAGTCATCATCATCATCAGCCTGACAATGCCGATTGCAGGACAGAGGGTTCTTTCATGTTCTGCCGATCGACTCGATCTTGTGCTTGCTGTTGCCACTTTATACCCGCAAACTTTCCAATCTCATCTGCACACCTAACTTTCTGTCTCCCCTTCCTACGTTTGCCTTCCCTGGGAATCCAGTCAGTTACCCTTAATGACCAGGGGTTATCCTGCCTACGTGCTACGTGCCCGGCCCATGTCCATTTCTGCTTCTTGATTAACCCTAGTTTGTTCCCTGATCCACTCGGCTTTCTTCTTGTTTTAAGGTTAAACGTATCATTTTCCTTTCTACTGCTCACCGCGTCGTCCTCAATTTAATCTGAACCCTCTTTGTAAGCCTCCCAGTTGTGCATACAGTGGCATGCATTAAATTTTCATTCATAAGGTGATCACCTCCATTCACCATAACTGGATGACACCAGTTGCTGATCTGGGAATGTACATGGCATAAGAAACTGGCATCTAAATTTTTGATTACGTGAACACAAATTTCTGGTTTCTAAGCATAATGCTGTACTCACATATAACATGCATTTGTGTATTATAGTTGTTATGTTAGCCAGCCACATAACCTGCGAATATTGTGCTGCTACCAAGTTGCATGCTTTAGAAATTATACTGTGTTACATCTAAAGTATCATTCTTTCATTTTTTAGGCTCAAATCGTAATATCGTTACAAATGAAGTAGTACACCAGTGCAGAAAAAGTGCTGCATTATTGTGCCCGAGTTTACAAAAGCACTTTGATGAACCTTATGTTCAACTGTGTCAAACTGTGTTGTAACACCTGGTGGTTGCTCTTTATGATTAGCCCATGCCATAGTGTTATAACATTGTTGTTATGATTGGAAACAGAGATGAGCAGTGAGAAGGAATCTAGTGGCTAGCTACTAAATGAGTGAATGTTTTAGCTTAAGTTAAGGGGAGACATGGCAGTGAACACTATCTTTGTTATTTATGAAGATAACTTGATGACATTTGGCATGCAGATGCCATTTGTTGTGATATCGTAAATAAAATTGGTTTTGAGCTATCTAATCGAATCTTTGAGTTGCTTTGATTTGTGGGGTTTAACGTCCCAAAACCACGATATGATTATGAGAGACGCCGTAGTGGAGGGCTCCGGAAATTTTGACCACCTGGGGTTCTTCAACGTGCACCCAAATCTGAGCACACGGGCCTACAACATTTCCGCCTCCATCGGAAATGCAGCCGCCGCAGCCGGGATTCGAACCCGCGCCCTGCAGGTCAGCAGCCGAGTACCTTAGCCACTAGACCACCGCGACGGGGCTATTCTTTGAGTTGCAGTGCTTGCTAAACTTTCATTACAATCCCAAAATTAATTAATTAGACTTAAGTACACCAAAAGAATTTAATTAGGATATTCAGGTGAGCCTATTTTGTGCTGTAATGCTATTGGTTCATTTTTTAATATTTCAGTAAGCACACACACAAACAAATTGAAATGTCCTGGGCATATTATATCACTAACAACTTTTACAAAAAGCCAATTATGAAAATCTGTATAATGTGCCAACGAATATGGACAGCTTTACAGGCACTCACCAATGTGTCAGAATTAGAGTGCACAAAACGGAAATAGCTATATTGTGACCATTATTCATACGCGTCATCTTACCATATGTACATACTCATCATCATCAGTCTGACCTGTGTTGTGGGGCAGAGGCTCGGCAAGTAAAAGAGGTGTCTTGCAGCCAAAACGTTGCCTTACAAGTGGTGGAGAGTGCTTTCCGATACCCTGGTCCTCTGCCTGTAGCGCTTTTTCGTTATCTTCGACTACAAACTATCCCTGGAGCTCCGGTCGGGTCGCCGTCTGCGCAGTCCGCCTACGGTCATGTCGCAAGACGAGCACAACAACACGGCTTCCATCCACCCCGCCTGCACTCCTGAGCATGCCTTCTTGGAGTGTCACCGCCCCTCAAAAAGATCCCCCGATGTTCTCCAGCCTTCGCGGTGAAGACGTTGAAGACTCGTTGGATGAGTACGACCGTAGTGAGTGCGCAACTATTGGCATGATTCTGTGAAGCTGTCCCGTGTACCTTTCTACCTGACGGGTGTCGCTAAGACATGGTTTCTCAACCATCAGCTGGATTTCCCAGACTGGCCTACCTTTAAGCAGCAGCTCCGTCAGATATTTGCCAACCCTTCTGTACGTGCAGACATTGCCAAACGGAACCTTGCTGAACGTGTCCAGCACTCCGGCAAGTCCTATACATCGTACATTGAAGATGTCCTCGCCCTATGCCGTCACGTTGACAGCTCGATGGGGGAGCATGACCGCGTTCGCCATTTGCTCAAGGGCATAGGCGCCGTCGCATTTAACGCTCTGGCGGCAAGGAACCCGACCACGGTCGCCGATATCATCAGTACGTGTCAGCGACTCGATGACCTTCAACCTATACGTTTGCAACCTGAAACAGCAGATATCAGGCCAACGCATGACGGTGAGCTCCGTGCGTTGATACGGTCTATGATCCGCGAGGAGCTGCAACTCCAAGCCACCTCGACATCTTATGAGCTCCGCATGACGCCTTCTACAGGCAGCCTCCGCAACATTGTGAGGAAGGAACTAGCGTCCATGACGTGTGAGCAAGTCCCGAGCTCGCATACCACTCCAAAGCCGACGTACGCTGAGGGGGTTGCAGCGTCACCTCCTCTGCAATCACTGCAGTATGGGTCAACTATGCAGCCTTCACTGAATGTCCTTGCCCAAAGAGCAACGCCTCCTTCGTTTCAAGCCTGGCGTCCATCTCGACCTATTTGCTATTATTGCGGAATACGTGGCCACATCTCACGGTTCTGTCGTCGACGTCAACAAGACGAAAGGCGTGGCTATGGTGACTACGAGAGGGATGAGTTTGCCCCCTCTCTACAACATCGTCACCCATACCAACTTTACCAACGCTGCTCACCTTTTCCACAGCACTTCGATGCAGCCAGTACCTTCCGCTCCTCATGCCGTCGCTCCCCGTCACCTATGCGCCGTTCCTCGTCACCGCTTCGTCCGGCTACCACGGCATCTGATCATCGCCCGGAAAACTAAACAGTGCAGCTTCAGGAGGGAAAGCTGCATTTGGCGGACTGCATCGAACTCCTCCGGAACGCCCCTCAAATGTACTTTCAGTGTGTGTTGAGGGTATATGGACTGAAGCCTTGGTGGACACAGGTGCATCGCTCTCAGTTATTAGTGTGGACTTGTGTTCCCGTTTGTGCAAAGTGAAGACACCGTATGATGGCCCTCCCCTTCGCTGTGCTAATGCGGTTTTTGTTCAGCCTTCTGGTGTTTGCACAGCACGAGTTTTTATTGAGGGCATCCTTCACCATATACAGTTCGTTGTTCTGTCATCCTGTACCAATGCGCTCATTTTAGGATGGGACTTTCTCTCCTCAGCTTCAGCCATGATATCTTGCCGTCAGAGGGTCATTTGCATGTCAGATACTGCGCTTTCGTCTGATAACTATGCCCATAGCCAGCGTTTTGTCACCGCTGATGACTGTTTTATTCCTCCAGATAATGAGCATATTCTGACCCTGACATCAGATAAGATCGATACTGGTGATGTGTTCCTCGCACCGTGTGGACGCTACATCTCTGGTGGACTTACCATCGCTCCTAGCCTGGTGCGCTTTCGTGATGGCAGAGCATTAGTTACGGCAGTTAACCCCACTTCATTGCCTGTTGCACTGCCTCAGGGCACCAGTGTGGTTTGCTTCACAGATACCGAACCACTTTCACTGGTGCCCCTTCACGGAGACTCGCCATCTTTCTCTACGAGTACTGATGACCAGGCTACAACGGCTGCTTTAAAAGCCACAGTAAATTCCGTTCTCACGTCAGCGCAAAAGCGAGAACTTTTGGGTGTGCTTCAAAAACACAGCGCTTCACTTGATGTATATTCCAAGCTTCTTGGTCGCACTTCTGTTGCCGTGCATCGAATTGAAACTGAAGGCAATACAATCGTACGCCGCCGCCCATATCGAGTGTCGTCCGCAGAGCGGAAAATCATCGAGGACAACGTTGCTGATATGCTCCAACGAGATGTTATCCGGCCTTCGTCCAGCTTGTGGTCATCACCTGTGGTGCTAGTCCGAAAGAAGGATGGTTCGGTGCGATTCTGCGTCGATTATCGAGCACTTAATAAGATCACACGCAAAGACGTCTACTTGATGCCACGAGTCGACAACGCACTTGACTCTCTGCAAGGCGCTGAATTTTTCTCCAGCCTCGATTTACGGTCTGGTTATTGCCAAATACCTATGCACGAAGCGGACAAAGAAAGAACTGCCTTTGCAACACCAGACGGGCTGTACGAATTCAACGTCATGCCATTCGGTTTATGTAACGCTCCTGCCACGTTTGATTGCATGATGGACACAGTTCTACGCGGCCTAAAATGGGAAACATGTCTCTGTTATCTAGAGGACATCGTCATTTTCTCCTCTTCTTTTCGTCAGCATCTTGATCGTTTGGACGAAGTTTTGACGTGTATTTCCAGTGCTGGACTTCAGCTAAACACAAAAAAATGTCATTTCGCCAACAAGAACATCAAGGTGTTAGGCCACCTTGTCAGCAAAGATCCTGACACCTTGTCGTCCGGATCCTGACAAGCTTGCTGCCGTGATACGCTTCCCTCGGCCAGAAAATCAGAAACACCTACGAAGTTTCCTGGGCCTGGCATCTTACTTCCGCCGCTTCATTAGTCATTTTGCTGCCATCGCGTCGCCACTGCACAAGCTGCTGTCATCCGGATCAACTTTCGCTTGGAACAACGACTGCGAGCGTGCCTTTCAAGCCCTCAAGAATGCTTTAACGTCTGACCCTGTTCTGTGCCATTTCGACGAGAACGCACCTACATGTCTGCACACCGACGCGAGCGGCCATGGCATTGGTGCAGTTCTTCTACAGCGGGATGCCACTTCACGGGAAAGAGTTATAGCATATGCTAGTCGTGCTCTTACGGCTGCTGAACAGAACTACTCCATAACTGAGCAGGAGTGCCTCGCTGTCGTTTGGGCCATACAAAAATTTCGACCGTATCTATACGGACGCCACTTCACAGTGATTACAGACCACCACGCCTTGTGCTGGCTATCGACACTGAGAAACTTGTCTGGTCGTCTCGGTCGTTGGGTGCTCCGCCTGCAAGAGTATGATTTTGACGTCATCTATAAGTCTGGCAAAAGACACCAAGATGCAGATGCTCTCTCTCGCTGCCCCCTTCCACTGTTATCAAAAACGTCAGCTGATTGCTCATCTGGTAAGCAAGGCACTGCGTCACCCCTCACATTATCACACCTTGCGGTTATCGAAACGCCGGCTTCAAATCGCTACACCGAGTTCGCCACACGCCAGCGTGATGATCCATATTGCAATCGCATTATCCTAACGCCTAAATGGCATGTCACCTACTCCTAATGCTAGATTGCGCCCACAACTACGGCAATTTAAGCTCGATAACAATGTACTCCATCGTTACGTTTACACTACTGATGGACACCGCTGGGTTCCAGTACTTCCACGTTCTCTACGTCATCAAGTCCGAAGCCTTTCACGACGACCCATGTGCAGGCCACTTGGGATTTCACAAAACACAAAGCCGCATCAGAAACCCCTTTTTTCTGGCTGGGCATCTCTACCTTTGTGGCCAAGTACATTGCATCTTGCCATCTGTGTCAACGGCGGAAGCGACCAACTTCGTCTCCTGCTGGCCTTCTGCAACCTATCCCGTGTCCCGAGACTCCTTTTGCCATCATTGGCATAGACCTACTCAGACCTCTCCCCATCACGCCAGCAGGTAATCATTGGATTGTGACTGCTGTCGACCACCTGACAAGGTATGCAGAGACTGCTGCACTACGCACAAGTTCTGCTTCAGACGTCGCATACTTCTTTCTCAACGCGATTGAATTGCGTCACGGTGCACCTTGCGTTCTCCTGAGTGATCGCGGCAAGACTTTCCTGTCCACCATAATCGAAACCCTGCTCACAACCTGTGGTACAGTACATAAAACGACGTCAGCCTACCACCCCCAAACTAATGGGCTGACAGAGAGATTTAATCGGACACTAACAGACATGCTGTCGATGTACATCGCACCAAACCACGACAACTGGGATACCATTTTGCCTTTTGTGACGTTTGCCCATAACACCGCTGTTCAAAGAACTACTGGCTACTCACCTTTCTACCTCGTGTACAGCCGTTCACCGACTTTCACCATTGACGTCTCTTTCCTAAATGTGCCAACCGACGCCTCGGCAACCGTATCAGAGCAGTTCATCACAAGAATCGAAGAATGTCGGCAACGGGCTCGCCTTAATACAGAAGCCAATCAGCAAGACCCCAAGCAACGCTACGACAGCTCTCATCGCGACGTCTCCTTCAGTCCGGGGGATGAAGTGTTGCTTTGGACGCCCATTCGTACTCCAGGATTGTGTGACAAGTTTCAGTCACGCTTCATTGGGCCTTATACAATCAATGAACAAACGTCACCAGTGAACTATCGTGTCACTCCCACCGACCTTTCTTCGGATCGTCGCTGTCGTGGTTGGAGATTGTCCACGTATCACGTCTGAAGCCATTCGTTCGACGTTCCGTTTCCGTCTAAGACGCGTCCGGGCTGGCCGCTCACGCGTGGGGGGGAAATAAGTGTGAGCATTATTCATACGCGTCATCTTACCATATGTACGTACTCATCATCATCAGTCTGACCTGTGTTGTGGGGCAGAGGCTCGGCAAGTAAAAGAGGTGTCTTGCAGCCAAAACATTGCCTTACAATATCTTCATTTGTTGCAAAATGGCACAGGGATGACTGACAACAACTGCTCAAAAAATGAAAGTTGAAAAAAAAAAATGGTGCTGGAATATTGGAGCTACAAGCCAAAAAAATGAAACTCAGAAAAGAGCTGGCTTTATTTTTCGTTGGAGAAAAGCAACTTTATGGCTATATAGATCTCCGAATCTGTTCTCTTTACGATGATGCCAATATGGTGAAACTGTGCCTAGGGAAAGCTGCAGATTAGTATTTTCTAAAGCCCAATTTTCACATAGCTTTTGACAACAGCCCACCGGTAAAATGCCTTTTTTTCCATCAGTTTCTACTACTTATTTTAATCTAATATTTCACCATGATGTAAAACGTAGTCTCAGGAATGCTGGAAAAAAGAATAAATTTAAAATTTGAATTTTTTGACCTGAATTTGCTATTCCTATTGCCACAGCTCCCCTTAAATGATATGTCTGATATATCATTCAATGCAGTGCACTTTTATGCGATCTTCGTGGCACTAATTGAAGTAGCATTGCTTAACTACTCGGCAGCTGTACATCATCTCCTCAAATAGGTGTTCGAGAGACTATTTGAGTTTTCTGTGCATTCATTCTAAAGAATGAGGAACTCAAGAACATTGAGTTAGGAGGCCTTCTTGAATGACAAATAGCTAAGCATGCAGGAATATTCTTCCTTCCAGGCTGTCATGTATGGAATTGTGTGCGCATTTCTGGGTGTTCCAGAGGACCATGCAGTCACGTCATTCCTGTTCAGCTCGCTGCGCACCACCGTAGCTGCTGCAGTGCGGCTTGGAGCCGTAGGCACACTCGAGGTTTGCACCACTGTTTTGATACGTTATAAAATTTAATTGACATATGTGCTTATCCGTGGATTTGTTTTATATTGTGGCAGTGTGCGGGTAGCTTCTCATTGGGCCTTAGGTGTTTGTCTATTTCATTATAGCATAATCACAAAAGCGCTTTCTTTCCGCTACGTTAAAGAAAAACAAAACTTTGTCGCTATCACAAATAATTATTGTTTTGCACCTGCATAAATGCGGCGAATTCAGGCTAGGTCTACTAACCACCTGTATGATGCTCACACTTGTAAATTTGTACAGGGTGCTTTTTTTGCCTGAGATAAGAATCTGAGGTTTCTGTGTACTTACTTCAGAGGCTACAGCAGGCTATGTTGTAGTGGACAAATACAGCGTTGTGTGCATCATGAAGACAATGTTCTTGGAAAGAAGACTGTGTTTGCTAAAAGAGAGTGCTAACGTCAGCGTAAACAAGTTTAGAAATGGAGGAATTGTTTATTATTGTTGGTTATATGTCCGAGTTTCGCGCACAGTATCTAATAAATTATGGCTGCATGTCACTTTCTCGTTATCAACATGGAATCGTTGAACGAGTAATTTCGCTGAAGCCAAGTTTTCCAACAAGCCGATTGGTCTTCAGCAAAATGTTGGCTCCAGCGACGTTCCGGGTTCAACAATATCCCACAACTTGAAACCGCGGCCATCCCCGAAACTTCCAATTTGTGCAGACTCCCAGTTTCAGGTTTTGGCCCAGGTAAACCGCTTTGTCTTAATGTCATCCTTTTCAGGTTGATCTGTTGCTCTATTTGGGAATTGCTTAACCAGCGTTGATGTTTGTTCACTGCTGTTTGAAAGGCGTAACTGCACACTCATGCAGTTGTTGTTGCCGCTTCGAGAATCGGCCTTGCAAAATCAATAGCGCATTATAACAAAGTTGCATCTTACACGAAAATAAGTTCGTTATATCTGAAAATTCGTTTTAAAGGTTTTTTCTAACACTGCATCTACGGTATTTACTCAAAAATAGGTCGGGAAATGAATATAGGTCGACCCTTACTTATAGTGCTTTACGAGAGAAAGAAAAATTCGAATGTAGGTCAACCAATGTTTTTTTGTTTTGTTTTAGTTAAAAAAAAATCGAAATGTAGCACACCTTTATTTACTTAACTCAGTGCCCTAATCGCTGCCGGCGCCATCATATTGTCAGATATGCGAGATGATGTCATGGGATTCTTCGCAAGCATCCGTGACTTCCCAAACGAAGTCGTGTTTGCTGCCACCGCTGCTGATTGCTTGGCCCCGAAAGGCACGACACCGACATTTTCAGGCAAACAGACGGTACCGCTGCTTTCGCCAACCCCTAATTAACATTTATACAGAACTCACGCTGCACAGCACAATTGCTCGAGTCCTCGGTAAAAAGTATCACTTGGCACTTGAAGTCACCTGTGTAGCTCTGCTGACGTGACATTGTCACAACCGCGCACAACCGAAAAGTGGTGGTGGTTAGAAGAAAAGGGCGCCTAATTTCTGCAGCCCAGTAGGGAGCACGGCGCAGCACCTAAAGAAAATGCGAACCATCACTGCCATCACCCTGTCACGCCGATTGTACAATGAACAAAGCGCGAGGAAGTGATGTGAGCTCTCAGGCCAGTGCAGCTGCGCGCCGCGAGGCAGTACCAGAAGCACGGCTAGCGTGATAAGGACTTCACGGCAATTACCTAGGGAAATCGTGGGTTTCATCCTAAACACGGTAGAGCGGCTACATTTGGCGGTGGCGGTACACGGCTATTGCATAAATAAATTTTTGCTCCATTACAGTAGGCTCCTATTAAATGAAACTCTATTAAATGAAATTGCTGCTTAAGTGGAACAACTGCCCCTGATATGTTTGGTTTCGTACTTGAATAATGTACCCCTATTTACACATTATCCTGGTTCCTTCAGGTTTCGTTTAAAAGAAGTCTACTGTACTTTGGTAGTCGAAAAGGCGGGGGGGGGGATCTTTATTTCAGATTTTATGGTATATAACATGCGTATGAAGCAGGAACCGCTTGAAGAACAGCAGGCGCGGCAGTTGAACGTCATAAGCTCGGCACTTTTGGTTGGTTTGATTGTGAATACATGTCGAGATACTTTGGTCACGAATATAAGCCAATAGCTGGTTATGAACAAAATTTTCGGAAAAAAAAGCTCGACCTATATTCAAATAAAATATTGTATTGCAAAACTATTTTTCTTTTACTTCGACATAACTGATATTTCATTATATCAATGTTTGTTATAGTGAGGTTTGAATGTATTTCAGAAATGCTTTGTCATGTCAAGACAGAGTAAATGAACTCATATGACCAATTCCTGAAGCAGCAAAAATGTAAAGTTTACACATAAGAGTGTGCACATTACTTTGTCATTATTCTTAAAAAAATTACAAATGGTTTTTTTTTTAAATGTGTTATAGTGTTTGCACAGCCTCCCAGCTTCCACGTAAATTTAAATGTATGCACATATGTTCACTTGTTTTTGATAAAGCATTTGCAAAGCTATCACTTGTGCGTGTCAACCTGCTTGACCCAATCTGTTATTGCACTTAAATGTTCCCAAATGATTGTTGGTGGCTTGCATCAATTTAAGTTTATAATTTTTCTTGCACTGCAAGGGTCAACGAATGCAGTTCATGCTGCAATCAAGAATACCCGAGATCGTCCAAAGGTAAGTTGTGGAATCACTTGAATGTTGGTTAAGCTGCTTACTGAAGGTATTGTATTTGACAAATGACAAAAAAAAAAAAGTTGATGTGCTCAACACGTGTCAGATTGAAAAGCCACTTACAGAGAGTATAAAATACACGCAGACGTTTATTCGATCTCAGCTCGCAGCACTATTGTACACCTTAGTGTTGGTTATTATTTTTCTCGGAAAAAAAATAATACAGAGCTTCAAGTGTTATAGTACCACCTTTTAGTTTGTATTCACGGCAAGAGCAAAGCTGCTCAAGGAGCAAACCTTAAAACATAGCCTGTCAAAAAACTCTTAAGAGTTCCAGGATAAACATTAGCTAAGGAAATTGAAATTGAATAACAAAAGAATAGTTGATTTGAATGACAACCCTTGCAGAAAATTGATAGTTGACCTGTCCTGATGTGTCCAATTCAGAATACAAATGAAGAGCTTATCCTCAAATGAGCAGATGTCCTCAAAAAACGAATTTCGGAAGCAAGTTTGGGCTGATATTCTTAGAGATTATGCTGTCCACTCATCTACAAGTCGCGGCTGTAAGTATCGTGAGAAGAGCGTAGCACCGTCGCGTTCTGCAGGAAAGACCAGTAACAGTAGCCAAACCTCATTTGTGTTCAAACTTCGTTTTTTTTTTTTTTTTGTCGGTATAAATTGGACATCAAATAGCATTGGGATCCGGTTTTAATACTCCGTCACGACTCTGTTTCTGACTGGCCTGTACCATTTTCTCGCTCAAAGCACGGTTTTTTTCGCAACAGCAGTAAAAGCACCAATCTCTCACTTTAGCGCAACTTTTTTTTATGTGCTGTAGCTGTTAAATAAAACTGGCAAAAAAGCTTGTAAATGAAGCATAACTGAAAGACACAATGGTCAATCATCATCAGATACAGGGATATGCAACTAGTTTGCCCATAGGGTGAAAGGGTGCTTGCCGTGCTTTAAAAGTTTTGCTTGATTTCATTTTCTGTTTCGGTCCTCTGCATGTTTCATAACACATTGGCCTCTTTGGCACCTGCAATGTGTGTGAGCTGTTTAACTATTTGACTGCAATTTGCGCGCAGGCATAAACACAGAACCTCACACACTGCTGCCAACGTGTTTCCCGTGGTTGACGTGATGCAGAGTTCACACGACCAGCTGTTTGCACGCATGTTCTATTCCTGACGGCAGGTTGTCAATGTGTCAACGAGAATCAATTAAAGTCACGGAGTAGACTTTACGATGCTCTTTATTTAATGTACTCACATCATTCATTCGCAGAAAAACAAAAACCCGCATTCAAAGCCAGCTTTGATGATGCCAGGTGACACACATCAATCTCTTTCCCATATAAATTACTATTGTGCTTAGGCAAGCCTTGATAACTGAAGACATGTAGGCAGAAACTACAACTTCTTCAACATTTCTATTCCTCTAGCTATGTAATGTGCATCTGTTCCTTAAATTGTGTTAACCACACAATTATTTTTGTACATATCAGTGAACCAGGATATATGCAATCATTTGTCTTTATAAAGCATGTAGAACATCTATAGCATCTTATTTTAAATCACAAACATAAGTACAGCTCTATATAAGGAACATACCAAGGAAGTTTCACCACAACATTCATTATATAGAGTGTTACACCGCTACAGAAGGGTTTCTTCCTATGGTATTGCAATCACTTTTAACATTGTTGAAAATAGTTATGCTAAAAAAAGATGGCAATGCTTCAGTAGATACTGTCATGTAATGCATTGACTATAAAGGAAATTGCATGCAGTAGACGAAAAATGAGCATTGCGCCTTAAGAAACAGCCTCTGCATCAAGGGTCTTCTTTGCACTTCATAATAAATTATTTGCTTCGGTATGCTTCACTGCAATACAGTAGTGTAATGTGGAATAATACGCAAAATTGCAACTGTCGTGCAGTGACGCATACTACATGTTCTATACAGCGGTGTAATACGGTAAAGCATGCAAAGACTGGTAAAAACCGTTGTACACTGCAACATTTTACATGCAGCTTATATCTCTTGCATTGAATTGCGCACATACAAAACTATTTTGTGACCTCCTACAGGTTCTACATATCTGGATTCAACTGTATTGGATCTACATATCTCTGTTCAGCTGCATTAGATCTCCGTGCGTACATACAACTTTGGAAAAAGAAAACAATGCAACACGAAGCAATTGCATATTTGGTCCACAGACAACAGTGTATCTTGAAGGCATGTGCACAATCGTTAAACACTGAATACTGCTAGATGAGACTTTTGTAAGTTGTTTCTCTTTTTACAGCAGCTAAGAACAAGATGAGTTTCTGCCCACATTTCTTGAGAGATTCTCCAGGCTCCCATTAACACCAGTAAAACAAAACAAAAACACTGCTATATGCCTGGTCCTGCAAGCCAATGCCATCAAGCAAGTTACATGCAACAGGGTATTCCGTCGACCACACTAAGCCTTGTCAAAGGGAGAGAAAAAAAGGCTAATAACAAGAAAGGATGCCCTCACTACTGCTGCAGTGGAAGAGCACATATATACCAGCAAATGTTTGAAACAAAAGTGGCACATTAGAAACAATCTAGAATTGGCTATGCCTTCTTGGCCAAAATAAAAGAAAACTACTACAACAAGCGCAGTCTCTAAAAATGGCAAGGTTTCTATGAACAAAGCATGATGAAAAAAAATATAATAAAAAGGTAAACCATATACAATGAACATCAGCAATATGCCCATCTGACTTATTAAAATAAGGCGTAGCTTCATGCATCTTTAGCTCATTGTGCACAATGCAGCTATGAACAGTCATGCACATCATATCGGCACACACTGTATAAAATAGAATAAGAAAAAAAAAAGATCACAAAAATATATGCTTGCTTTTTTTTGCAAACTCGACAATGCATTTCGTGAGTGTTTTGTGTGCGCTACAAACTGGCTTGAAAAAAAACCAGCACACATGCTGTACGTGGATAAATGTGCACCTTAGCTCTTTTATTTTCTGCATCTAAAAAGTTGTGAAGTCTAAAAAGTGGCACCACATCAACTAAACACTACCAGTTTGTAGCAAAAAAGAAAATGTGCGATTGATTCCAAGTCTTGTGTGCTGTTAGGAGTGAGCCAGAAGTGAACCGTTTCTTTGGTCAGCCTTTAAAGTGCTGATCACCTAATGCACTTGGCACTGCCCGACGCTGGCTCGCCTATTTTGCTTGGTACAGTGAGGAACGTTTTAATTCCAGTTAAACAAAGCCTGATAACTCCTCGGTATAGAACTTGTTCTCAACAATGTCGCACTGAAACAGACACGAGACTCTGTGGGAATGCTATGTTACATATGATTTCTCTTTAAAGATGCGCAAAAGGCAGGCATTAAATAAAGCTACGCGTTAGTGCACTTTTAAGGCCGCTGGAGTGCCCCATTACTGGCACGGGGGTAAGAGAAAGTGATATTGTCACACCAAAGTTGAACAGGGCTGATGCTACTATGGTCAGATATGCGCAAACGTGCCCATTTTGTAACATGTGCTCCTTACTCCTCGCAATGAGTAAACTTCAGTTGATTATCTATAATATGCCGGTAAATTACACAATCTATAGAGGTAACAACATTCCATTTGTAGTATGTAATAGAGCTCAAAGAGACATTAAGGACATAAAGTGACCCGGGAGTAATTATTGGCATAGCTACGGATACCTCCGCAAGGGCCCTTTCATAGCAAGTAATATCAACTCCATATCATGATAGCGTAGCAGTTTCACTCGAGTTACTTTGTCGTTGCTGAAGCCAATTCGTCCATTGGATTCAAACAAGTAATGTAATGCCCTAAAATGATTCAATGTCTGGCTTTTGTGCACCTTTAAACTATTTTCTCAATATTGAGCACTTTGAGAGACACAGGTGAGTATATAAAAAATTGCAGTGAAAAAATGTTCTGGTTTCTTACGAGCATTAGAAATAGCAGGAACAAGCAACTGTTATGAGTAGGAAGCTATGCTAGTGCCATGTAATATTCATGTAATCATTCCAGCAAAAGCCACACTTCATAACAAAGGTGCAAAACACGGCATACAATTTGAACATGCAGATATAGATGACCAGCACTTGCACACATAAGAATGCAGACAAACATGATGCATGGTGCCACACTGAATTGAGATGAGTATTTTGTAAAGAAATAAAAGAAACAGTGCATCATTCAAGTTAAGGGAAATTGAAAACATCTTTGGTCAACATTGTGCAGCAGTGTGTCAGGCAAGTTTCTTCCAAGAATGCAAATAAGTAAAAAGTTGCGCCTGTGATATGGAAGCAGTTAATCGTGTGTACGTTTGAGAACAAACCTTAATTTTTAAGAGGGCGTTGGTACCAAGAAAGACATTCTATACAAAGTGGGTTAAAACCTGCAGAGGCAAAACCAGAGTCCCTGCTAAGCTGAAGGTACACACCTCGACGAACTGTCATCGTAGCAAAGTAACGACTCCGAAATCACCGCTGTACTGTATATAGAAAAACAGGAACATAGCCTTGTGCTGAAAACACCGCAAAATTCTAAGAACCCCTTTAGAATCTCCAAAAAATCCAACTAGAGATGGTGCACTGAGTAACGTTATGGCATTTATAAGTGAACCAATAGCATGCGTGAATTTTGGTGCACACGAGCTGCTCAGTACAGATGCTTCCTGAATTAAAGATCTTTAGTCGAAGTCACACTTAAGGTGAGGTACAAACTGATAGCTAGTATTTTCAGTACACTGAGCTTGTCTCTTTTGACGGTGGGAGGGGCCGGTCCCAGTGTTTTTAAAATATTGTACAAGCCACTGACCATCTCTCCACACTCTCGAATAATGCTGCATTGTTTCTCACACAGGCTGTATCTGGTCAGGTTTTTAAAAAATATAATGCTCGCTAAGAAAAGGCAGTAAAGCACAACACAAGGCCCGATGGTATGCACACATTCACGTTGGAGTTGTGCAGAGAAAACACAGATCCGGTGTGCGAAAACGAGGAAGGTGCAAGGTACAAGAGATTCCTGAGATGGGTACTTGTGATATGTTTTCATGTGCACGCTACCAAAAAATGCGAATGATATAAAAACAGCTCATCTTTGAACCGCTAGACACGAACGGTTGAGCTGGGAGGTGCAACGACAAGACAATTCCAGGTGTTCTTCACAAACGAACAACTGGAAGCCTGTCATGACTGTCTTTTCTATGTTCTAAGCTTGCACAATCTGTCACTTGGTATAAATGGACAGTCCCTCAAGATTGAGATTTGCTCACAAGCACCAAATTTTTGGTTCACTCTTTACTAACTTTGTGGTTGTGGATAGTTAACATAATCACTACGACACAAATATATTTTTGACGTGTCCCTGCTGCTGCCACAGTCAGATTATAATTTTTACAAATTGCCAAGCATCTGCACTGAAGAAAATTTCCTAAGTGATTTAACTGGAATGAATGACTAGATGGGATAAGCAAGAAGCAAGGCACAAAAACTGCCTATGGGAGGCAATAGAACAAGCTCAAAGCAACATGGGTGCTCGCAAGAGGTCATGGTGATGCTGTTTCATCGTTGAAAAAACAAGAAGTTGGGCAAACTTGGCTGAAAACTTTAAAAGTGGACCAAAGCTGCCGCCTATGGGAGAGCTTAAAAAAGCCCATTTGGGATGAGGCACTGAATACATGATCATTAGATGTGTTGTAGAAGCGTTATTATAGACGTGTTAGTCCAATCGCTCTCACTCTTAATACAAAATGCTTTATAAAAAGCTATATGTTCTTTGACAACCTTCGGTAGTGACAGGTAGTGTTCGAAGTGCAGTGATGCATGGGAATAGCTGAATTGTTTTTTGTGCAAGAGAGCTTAAGAATGCACACATGAAAAGAAATTTAAAAGGTAACTCTAGAGACTTAAAAAAAAAAGCATAAGCCTTGACCAATAGTTCACAATGTTTAAGTGCTATTACATAAAATTGCAAGATGCTTGTAATTTATGCTGGATAAATGGGCAATAGTTGTTGGCTTCCCACTGTCATGCTTAGTGCAATAAAAATGATCTCGTTTGAAGACTTCAGCAACATGTTATCACCAAGAGATAAGAATGACAACAGATTTTGTAATCTGGGAAGCCAGTCATTCACGTACAAGTAATTATTAAATGGGAACAACACTGTACAAAAAAGCTGGAAGGGCTACTTTCCACCTATACAGAGAACATGAAAAAAAAAAAAACTACAATGTGAAATTTTTCATTACGAAAGTAACTGAACAGCTGAATCACATTGTATAACATTTGTGTAGGTAGTAGTCAACTGATGCATGACAACTGCCATAGGCAGAAATCCAACATGTCTTCAAGGTTTGTCAACAGTAATGTTGACGATGTGCCACAATTGTCAGGAGACACAACTCTAATGCTACATTTCGTCAAATTCAGGAATGTGAGGTAAACAAGTTGTATACACGGCTAAGAACCAAGCTAGGCAATGTCATGGCTTACATTAAGTTAAAAAAGAGACGGGCTCTCGGCTTAGATGAGCAGTACATTCAATCAACCTTCTAGATGATAAACCAGCAGCTTTCTATGTTCGAGAAATTTTTCATGCACAAAAGTAGTTCATACGATGCATAACGCATCAACGCAAAAGTGAAACACTCTTCGTAAACAAATAGGCACAAAAATACCATTGCTAAGAAAGTTTGGAAAAGTATTTCCAGAAAATTTATTACATAGAGATATAAAGTCAAATGACAGTGGGTATAGAGAAACTATTCTGATTTTAAAAACTCTCACTTTTGAAAAATTTATAAGTGTGCAAGGATGTGAAAAACCGAAACATCAAGTTTACACTGTTAATCCTGCAAGAAAAACCACCATCAAAATCATATATAGATTACATTTGCTGTAAAATCTCACATGCACGTGTGAGAATTATATAAACAAAAGCAACCCTTTAACATAAACTGCTAATGAATTTATGAATTTTGTCTTTTCCTCTGCCATGTGTTATGTGTGCAACTGTAACTTCTGCCTCAGTACTGAAATTAATAGTCGCTAAAGAAAAATTTTGTTGAAACTTGTACACCAGATACCCAATAAAATTTGAGCTTTCTTCATTAAGCAATGTTGCATTGTAAACATTACTGCGATTGGTTTTAAAGTTGCCTGGAGAAAGTACTTAGCATGTTTCATTTCATTGGTAAGCAAAACTTAAAGGGGTGGTGCCACCAAATTTCTAGGCTAAAACAAGCCTCTTATGGGTTTCCTCTGTATGCTAGGACACTCCACACGAATGGTCAGACACATCAAACATTTAGAATATATCCAGCTCCAAAGTGAATCTAAATGCTCATTCCCCTGACCGAAGCCCATCGCAAGCGCGTCCAGAACTGTCGTAGCTCAGTAGGGAGGGCAACGAAAGTTGTAGTGACGTCACACCAGATTTGTAGTGAGCATAGGCGTGCACAGGTTTTCCCTTCGGGGGTATGAAGGTTCGTCGCTGAGCATCCCAATGTATGGGGCAGCCTTTTAGCCCCCCCCAAGTCGCAGCGTCTTCTACCTATTATGTGAATGAGTGGCGCTGTGTTTGCACCTCCTCCTTGTAGGTGGCTACAGAAGTGGCCACCCTCTTACCCTCCCGTGCGCACACCTATTGTAGCGAGGTGAGTCACCTCGCCATGAGTGCCAGCATATGGGCATCGCAGCTTCTGCACGGTTGTTTTGCAGCTGCTTGTGTGGCACGTGTGTGCGAGAGCAAACGATAATCAGCATAACATACGTCACAACCTTGTGTGCTCACATGACCAAGCCACCTACACTGCCACGTCACAGCCCAATTCGGCACCGAGAAACTGAAACCAAAAAATGAATTACATAAAAAAAGTGATCATTTATTTAGCGAGAATAAATTAATCTTGGCGTGCGTATCATGCTTCCTGGAGCTATAAGAAACGCTTGCAGCAAAGAACGCGCTAGTCACACACGTGGTGGCACCACCCTCTTAACTCCTTTCTAAAATAAAAAACAAAGTTGTAAAAATCTCATTTACAGGACCTCATGTTTAATTACAGTAGTTACTTGTTGTTGAAATTATAATTGCATGCTCTTTCTAGATGAAGCCCACAAATTATGGCAAAAAAAAAAAAAAGAAATGCGTTAATTCTACTTCAGTTCCTTCGTCTCGTCTATTCTGTGCATGTTGCACGGCTGTCTTTTTTTTTTGTACTATGCAGTTTTCTTTTTCCTGTCCTTCAGACATGTGCTTATGACAGGCGCAAACTGTCTTGCAGCAAAAACAAGTGGCAAACAATGTGCTTCGGAAAAACACCTGCAAGAAAACACCTGTGCGCATCTTCATCTGCGTCATGAGCGCACGCACTACCGAACAGCTGTTGCCGCCTCGTAGGCAAACGCTATTACGTGACAGCAAAGAGAGTTAGGTGCACAGCTTCAACTAAGTTCCAAGAAACGACTAGCTACCTCGTGACAACACTATGCGTGCTCCGTGGCCCTCAAATAAATAAATAAAAAATAAAGAGCACGAAATCGCGACTATGTCAGCACGATACAATAGAGGCGAAGGCTTCTGGCATGTCTATGAGAGCTACGGGTACTGTAAAATGCTTCTCGTATTCAAAAGCGGCACAATAAAGCAATAATTACGCATTTATGTTAGTGCTACAAAAAAAAAAAAGCAACCTTGACAATCGTGCAAATGTTAAGGAAAGTTATGGGTTTTGAGAGTGCTCGTTAATCTTTGTAAAGGCCTCTTCAATTTGTGCGTTGAAGAGATGACATGTGACTCCTACTTTGGTGTTTCTCAACCTTGTTTATCTGAATTTAATTTTCAAGCGTAATTGGATGATATTATATTCAAAGAACTCTACACATAAAATGTGACTGACCAATCAATACGTTCAACTTCTCTGCCTCAGTACTCAACTGTGGTCATGACTAGTAAGAACAACACAGGTTTTACATCTAACTGTTTACATGCAAACTTGCCAAGTGTGACCTCTGCAGCAGCAATACAAAGAACAGAAAAAATTTGGAGGAAGTTCCCAACATTAATTAAAACAAAGGTACCAAACAAAAGATGCAGGGCTTCGAAAGGATATTTCATTAATGTGTTTCTCCGCATTCAAACACAGCCGTTAGAGGACACCACCAACTGTCTGTAGCTAAAACTAGGCAGTAGTCTCTTACAGAGATGGCAACAAGAGTGACTGTTCCGTGTTTGTAAACGAGCTTTCGTGCACTAAAAGAACATGTGCATTCTTTGTCAAATGCCTACAGGTTGCATAGCCCACAACTGCCATGGTGACCAAGGGCTGCCATGGTGACCAAGGGCTGCTAGTTCATGTTAGATAGCATGATGAGTTCCCAAATCCATGGCAAATGAAAATAACCATCATTCCCATCATCCAGAGCTGGGGAGTGTAAGGATTACCAAAACAGCCACACCACACAACCAAACTACACTTACAGTGAATGCTGATGTACAATTGACAAGAGCTCATACTACATAGTACTTCACAATGAATGCACTGCAATATGTGTTCAAACGTAGCAGTATGGCTTCAACGGCAAGAAAAAAAAAAGGGGGAGGAAAGGCATTATGGCTGCAGATAAATGTGGCTACCTGTGAAAACTGGGTCGCAGCACAAGAAAACTTGAAGGGCACACTGCGTGACAAGCTTCCCTCGTAGATTTACCTGGGCTCCATAAGGTCTAGTTCCCAATCACCTAGAAAGTACTCTTCTACGAGAGTGCAAACTTTTAAAACTCATGAAAAATTGTAATTGCAGTTTGCTTGCGATTAGCACTGCTGTAAAGAGCACTTGATGTCCCAGGAAGTTGGCCCGCTTGATCAGTGGCATATTGCTACTATATCAGCTCCACACAGGGGCTGTTACTCGACACCACTATAACTAGTGCATATGTTCTGCTCATTTTTGCGTTACGCGGCCCCTTTAATAAAATTTATATCGAACAAATTGTGACGTGAAGGCACCCAATGCATTTGTGACTGCACACTGCACAATAGGTTCACTATTCTGCCAGTGCATTCTTATGGCAAAACAGAGCAAAAGTAATGGCTAAGAAAGTGTTCGAATCTGTCTACTCTGCTACACAGAGCTTTGGACAGACGGCCACAGATGCATGTGCCTCTGCGGTGACTAGCATGTGATGCCTAGAAATACTAGATAACGCAGATTTGTAAAACAGGGCAACTGGCAGAACAATGAACCCGCATCACTTGTACCGATACTTCTTGATGCAGTCGTTGCCGAGGTCCACCACGACAGCGTGGCCATCTGGGAGTGTAGGCGATTCCGAGAGGCCGACCCAGCCTACTACTCCGGCTCTCTATCGTGTAGGTCAGCTGTCCGCCAACCCGGTCAAATAACAGGACGTTATTCTTGCTGCGATCGGAGCGAGTGGCCAGCACGATCCCTTGAGCATCGACGCAGATGCCTCCGAATCTTCCTTTTCCTTTGCCCTCAGCAAACATTGTCGACAGCCTGTTGCCTTGCGAGTCCAGCACGTGTATAGTTGAGTCTGCCACTAGAACGTTGTTGTCTGCACTCATCGCAATGGCACTTGGGTTGAAGTTCGTTGGCAGTGCCAGCACTTTTCCTTCCACCTTCTTGACAAGGGTGCCCTCTTGATTAAAGATGAAGATGCAGCGTTTGCCACTGTCCACAACAAACACATACCCCTGGGAGTCAACTGTGAGGGCTGTGGGTTCGAGCAAGTCGACATGCGTGAAGGTCCGAACGATCGTCCCTTCAGCGGTGAACTCGGTGACCGTGCGTGTCCTCCAGTTGCACGTTACCAGAGTGCCTGCCGATGGAGAAATAGCGAGTCCTGTGCCACCCCGTTCCTCTGTGCCGACTTCCGTTAGGTGGCGGACGAACCGGAGCTCCGGCGTGAGCACCTTGATTCTGCAGTTTCCCGTGTCCAGCACGTACAGCAGGCCCTCGGGCCCATACACCACGGCTACGGGCTGATGGAAGCCGTCTGTGCCATCACCGTGCCGACCAAACACCGCTTCGGGATCGATGTTGTCGGTGGCGGCGAACTCGAAAGGACTTCCTTGCAAGGGTCGGCCCAGCACCGACACGGCAAGGCGGTACCGCGCGACGTGGGGCACTTGAAACGCCACTGTATATTCACCGGTGCCGCGGTCTATCACTTGAACATCAAGCTGTTTCTGATCCTCGTTGCACGCCACCAGTGCCACAGTCACAGGATCTCCACCCACCGTCTGAGGCCGACCGTCACAGTCATAGGTACGAAGCAGTGCACGGGCCTTGACGTATGCCGGACAGTCTTTGACGCTAATTGTGCACAAGGGTGGGAACGTGCGGCTCGTCTCGAGCTTTCCAAAGACCCTGAGAGCTTGCGCAATGTCATCGAGGGCAGAGTTGTATGCGCAGTCAAAGTGAAGATAGCAGTTCTCGCGGGGTTCGGCCAAGTGATCCAGAGAGCCCATCTTGACGTCCAAGTCCGCAATCTTCTTCGTAAGGTTTCGGACAGTCAAGCTGACTATCGGGGGTGCAGCACTCCTGCTCAAGTTGAGACCTCTCGTTTTGGATTTGATTCAGCTGCTCTTCAAGGGCTTCTTTCTTTCGGTCCCAGAGTGCCTGTGATTGAGTGGCAGGGAAATAAAAGTGATACATCAATCTTGCTTCTTGACTTCAAATTATTTCAGCACAGCACAGTCTGACAATGTAAGCAATGCCAATTACATGCAACAGAGAGCTCTCTCTCACTCCCATTATCAAATAACAAATGGATAAAAATGCTGCCTCATAAGTGTGGGATTTTACAGCCAGTTTGACTTCAGTTTGCAATAGATCAAGTAAACTATTTTTGAAGAACAATATATTACACAGGGTGTATAATTTTTCACCATATATGTCTAAAAGCCGCTGCATAAAGACATGAAAAGAGAAGGCACACTGTATCTTTTTGAATGATGTGATCACTTTCACGAAACACAAAACAATATACATAATAATGCAAAAACTATCTTTACAGAATATTAAATATGTTTTTGCAAGTCATCACTATTGAAACATGGTCACCGCAAACAGGAATCAAAAGTTCGCCCTCATTCTTAGCAACACAGCATGTTGTCTGCCAAGCTACCACAACGACTGATAGTATTCATGTTTCATTAATCTGATAGCCTCCTTTTTGCTAGCACTAACCCCTGTACAAGACCCTGCGGAGATTGCTTTCACAGGGCACTAAATAAATTTTTTTGTTAAACAATACAGCACCATCCAAGGCCAAAATAATGTACTGTGTACTTCATCGACCAACTTGCTGCATTTGGCACAGCGAGGGTGCAGCAAATCAGTACCGATGCATACAAAAAATATACAGCAAGAAATTTTCACCCACCTGCAACGTGGCCAAGAGTGACTTCCGCCGCTGTTCCAGAAGGTCCTGAATTTCTCGAAAAGAGGCCTCGATTTGGTCCGTTACCTCTTCGGCGGCAGCATCGAGTCGTGTGATCTCAGCACTCACCGCCTCTGCTGCTGCATCCAGTTTGCTCAGGCACAGTTGAGACTGCAAAGATGAGAAAAAAATAAAGGAATGCGCTTTAAAAGCAAGACACTCGGCTGTTACCTTACAAGCAGTTGAAATGCAAACACTTTTCCCAAGCTGTGGGCAGCAACACAAGAGACCATAGTTAAGACCACAGACATTGGAACAGGCATTTTGTGGAATGTGAACAGTGGTTCTAGAGCCCCAGTCTGGTGAGCTATAACATCGGCATTTGTCTCCAATTTCACGACAATCATGTATCATCAACCAAATGAAAAACAAAAGCAGCTTCGCATAAATGGTGCCAACCTGATGGAAGTGAAGAGCTTGGCCACCTGCTTCGTTTCTCTACATTTTTTCATTCTTTCTTCCTCTCTTGTCTCTGTTTCTTTCTATGCACTTTTCATCTATGTTATTTCCATTTTTTTTCTTGCCCTTTCCATCTTTCTTTCCATTTCTCTTTTTCTATATGCTTCACCCTCGCATCTCCTTCTCACCCTCAAATCCTTTCCCACCCCCTTGCAATACTATGTAAGGCTATAACTATGCTCTGCTGAATGCACAACACTCAGTTAACAGAAGATAAAGGAGTTGAACAAGTTTCACAAGTTTCGCTTGTTGACAAACATGTGTAAAGGAGCAGCTATGCAGGACACACACCAAAGACTATTTTCACACATATTTAGCATCAGGACATGATAAATACAGCTAAATTTTAACAGGAACATAAGCAATAACAAGATGCTCTAGCACAATGGTCACAAAAAAGAAAGAAACCACGGTAGAATTTTGATAGCTCACACTCTGCTGACTTAAATGTTCCACTAGTTTAGGGAAATCTTAAATTTTTGGAGGGCCTGCTGTGTTTTCGATGTATTTGATAGCTGCTTTATTCTAATTGCTCCGCTCGATAAATGTGTTTTCGATGTATTTGATAGCTGCTTTATTCCAATTGCTCCGCTCGATAAATACAGTGAATTCACACTTTTTGCCCGTCCGAGTCTCGAAAATATCAACCGCCCTTGTCGCTTCTAGTCCAACATTTTCTTCTTTTGTTATTGTCCACGAAAGGTTACAAATAAAGCTGAATGCTTGCCTACAGTGTGGCCAAACTAGTCAAGCAGCACAAGCTGACAATATCTCATCTGTACCGTCTCTCGATCATAATGACTACTGCTATTTAGGTCCCCCAAAAGGAGCCCTTGGAAACTCACTTTGTACAGGAGTATCTCAGACATGCGCTTGACGGCGATGGAGAAGGGGACCACTGTGTGGCTGGAGTCGGCGTGAGCGGGACCGAGGCACATGGAGCAGAACACTTGGTCGCACGCCTCGCAGAAGAGCAACTCTGGTCCTGCGGGGTGGAGGGCACACTTGGGCACGACCTCACGACGCCGGCTGGCAACAAGGTCCAGCAGCTGGTTGACCAGGAAGCTGGGTGGCAGTGCCCCGACCCCGGGCTCTGGTAGAGGCACGGCCTCACGGCAGATGGGGCACCTGAGCGTGCCCTCGTGCTGCAAACCAGAGAATCAGAGTGATTAACTTTAGGGAGTTTAGAGGAACACTAAAGAGAAAAGAGTTTTTCTTTTTTTATTACTAAATTACTATTTTACAATACCAAAGACACTACGCTTGTTGCAAGAAGACGCATGGTAAGCAAGAAAAAGTACAAAATTAAAGAAAAAGTGGGTGGTGACGCCACCTTGAAATTCCCACACCAAATGCTGTGATGACATAGATTCTGACGGTGCATACTAGGTCCTACATAGTTCTTAGATGGTTAAAACGAAGTGCATTGACCTCTGAGGAAGCCATATAATTAACAAGTTTCATTGAGCGGATGTTGCCAAAATATGAAAAGTACACTTTGAAATCTGTGATGTCACGTGTGGAAATTTTGGCACGAAACTTAGAAGTTAAATTTTGGCCTCCATTTTTTTCCTTTATTAAAGGAGATATGATAGTTGAACTAACGATGTTAGAGTTTTCAGAGTACACTTTACCAATCCAAACCAATTAATTTTTTTCACCTAAGTGTCCCCTTAACATCCAAATGCAACAGATAAGCTACAGAGCCCCCAAACATATATGACATTCAACTTAATGCAGCCGAGAGAAATGCATATAATGATTATTCCTCTGCCTGAAGGCATTACGGTGATTAAATCAGTCTGTTTGCATAGAAATTGTATGATGAAGAAAAGCTAATCTCAATATCAGCGGCTTATAAAACTTGTGTACACTAAAGAAACTGTGTATGCCTCAAGCTCATGTGTACCGGGCATTCCTACAGGATGTGCTAAGGAGTAAAGACGATGCTTCAACAAAGTACAGTGATATTTTACAACACCACAGGCTAGAAATAACTAGTGCACCACCTCACCTGAGCCTAACCAGGGAAGTGGCAGTAACCGTAAGAATATTGCTAACCAATTGCTATGATCAAGGCATCCAAATTCCCCAAATTTAACAAAGCAAACCTAGATAGATTCGGATGTACTGTGATGTACCAGATACCCTATGTCATACGGTATGAGAATTTCAACAAAAATCTGGCACCGTAGGCATTCAAGCAATATTCAAGGAGCAGTCGGAGGCGAAGCTATCCAAGAACCAGCGTGGCCTAGCAGAAAGGGCTCGAGAGATGGCCATGGCTTGCGGATAGCCAGAGGAGGGCGCTCACCTTGGAAGAACACTGTGCTCTCTTATGTTCAACTGCAAAAGTGAAGATGGAGCAAGATTTTCTGCTCGTTTTGTAGCAAGTTTGTTCCATTGACAGAGTGAGGGCAGCAGCCAAGTGTTCCATGACAGAATCACAGTGGATTCAGAGAGATCCGGAGTCGCTCCTTGGAGCAAGAAAACTTGCTCTGCCAGGACTGGCAGAGTGATCTCGAATTTTGTGTGACGTACTTCCTTGAACACGTTTGCCTGCTTGAGGGCACCACCAGTGGTCACTTGTTTTGCCGGTAATGGCGAACGACATGGGCGAGTCGGCTAATTGTGTGGCATTGCTTCTGCTGCTCGATAGCCACAGCTCTGAGTCAGAATGATGTTCTTGCGCAAGTGATTTATCGGATAGTGATAGTGACGCTCAAACAGCCCCATACGAGAGGGAATTCGACAGCAGAATGGAACAACTATGCAAGATACTCTACGCAACTCATCATTGCAAAAATAGATTCTGCTTCTGCCTTGCTCCAGTGGCAAAGGTTGTATTTCACAGGTGGACCTGGAGGCATTCCTCAATGTAAAAGTTGAGTGCTCGCTCACGAAGTCCATTGGCTGCTCCTACTCTGCCATTAGAATCTAATATTAGAATAAAAAATTATTCTGCTGCTCCTCCTTATGCCATTTAAGTTACGTGAGCTTTTGTCTTCACGTATCTTCAGACTTCAATCCTTTTCCTCAATCCTTTTATCTTCAGACCTCAATGGGAAGTTAAAGAAACATTACTGCACATATGCAATACTACTGTTTGGGGTACATATATTAAAAATAATGTAACTGCGTCGCTTCACAGAAAAGTGGGCAAAGCAATGTGCAGATGGCTTCCTACCTGGGATCGGGCCGCAGCGGCAAGGCGCTCGAGGCAGCTGCGGCACACTGTGTGGGAGCAGGAGAGGAGCTTCGGGCTGCGCTCCTGGCCATCGTAGGTGCACAGGCAAGTGCTACACGTGAGGAAGTTCTCGCTGAAGTCTTCATAGTTGAGAGACACCGTCTCGACAAGTGTGGATGATGTCATCTCGGCAGTTCAAGATGGCTCTTCTCGTGTACAGCCACCCGAGACAGGTGCCACGACTGCCTCCCTTGGGAACTCCTGCAATTTTAAAGCTGTGCTGTTACATCCACAACGGGGTTCTGTTGAAAGGAACGAGTGCATGAGAAGGCAAGGCAGTTTCGCAGCTTTAGATTGTTTTTATGCAGAGAGCCGAAATTTAAGACTTGGTCTAGCGGAACAAGCTTTTGTACAAAATCGCCAAAACCATTTCGGTGTCCCTTTAGGTGTGCATTAGAGAACCCTCAAACAATCAAATTTACTTTTGTAGATTTATAGCTAGAAACATCGGGGAGAAAGAGCTTGCATTGTCCCCTTTGCACCTGTGATTTTAAAGCTACAAACCTAAAAGAATGCCGTACGAACAAAGCCACTACAGACACTACCAAAGCCAACATTGATGTGCAGCACTTTGGTACTCTATATTACTACTTCATTACCTCAATAGACAACTGTAGTTTAGTAGCAAGTGCTGCAAGGCCTCTTGTACTGCTTTAAAACTGCAAAGTAGTTCAACAAACAATGGCATGAATGAGGTCCTCTCTTCATGAGATGGTGCACCACGCTCTGTCTTCACACCAATGCCAAGGGCCACATGTAATGTTTTGTAATGACAATTGTTTTATTCATTTTACAATTTCCCATTAGGCAATATGCCATGGAACTATCTGTTATCACCAACACCAGCTAAGAAGGGGCAATAGCAAGCAAATACTTCAACATAATGTAGCTGCATTGGATATACAAATATACTTCCTTTATAAGCACATATTCGTATAGCACTGATATCGCAGATCTCACTGATATGGCTACAGATTTCACAGTAGTGAACGATTTCATCTAACACAAAATCATATTTGCCAAAAAAAAAACAATAATGATTTACCAAAACTGCATCTCATTGAGACTTGTTATGGCACGATACGATGAGAGCATGGAAATATCCCCGATGAATTGTTATTTTTATGCCAGCTCGATTCAATATACTGTGATATTTTAATCCTACAGTGTGAATTGCTGTGAAGTTGTACACAGGCCAGTAGAGCAGGAACATAGGAAACAAATCTGGTGCAAGTGGCTAGTGTCAAATTACCGTTTGCTTCATCAGCTTGCTATTTACCTCCTATAGCCATAAGGAGCAGCAAGAAACATTACAAAGATCACTCAATATGCCCTTGCGAATATTATTTCTCCTTTCAATGTCAGGCCTTCCTCAATTCAGCAGCAGGTGAGTGCTTTAATAAGTTCAGCCTACAGGCGACTCATCATTCTTGTGTGATGGCTCTTGAATTTGTCTTTAGACAGAACAGAAATTCTAGAAGCCACCTGTGATAAGACAACAAAATTCTAGTCGTTCAGACAGATTACCTACCCCAAAGGAGCAGACATTACTTACACAAATCAAAATCCATAAGACATGCACAAGACTCATTCACACTATTAATTCTAAATGCTTTACAACACACTTCTCAATTTACGTGCACTGTCCGGTGGGTTCCCAAGCTGTATCTAATTAGAACGAATGCTCAACATTACATCTACGAGCTTTGAATTGCTCTCAAAACTGTGTGACAAAATATGTTGCCTTTCCAGTTATATTCAAGCTTGAAGGCATGAAATGGCTGTTCATTTCAATCATAAAAAAAAAGTGCATCTTCACAAGATTCATGACTTATACAGGGTGCCCCAGCTATCCATGGCCAGTTTCTAAAAATATTCTGATGCGGCCGAATGCACATTACTAAGTATTGCCTGGAGTATGTCACACTATTTTTTAGGCTCTTGGTTGCTTAATAAAGGCATGTTTAAAACCCGAACTGTTGTACCAACGAAGCTTGGGAAAAAATTATGAGAAAGTTGTAGATCAGTCTGCAAAATCTCTGATTAGACAGTTTCTATCTTTCTAGATTTTTATGTATTAGTCTTTTTCTGATTACTAGATTCCCGCAAAATACAAAATAAATACCTCGTGACATGCCCGCTTGTGTGCCTATGTGTCCTGTGATTGCAGTTTACCCTAACATTTGTGCACAAATGGTACGCTTCCCTTGCAGCAGTTCATAACAGCGATAAGCAAATGCAATGGTTATCGCTTGTGTTACCGTTAGCAAATGTCACCGCAAAGCCACCACCATTGTCGCTGCCCTGTTGAAGCAGCACACCTGGCCAAATACAATGGTCAGTTTCCCATGGAGCGTTTGGAAGCAGTGCAAGACAGCCTGCATGTCACATAGTATTTTTATTTCATGGGCATGTGTATTAATCAGAAAAACACTAATACTTAAAGGGGCCCAGCAACACTTTTTTAGCATGGCCAGAAAACGCTGCCGATCGGTAGTAGAGGCTTCTAACAACATGCGAGCCAAATATTATAGCACAGCATACAGCCTGGAATCCACAATAAACTATCAAAGTCAGCTGAAAATTGCTTTCTCTTCTCTCGACAGATCACTAATAAGCCCAAAAAATCACTCGTAGTAAGCCCATCTATCAGCCATTGGCTGATCTGAACATGGCGCACTCGGTCGTTACAGGGCTTGCCGCGAGAGGCCGTCACTTGTCCACGCACTGAAAAAGCCGCGCATTTGAAGAAAAAAAGAGAAGAAAGTGCTCGAGGTCATGAGGTGCGCGTGACCTTTTTCCGTGGCCCTGGCATCCCTCCCTGCTTAACTTCTAGGGCTTTCGTCGGGACGAGAGAAGAGAGAATGAAATTGCAGCATGAAACAAACCTTTGTAACTCCACTCACACTGGACGAATTCTTACAATTTTTGCAGCATTGAATTCGTGAGGCAATAAGCTCTTCCAGTGAATTCATTCCATAGTTACTTGAAAAAGTGTTTCGGGGCCCCTTTAATACACAGAAAGTTAGAATCTGTCAAATCGGGCATTTTTGTCAATTGATATACAATTTTCTCATGGTGATCTTTTACCAAGCCTTGTTGGTTTGAAAGTTAGGTAACTAAACATGCCTAATTAGGCAACCAAGAATAAGCCCAAAAAGAGTGTGACACACTGCAAGCAATAGCCAGCCATATGCATTTGGTGATGTCATAGATAGCGGCAGCTTATCTTTGAACTCTTGCTAAAGATAGCTGAGGCACCCTGTATATTAAGACCAGCGTCCATGTACAACTTGCAAGCAGACAAGCACTGTAATGTCACCAACTAAATTGTGTGGATGGCAATATTTACCATAGAGTGATTAGTTAACTACTTAATTATGGTACACTCGTGTTAAACGAAACCTGAAGGAAGCAGGAGAATGTGTTTTATTTTTTTTCTTGAGAAATAAAGAGGGATGCAGAATTCAAGTACAAAACCAATTATATTATGAGCAGTTACATTTATTCAAGCAATTTATAAAGCAACTTTGTTTACTAAGAGTCTGCTGTAGTTGAGCTTTGAAATTTCATTCATTGCAATTACAACTTTATGCGTTATCAGCAGCAGGAAAGTTTTAACCGTTTCGTAAAATCTTGAACTGATCATATCCTCCCATTGCAGTGCAGCCTGCTATAATACATATTATAGCAGGCTACAACTTTATAAGTGTAAGTGCAATAAACTGTACAAGAGGGGAGAAAATGGTGTCCTTTGTTCTTTCTTGTTCATTGGTATTTATGCTGCAACCATGTCCAATAAACCTCAGCAGTTAGCAGTGCTGTCTCCTCGAGTCTTTCTTTACGAGAAGACTAGAAGTGTGTGAATAGGGAAATTCAATCTCAAACAGCACAATATCGCTAAATAGTGTCTCAAAATATAGGAAGGAATACAAAATATTTTATTAAAAATTGAAGCAAAGAACACAAAAACGAAATTCACTCATGTCCTCGAGTACATATCGTGTGATGACTGCCAGCAAAGGGCTACAAACTGTCATGCAGAAACAGAAGCTTTCCCACACGACCTGGCTTCTGGCTTTCTCACTATGATATCACGGTGTTTTCAGCAGTCAAAAACATGCATTCACAGGACACCTCAGTTGCAGGAACGAGATGGTATAACAATGCCATTTTGGCAATAAGTGGGTAAAGTAGCCTCATGCTCTTTCCACTATTCTCAAGGATCACCCTTTGCTGTTATCAAGGGCTCATTGAAGTATGTTTGGACCTCTCGACTATGAGGTGTGAGCAGAGCATGCAGGTTATTTTTCGACGCAATTTAACAGTCTCCCAGACTGTTCACTGGCCTTCTTTACCAGATCGATGACTTGATGGCTTCAAGCATAACAGCTGATTTTTCAACTGCTGTGATGAGGAGTCTATGCGAGCATATTAATCAGTAATTTCTACTGACAACAGCTATACAGTCTGTGACTGATGGAATACACTTATGGTGCAGAAAATAGATTTAAAACTCAGATCACAGAGTGTCGCAAGCATCAGTTCCTTTTGATGAGCATAAAGAAGGCACCGCGACTAAAGGCCCTTCAGCAAGTTCTTAGCAAACAAAGCTTCTTGATTTTCAATGCTGGTATGCCTCTTTAGGATCAGTTCTGTGTTATTAAGGAATGGCACACTTAAATGATATAGTTTTAAACTTCTTTGTGTTTGTGATTACATAGTTCCATTCTTTTGTGTTTTTTTTTTTAATGTGCAGAAATCATATAGCGTCCTTAAAAAAAATTGTGCTTGCTTTTGATCTAGGCTATTGATGAAAGTTTTGACGAAAGGCCTACTGTAATGATGTCAGGAAAAGTTTTAACTGCCAACGCCAACGAAGTTGCAGCATTGACGTTTTTCAAATTTTAGATATTCATCTTTTTGCATTATTAGAAGCCTTGAATACTTGCTAATGAAAAATGCGATCGAGTCATTTGATTAAATATTATTCAATCTGAATTTGAAACATGAATATGCGCCCACCCTACATAAAACATTAGATACATATATGTAGCTATAGACATGCAGTCACGGGGCACCATGAATAATTGCAGCTTGGAAAAGTGGCTTAACGTGCATTCATTGATTTATGTGGCACTGGTACATGACAGGGCACATAGAATTGC